GAAAACTATAAAACATCATTGAAAGAAGTTAAGACCTAAATAAAGACGTTCCGTGTCAGCGGATCGGAAGACTTCTTGCTGCTGAGACGGCAGCCGCCGAGGTGCTCCTTGCGCCCAGTGCAGTCCCCATCAGGGCTTTAACTGGCTTCTTTGTGGACATTGACAAGCTGATCCTAATATCAATGTGAAAATGCAAGGGTCCCTGAATAGCTAAAAATCCTTTGGAAAGAACAAAGTTGGAGGACTCACACTTCCTGTTTTCAGAACTTACTACAAAGTTGCTGTTATTAAGACTGTGGTACTGGCATAAGGAATAGATCAGTGGAATAAGATTCATGGTCCAGATGTAAACCCGTATGTTTATTGTTGGTTGATTGTTGACAAGAGTGCCAAGACCATTTAATGGGACAAAATAGTCTTTAAACAAATGGCACAGGGGCAACTGGACATCTACATGCAAAAGAATGAAGTTGACCCCTGCCTCACACTACATACGGCAGTTAACTTAAAATGCATCAAAGACCTAAATGTAAAAGCTAAAACCGTAGAACTCCTGGAAGAAAATTTCAGGGTAAATCTGCATGACCGTGGATTAAGCAGTGGTTTCTTGGATAAGACACCTAAACTCATGCAGCAAGAGGAAAAATAGATCAATTAAGCTTCATCAAATGGTAAAACTTTTGTGTCAGTAGTATCTAGACCATGAAAAGACAATCCACAGAATGGGAAAAAATATTTGCAAATCATATATCTGATCTAGTATCTAGAATAGGTAAAGAACTCTTATACCTCAACAATGAAAAGACAAATCATCCAATTAAAAAATGGACAAAGGGGGGTCAGCTCTGTGGCTGAGTGGTTAAGTTTGCGCGCTCCACTTCGGTTGCCTGGGGTTTCCCTGATTCGGACCCTGGGTACGGACATGGCACCACTCATGAATCCACGCTGAGGCAGTGTCCCGCATAGCTCAACCAGAAGTATTCACAACTAGAATATACAACTATGTAATGGGGGCACTTTGGGAAGAAGAAGAAGAAGAAGAAAAAAAGAGGATTGGCAACAGAGGTTAGCTCAGGTCTTAAAAAAAAAAAAAGAAGTGGAGACATTAGAAGTCATCAAAATTAAAAACCTAGGCCTGAAAGAGAGGAAGATTGGCAACAGAGGTTAGCTCAGGTGCCAATTAAAAAAAAAAAAAAAAAAAAAAGAATGGACGAAGGATCTCAATAGACATTTTTCCAGAGAAGTAGACAGATGGCCGAGCTCACGTATGAGAAGATGCCCAGCATCCTTAGTCACGAGGGAAATGCAAACCTGCCAGGTGAGAGCATGAGGGCTCCCCCTTCACTGCTCCTGCTCCCAGGTCAGGCTTTGCAGGCCACAGGATTATTCCACTTGGCTGATGCCGTTGGTGACAAGCTATAGTCTGTAACTGCTGCTGTGTGTTTCATTGTCTCTGATTACTTAATTATTACTGGTTTCTTTTTTTCCCCAATGATAGCAAGCTACTCCAAATAAATACGTGATTTGAAAATGATGATTTTTAACATCAGTCGCAGCCGTCCCTGAGGCCCCTCATGTCAGCTGGCCGCGTTGTGGCTTCTTGGGCAGACAGGCTCAGATGGTTGCTAACTCGTTCTCAGTGGCCCAAGCTTCCTAGTGAAATGAGTGAAAGAAAATGGTCTGATGGGGTCGGAACGACGGGGTCAGAGTGAGCTGTGTGCTTGTGTCCCCAGCTGTGCCGACCTGCAGGCCGTGGTTTCGTGGCTCTTCCGGAACCTGCGCCTTCTGTGTGAGCAGGTAGAAGCACCCTGCCAGCACACTGACATCGCCAGGGCTATGCTTTCTGGTGAGTTTACAACAGAGGCAAGTTCTTGGGTAAAATTTTGCCCAAGCATTATTTAGAATGCTCTTTTGCTCTGATCTATGGGAAGCAGAGAGTCTCCCCATACCCATGGCATGGAAATTTAGCGTGAAATCATCTCAATCCCTACCTGTCGTTGTGGGTTCGCATTTAACTAGAATTGTGTGGAAATTTCAGTAAGTCAGCCTGTTGACCTGTTGTGTTGGGGGGCCTGTAGCTGGTGTGTTAAGTTAAATATGCGCAGATGATGACCTGCTGAATGAGGAGGTGCAAGCCACCCACACGGGGTCTGCAGGGCACCCCCCTCAGCATCCAAGCTCCCTGTGGGGAATTGGAAACCCGGGGGCTGTGTGGATTGAAGGCGCAGTTTCAGTACACTCACACAAAGGAAGTAGCCACAGGATTTGTTACTAACAGAACCCAGAATCGAGGGGGCGCACTGAGCCGGGGGGAGGGGCAGTGGTTGGGGCGGAGGTTGCTGATGTTTTGTGGGCTCAACTCTGAGTGGTCATTTTAAAAGGTGCCCCAGGAAAAGGCAGCGGGAACTTGGGCCTTCCTAAGCTCAGGTCCTTTGCTCAGTGTCCAGATTGGGGTGGGGGTGGTGGTGGGGGTCGTCATACTGTGAGATGCAGAGGCAGCAACTTAGCGTAGCAGTTTCTGCTTACACTGTGTGTTTCTGGACACCTTTCCCTTAAGTGGGCCCTGGCCCCTGCTGCTCTGAGCCAGGAAACCCCACCATTGCCAGAGCCCCTGAGGAATGAGACTGCAAGTAAATGAGAAGTTCGATGAGAACTGAAATGCTCCATACACGCATCTGTGGATTTTTTTCCTTTCCAGAATATGCATTCCTTTTTTCTAAGACTTTCCTGGTGACATGAGCTACTTTTGATGCTTGAATCCTGTTATCTGGTCCCAGATAGTTTAAGTTCAACTTGAAGGTTGAACCTTTTTTTTTTTTTAAGATTGGCATTTGAGCTAACAACTGTTGCCAATCTTCGCTGTCGTTTTTTTCTTTCTGCTTTTTCTCCCTAAATCCCCCCAGTACATAGTTGTATACTTTTTTTTTTTTTAGTTGTGGGTCCTTCTAGTTGTGGCATGTGGGACGCTGCCTCAGCATGGCCTGATGAACAGTGCCGTGTCTGCATCCAGGATCCAAACCAGTGAACCTTGGGCCGCAGAAGTGGAGCCCACGAACTTAACCACTTGGCCACGGGGCCCGCCCCCCAGATAGTCTTTTCAATTTCCGTCCTCTTGATTCTGATCTTTTCAGAAGATATGAGTTCATTTCCTGCCTCACTTCCCAGATTATAATGTTTCTGGGTCCTTCTACAGTGTTCCTTGTATTACTGGTGTAGGAGATTGGCTGGAGAAAAAAATCCACAAGAAACCTATAGAAGCTACTTTTTTGTTTGCTTTAAGAGAGAAAAATCCTTACTATAAACGTGATTGGTTGTAAGTATTTCCCTTTCAAGTAGAAGGACAAGAAGGAAAGTCTGATTCAATAAGTGCTTTGATTGGCGGGGTTTAGCGAGCACTGTGTGGTGGCTGGTGAGCGGCAGCCCCTGCAGGGGCTCCTGGGCCAGCAGCGGGCTCTCCTGGCAGCCCTCGTGGTCTTCGCCCTCCTGGCCCCTCTGAGGCCTGCAGTCTGTGTGATGCATGGCTGTTTGGAGACTACAGTCTATGTAACACTTTGGTTTTTTGGTTTTCAGATTTTGTGCGAATATTTGTTTTGATGGGATTTCAGAAAAACTCAGATCTGAGAAGAAATGTGGAGCCTGAACAGATGCCCCAGGTAAGAGGAAAACTCAAATGAAGAGTTTGCAGAATTGCCCTCATTATGAAAATGTGCTTCAGCATAGAGAGCAGTCCCCATCCTGAGTTTTTGCTCCCTTTTGGAAGTTCTTCAGCCACTGGCTAACGTTTTGACCCACAGTACAGTTGATAAGCTTTTTGTGAGGAAATCTGTTTTGTTAGCATGAGGTGCTCCCCGTGTCCAGCAGATGTGAGGAAACGGAAAGAGGCCGTGGTGTGTCCCCCAGCCTGTCTTCTGGTTTCCGATGCTCTCAAGGGCGACGGTCTCACCGCGGCATAGAGTCTGGGCCCGTGTTTGTAGACGGAGGAAAGGGAGATCTCCTCACCGGGTCCCGGCCTAGAGAGCTTTGGCAGGACTCTTCTGAGCTGACATCTCCTGAGCTCAATCCAATGGCAGAGGAGGCCAGGCCGGGAGGCCCCAGGCTGCGGCGGGCCTTGGGCCTGAGTCTCCTCAGTACCGGGGTGATGTTTGACTAAGAGGAGATCTTAGGGTGGACCTCTTTGTCAAGTGAGTTTTCGTTTGACATGGTAGCAGCTAGCTGTCCTGAGTGGTGTGTGTGACTGCAGTGACGGCGTCTGTTCTCTCTCGGCAGGTCGCCCGTGATGTGCTGGAGAGGATGCTACTGTGTGAGTCAGCTGCGTAGCGCCCACTCTGGGAATGACTTAGCTGGCTGATGGGAAGTGGTCACAGTTGTCCGCCTTTCCCTTTTGAGTATTTCACCCAGATCTGTTGGTATATTTCACCCTCTGGAGTCCTGGTACCGGAACACCCCTTTTTTTGGTTGTAACTTGGTCTCAACTTATCCTCACTTTTTCTCCTGGCTTTCAGTTCCTGGTGGCTTCACATTTAATCTCTAGAGCTGTAAATGATACCAGTTTAGTGGTCAGTTAGGGAGACACTTGATTGTCGACATGTTTTGATTGATTTTAAAGGCTGTCTTTGGTCCCATGGGGATGCTTGGAAGGTTGAAGGACTTGTGCCATCCAGGGCTCTGGGAGGCCTGGGAGGCCGGGAGCTTGGGAATCCAGGAGCTCTTCCTGAAGATCCGTTACCTGACTTCTCCAAAAATACTTAATCCGGGTTGCTTCTGACGGACGGTGGCGACGTGCTGTGTGTTCTCTTCTCATGTTGTCCTCAGTTGCACTTGAAGCTTTGGCTGCTGGCCTGCAGGAGGAGTCCCCAGCGCACAAGGCAGTGAGCTGCTGGTACGTTTGTGGGGGCAGGCCTGCGGGCCCTCTCGGGGGTGATTCCTGCAAGGTTAGAGGGCCTAGGTATTTCAGACGCTCCTGACATATCGACAGCTAACTCCTGAGCACACTCTCTCATTGTGATAATGTCAGGAGGGGTGACAGCTGGAAAGCACTAGAAACCCTCTGGTCTGCCTGCTCCTTCTGAAGATGTGGCAGGAGGCTGAGCCCTCTTCCTGTAGGAATCATGTGCCAGCATTCCTGGTCTGAGGGGATAGGCCCTTTGTTCCTTTAAGCCCCGATTCCTAAGGGTCACGTGGGCCCCTCTCCCACTGAGGGCGCCCCAGGGCGTTCTCATTGTCTTGGCTGTCTCCCTTGTGCCAGCCCTCTCAGGCCCCTTCCACGGGGCTTTCTAGAACACACAGCTATTAGTCATCTTCCCCTGTCCCCTTCCCCTGCTCTCCCAGGCTCCAGCTCAGATTCACCAGGAGCCGCGGTTTGCCACATGTGCTTTCTCTCCCTGGCCCTGTGGTGGTACATGTTGACGTCCTTGTGGGTTGCACCTTCAGGTGTCAGGGTTTGCTTCAAAGTAAAGTGGGGTGAGGCCAACCTAGAAGCTGGCTGTCTTCTGGAAACCAGGAGAATTTCCCAGCGTTTCCAGGCCTTGTAAATCTTTCCATTAATTGTTCTGCTCCTGATTGCCTGTAGTCCACAATTACTTTAGTAGTCCTCAGTGGTGCCGTATAATTCAGTACTTTATTTAATCCGTGTATAAAACACTGCTTTGGTCTCTAAATTTTATGCATTTTTACAATATGCCTGACTGGACTACTCATATCATGTCCCCGGAGTCAGATAACTGCCAATCTGTTTTGTTTTTTTAAGTTTTTAATTAGTTGCCAGTACTTACAGTAAAATCAGACATCCCCTAAAAATCTGGGTGGCCAGCCTCCTGGCACCGAGGGGAAGGTTAGCCCCATGTCTGGCTTCTCCTCATTGCACATGTGACTCTGGAGCAGGTCACAGAGCTGCTGGGACCCTGGGTTCTTTCCACTGAGGAGTCAGGGTAGGGTCAACTGTGATGCTGACCTTGGCACGCTGCTGTCGGCCTGTCACCCTTTGTTCCTCTGACCTGTCAGTGGCCTGTGGGTGATGTGCAGCTCCCCCTCATGGATGGCCTTTCCTTCCTCGTCCTGTCGATCGACACAGGCTTTAGGAGCGGTTGCCGCATTTGTGCGCCTGCGTGTACCAGGTACTTTGCTCACGGCTTGGCAGGCCCCTGCTGTCTCTGCCCCCCATTTCACAGACAGGGAAACCAAGGATTTGCAGTGTTGACGTTTTCTGGGACCTGGTCCTGCCGTTGGCTCCAGGTTGCTGTGATGGGGGACTCCCTTTGTTCTGTGCGGGCCTGGCCCGAGCTCACTCTGATGTCTGTCCTGCTTCTCTGCACAGGAGGCGTCTTCATTGCCTCTGTTTTCTTTCTCGTTGAAACTACAATTCCATGGATTCCATTTCAAGTCTGTGGCCAGTGGCCTGTCAGAGAAAGTGTGTCAGGGTTCAAAAGTGCGAGCCTGTGGGCCCTGTGCTGGAGCGGTGGCTTTTCTGGACAGAGAGGGTTTGATGAGCCGTTCGCTGTGCATGAGGCCGGAGCCCTCAGCTGGCCCCGGGCAGGCCGGGAGCCTGGGAGGCTCTCCATTCCTGAGCCTCTTTCTGCCGTGTTTGCAGGTTCAGCACGTTCAGTGGACAGACGTTTGGCAGTATAATTTCAACAGATGCTCCAAAGAGGTTTTTCAGCCACACTCTCACTCAGATACTCACCCACAAGCCTGTGCTGAGAGGTGAGTCCTGGGGCCCAGTTTATTTGGGGACGGCTGTCTCCCTTGACGGGTGCATAGGCCCTGATGTTAACGTTGTAAGAGACTTTGAGATCATGAAGGATGCTTTAGTATAAATATTCTTCCTCTTGAAAGTATGCATTCTCATAAAGAAAATTTAGAATTAAAGAAGTGTGGAAAGAAGAATTGTTACCCATCTCATCACCAAAATAGAAATACCTTAACATGAAACCTTTCTTGTGGTTTTCTCTAAATAGGTTTTTGAAAACATAGTTATACTACAAATCCCAAGGTTCTGTTGTCATACGTCACACGTCGTAAGCATCTCCTTATGTAGTTACATGGTTTTATTAAAAGTGTGTAACAGTTACGTCATCTTCTACCCATGGGTGTCCTTTGGCTGACATCGCCATCCCTTCAGCGGCAGTTGGTCTGCAGGTTTTCACTGTTAAAATGAGGCTGAAGTGAACACCTTGCCTACGGAGCCTTCTCTGAGTTGGGGGCAGATCCCCCGGGTGGATCCTCAGGTGGGGCACAGGAAGCTCCTGACAGATGCTGTGTTGTCCTTTTGGAGGGCTTGGCATAGCTTCTCAGTGCCTGCTCCAGCCAGCCGTCCTCTCTGCAGCATCCTCACTGATTGCTCATCGACAGTGAGAGCTTAAAAGCACCAGAATTAAAATGTAATGGACTGAGTAGAGAATATTTGTAGCAAATATGATAAAGGATAAACTGGACCAAAGACATAGACATTTGATAACATAGAAAATGGTTGACAAACAGGGAAATGGTGAATCTCACTAAAAATTCAAAAATGCAAATTAAAACAAGGTAGTTTTTTGACAGTGAAGCTTTAAAACAGTTCTTTGGGGGCTGGCCCCATGGTCAAGTGGTTGGGTTCGCTCACTCTGCTTCAGCGGCTCAGGGTTTTGCTGGCTCAAATCCTGGGCGCCGACATGGCACTGCTCATCAGGCCATGCTGAGGCAGCGTCCCACATGCCACAACTAGAAGGACCCACAACTGAAAATATACAACTAGGTACCGGGGGACTTTGGGGAGAAAAAGGAAAAAAATAAAATCTTTAAAACAGAGGTTTTTGATGATTACTGACATTTTGTCTATTTCATCTCCTGAGTGAAGTTTCTGATGCTGTTCAAATGCAGAGAGAGTGGAGCTTTGCAAAGACGCCCCCTCTGCTCACCAGTCTGTTCCGCAAGGTGAGTGTGGTGGTGGCATTGACACTTGCCACTGCATGCACAAGGTGGCCTCTCGGATCTGCTTCCATGAGGCTGTGTGGTTCCTAGTCCTTGTAAAGTGAGGCTAGAGTCTGCACAGACACAGCTGTCCATGTCTGGACTCCTAGTCTGGGTGTCCAGAGACTGAACTTGCCCCTTAGGTAAAGGACCTTCTCCTGAAAATGAGAATTCCTCCAGCCGGTACTTACCTCTGCGGAGAGGAGAGACGCACAGGTGTCCACTGTTCCAACTCTGTGTCGTGTCTGACAGGAAGTGGGATGGAGGTGGGGATCCAGCTGCTGCCTGACGAGTGGCTTGCTTTGACAGCCAAGGGGGGCACTTTTGTTCCAGCTCTTTGTGATACTGAGTCCTGAGGAGCTGGTTGGCCATTTACAAGAAGTTCTGGAGACACATGAGGTGAACTGGCAGCACGTGCTCTCCTGTGTGTCCACACTGGTGATCTGCTTACCGGAAGCACAGCAGCTGGTTCATGGTGCGCTTTGGTGGGGGTCCTGTGGTGTTCTGAGTCTCTGTGTGTGCGTGTGTGTGTGCGCGCGTGTGTGCGTGTGTGTGTGCGTGTGTGTGCGCGCGTGTGTGCGTGTGCGTACGCACGCACATGGGTGCACGCACAAGCAGGGGTGCACATGTGCAAGCGCATGCAGTTCATCTGTTGTCGGCAAAACCCCAGCATTTGTGAGTGAGCCTGTTGGCGGAATCCTTGTCCATCTCAGTGAGGACAGAAGCCCTCCCTCACCTGCCCGAAGGTGCCCTGCCTCCTGTGTCTGTGCTGTCAGGCAGCCTCGCCTGTGGTGCCGGCTGCTGCGCTGAGGTCATGCACACTGCTGCGTGTGACAGCCTCTCACAGTTGGTGTCTGGCACACTATGAGCATTATGCAGCCTCTTGAAATTGGCGTGAGACATGCACAGCCTCGTAACTGGAATGCTCGATCCCCAGCGGACGCACACATTTTATTTCTCCCAGACGCCCTCCTGTACTTGCTCTGACTGTGGTGGTTCTTGTCTAGACTGGGTGGCTCGTTTGCTGGCCCGCGCGTTCGAGAGTTGTGACCTGGACAGCATGGTCACTGCGTTCCTGGTTGTGCGTCAGGCTGCCCTGGAGGGCCCCTCCGTGTTCCCATCATATGCAGACTGGTTCCAGGTGAGTCACCTCGGCTGACCAGCTGGTACTCCCAGCCAGCCATTGACATATTCCCCCGACCCGCCATCATGAGAATGAATGCATTCCATGGGTCAGCTCTGCAGAGATGGCCCCAGGCCAACCCCGATGTGTACCTCTTGGCCTCCCTTAGGGGCTCTGAGTTCCCCATCCAGGGGCTGAGCCCTTCCCCAGGTTGCTGCCTGGCCTGCCTGACAGGGCCCCTTCCCCCTCTTACGAGAACATCTGTGAGGTCATAGGAGAGAGAAGGCACACGTGGCCGCTTCTGCCTGCAGGTGTACTGAGTGCTGCTGTGCTCCCATCAGTCTGGGAGGAGCACTCTGAGGCTTCTTGGGTCTGTCTTTCTCTTCTCTCTCCCACGTTTGTGCCACTGTTCCCAGACCTGCTGGGTCCCTGCTTCCGAGGGCCCCGTAAGAGCCCAGGCTGTGCCTGGTGGGCATCTTCTGAGATCAGCTTTGATGGTCAGGCACGTGCGAATCTGTCGTTGACAAAGCGATCTCTTTCTGTGTAGAAGTTCTGGGGTTTCCCACGGCACCATTGTTGCTTCTTTGTGGGGAGCTTACCTTCCTCCAGTTTGCAGGGGCAGCCCCCCCCTGCCCAGAGCCCAGCTTCTGTCTGTCTGCTGTGTTGGTTGAGGATGGGGGACCCTGAATCTTGCTTTCTTCTTTTATTCCCTGGAGATCCTTCAGCCTGGGCTTCCACCAGCTCTGGGTAGTCAGCCCACGGCCCCCGCTGGCTGCACGTGGGTTGTTGGCTGTGTCTGCAGTAAGGGCGCTGAGGGACTGACTCCAGAATCTGCCCTAGTGCTCTCTGGGTGGGTCAGACTGAGCTGACTCTGTTCCCTGTGTTTATGTGTTCTGTGTCTGCCGAGAGCTCTGCCCAGATGCTGTGGTCACAGCCAGGTGTCCCCCAGGGCCTACACGTGTTCAGTTCTCAAGGCGACACGTGGTGGGAGAGGAAGGCTTCTGAAGTGCTGCGTTGAGAGTGTTTTTTTGGTTTTGTTTTTTCTTTTACCTTTTTTTGTTTTTTTCAAGATTGGCACCTGAGCTAACATCTGTTGCCAGTCTTCTTTTTTTCTTCTTCTCCTCCCCAAAGCTCACCAGTACCTAGTTGCATATTCTAGTTCTAGGACCTTCTGGCTGTGCTATGTGGGACACTGCCTCAGCATGGCTTGATGAGCGATGCTGAGTCCACACCCAGGATTCAAGCTGGCGAAACCCTGGGCCGCCGAAATGGAGTGTGTGAACTTAACCACTCAGCCATGGGGCAGGCCCCCCTTTTGCCTTTTTAAATCAACTTTATTGGGGTATAATTTATATAAAATAAAATGCACCCAAATTAAGTGAATGGTTGGATAAGTTTGACAAATGTTTATGTGTATGTTCAGTGTTTAAAGATCTGTTTTAATCTTTATTTTCAGGAATGTTAATGTAAATAGACCAATGTGATTATTACAAATTTGAGTCCTCTGGGGTCAGGAATACAGTTCTTAGCTGTAATTTTTCTAATAATGAAAAGAACTTCTTTTTTCCTTTAGTGACACTAAACGCCGTTGTAACCCCAGCTCTGGGGATGTGTGTGACTTCAGACACTTTACATAAATACTTTAAATAAACTGTGGAGCTCCTATGTAGTTCATTTCTAACCCTGTTTTCGGTGTATATTGAGGCTCACTCTTAATTGAGTGGATGTTGCCAAGAGTCAGGAACCTCTCCATGCAGACAGATTGAATGGAGGGAACTGATGCCCGTTGCACTTGGTTGGGAGGGTGTAAGATGGGGGCTGAATGGCAATGAGGAGTCCTCTTTTTTTTTTTTTTTTTTGAGGAATATTATCCCTGAGCTAGTGTCTGCTGCCAAACCTCCTCTGTTTGCTGAGGAAGCCTGGCCCTGAGCTAACATCTGTGCCCATCTTCCTCTACTTTATATGTGGGTTGCCTGCTACAGCATGGCTTGCCAAGTGGTGCGTAGGTCTGCACCCGGGATCCGAACTGGTGAACCCCAGGCAGCCAAAGCGGAGCACTTGAACTTAACTGCTACGCCATTGGGCCCGCCCCAGGGAGTCCCCTTTTAACCTAACGACTTCTAGTGTCTGTCTGCACATCACAGTATTCACAAGAATTACATCGCACGCTCTGAAAGAAGAGCTGTGAGCCCCGCTCGTCTTGTGATGATCAGCAGCAGTACCTGACGGAATTTTGACGGGCTGTGATGGTGGGCTGGGCTTCCACATGGGCCTGGGTGGCAGGACCTTGGGTCGCTTGTGGTGGGGTGTTTAGTTCTCTTTGAGGCTCGTTTGCGACGTGTTCAGGGCCAACGCCTATTTGGAGTCTCCTTCATCCCCAGTCGTACACAAGGCATCGCTGGAGGGTCTGCTTTTCTGTTGTGATCTGGGTACCTTCAGGGTCCTGAGGGACCACCCTCTTCACCGCCTCCCTGCAGTGATCTCATCCACTCACAAGTTTGGTTCAGAAGTGGCTTCATTGCATGGAATGAATGTATTTGCCAAAGAAAGAGCCCTTTTAGGGCAGCTAATAAATTGTGCCTCTAAAGTTCACAAAAAGATATAGTTACTGCTTTCTACAGGAATACATTTTTAATTTCAGGGTTTTTTTTCTTTCTTTCTTTTTTTTGAGGAAGATTGGCCCTGACCTAATATCCACCACCAATCCTTCTCTTTTTGCTGAGGAAGAGTGGCCCTGAGCTAACATCTGTGCCCATCTTCCTCTGCTCTATATGTGGGACGCCTGCCACAGCATGGCTTGAGCAGTGTGTAGGTCCGTACCTGGGATCCGAACTGGCAAACCCCAGGCCACCGAAGCAGAGTGTGTGAACTTAACCACTATGCCACTGGGCTGGCCCCTAATTTCAGTTTCTTAATAAACTTTCAGCCCATCTCTTCAGTTGAGGTGCAGCTAGGACATCCTGAAATCATGTGAACAAGATGGCTTTGTTGTTTCTCTTTTTTTGCAGTAGAAGTTTTCCGTTTTGAGGCAGAGGCAGGGCAGCAGCCACTGCTGTGTGATGAGTTACTGCATGGATGGCCTGGCCCCTCGCAGAGCGCTGCCCCCTGCCCAGTCCTCATGCCCTTCTCTCCCTCCAGGCCTCCTTTGGGAGTGCAAGGGGCTCCCACGGCTGCAGCAAGAAGGCACTGGTCTTCCTCTTCAAGTTCCTGTCGGACCTCGTGCCCTTCGAGGGAGCCCGGTACATGCAGGTCAGAAGCTGGCTGGGGCACCTTCAGCTCACGTCCTCCTTGGTCCCCACCCAACCCCGGGCATCCTGCTGACCTTCTCTGATGCAAACTCTACAACTAGGGATGTCAGTGTACAGCCAGGGAAAGCGGGTTTGTAAAGGCAAATGCCAGTCTCTCCCGAGGAGATGGCAAATAAATGATGACGTCACTGTGCAGTGAGGTATCTCAGCCCTTCAGAAGAACGAAGCAGGTCTGTATGCTGTCGCAGAAAGATGTTTTCGGCACCCGGTTATACATGATGAACACCTTGTCAACAGGAGGTGGTGTATGATCTGTCTCTGTTTTTAAAAAAATAATACATTTTTATATTGAAGAAGAATCTGGAAAGATGTACCCCCTAACTGCCACTGGCCATTACTTGTGGGAGTGGAAGACTTTACATTCTAGGATAGAGTTTGCTTTTTTTGGGGGCGGTGAGGAAGATTAGCCCTGAGCTAACATAATGTGTCATATTCCTCTATTTTTTGTATGTGGGACACCACCACAGCATGGCATGATGTGTGTAGGTCCACACCTGGGATCTGAACCGTGAACCCCGGGCTGCTGAAGTGGAGCGCCCTGACCTGACCACTATGTAACCGGGCTGGCCCAAGTTTGCATTTTTAATAACAAGTCTGTATTAACCTTGTGATTAAAAGGCCTCACTATATGCTATCTTTTTTAATCAGATCACTGTGCCCACCATTCATTTTGGGGGCAGGACACCTAGAAACTGATTCTTATCTTTTTTTTTTTAATTAAGAAACTTGGATTACATTCCAAAGAATGCATATGATGTAATAGACCCCCCACCCCCGTGAAGCCCAGCACCTGTGCTTCCTGTGCTTTCACCCCTCGGGGGCCTTCCCTCCCCACCCTGCCCTTCGTGTGTGACCCCTCGTCTCCCCTGGGCACTGCCGTGTTTGTGGTCTCAGCTGGCGGTCCTTTGAGATGGACGGTGCCTCATGATTACAGACATGAACACTACCTGCAGCGCCAAGTGCCTCCCATCTGAGAGGAGGGCCAGGGTTGTGGTGGCCAAGGGACCAGCTTTGTGTCAGGACCCTTCCTGCCCTCTCCCCGGCCTGGCCCACTTCTGGAGGAACATTCGGTGGCGCATGTGGAGATCCTCACCCAACATTCCGTCTGTCCTGCTTCCAGATTTTGCCCTGGTGGTCTTTGGCTGATTCTTTGACTTTCCCCAAAAAGTCACAAACATTCAAAGGCTGATGTAATCCTTCTCTGCCATCTGCCCCCAGGTGCACATTCTCCACCCGCCGCTGGTTCCCAACAAGTACCGCTCCCTCCTCACAGACTATGTCACGCTGGCCAAGACACGGCTGGCCGACCTCAAGGTGAGTCCCAGCCCCCTGCATGCCTGCCCCCCCAGCCTCTCCCCACGCAGGCCACTGTCTGTCTGGGCTCTCACGCGCTTGCTCATGTCTCCTCTGCAGGTTTCTATAGAAAACATGGGGCTCTATGAGGATTTGTCTTCAGCCAGGGACGTCACAGAGGTAACGTCCGCTCAGGCCTCTCCCCTGCTCCCAGGCACAGCCTCGTTCCCTGTGGCTGGGTTGAGCGTTTGAGCCTTCTGTGTCTGGGAGCTGGTACCTCTGGTGCAGCTGGAGGGTGACAGCTATCTGCAGGTGTTGTTCTGCCATATTACACACAGTTCAGGGCAGGAACAAGGACAGTCGCTGTGCAGGAAGGTTTGTCTTACAGGAGGTCTCCCTGCACGTAGATCTGAATGGAAGAGGAGGTCTGTAAAACGGGGTTGGGGGGGGCAGTCGTGTTCTTCTAGGAACTGCAGAAAAAGGTGTTAGCTATACTTAATGTAAACCAAATGTCAGAGGGCCGTATGGCATATGTACCACTATGTATTTTTTAAAGGCCATTTTACTTAAAAGTTACGAGTTGCTGGTGAGCCTTTAGAGATACCATTAAAGTGTTAGGTGAATATTTTAAAATATTTAATGCACCTTTCCACTTAAGATTTATTGCTATTCATAAGTTGCCATTTCATAATTTTTTTAAATCTCAAAAATTAAGTCTCTGCCCCTTCCCCCCTGAAAATCTTCAATTGGAACTCTTTATTCTCCTGGAGGGGCAGCGGAAAGGAGAGGCGGGAAGGTGCATGGAGCTGAGAGGGCGGCAGTGGCAGCTTCCCGGAGGTGCTGAGTGGTCGGTGGGGGCCGCTCATCGCTGGGTCTGAGCAGCTGGGCTTAGGGAGTTGCTGTGAATGTCCCCTGGCTGTGTTGTGCCTCGACCTCGAGATGACAGGGATTGTTGGGCTGTGGAAGAACAGGGGGATGGCACCCTTCTTCAGTCAGGGTTTTTTCTTCTGAATCTTCTCTCGTCCTCCCTGTACGGAACAGCCCCACAGCCAAGCGCCCCAGGATGTTGAGAAGGCTATCCTGCTGTTTGAGCACACGGGGAAAATTCCTGTCGCCGTCATGGAGGCCAGGTAGGGTCCTGCTGCCTGGAGTTGTCTCCTCGTCTCTCCTCAGAGCCACGGGGGGCAGGGTAGGCATTGTACTCGTGGCAGACCAGGGAGACCGGGTGAGTGTCCCGCCAAGGGCCCTGCAGCGTGGTGGAGTGGAGCCCTTGCTTTGAAGCTTGTTTTCTTTAGAAAAGCATGCCGCACCTCCAAACAGCCCACAGGAAGTGCTGAGTAGAGCCTGCACTGTGCAGAGGGACAGGAACAGGCCCTCGGTGTAGTAACCGTGGATTTTTATTAATGCTTCATGGGTGACCAGCATGGAGCCAGGATAGGGAGTTGAATAGCAAAATTCCGTTGAATTTGGTGCGATCCCAAAACATCTTGAATTCTGGTTGTTGCCAGCGTGGGGCAGCTTTCTTAAGGTGTTGCTTCTGAGAAGTGTGAACTGATTGCAGCTCCCGGGACTTCCAGATCAGCTGTAGGGAGAATGCCCACAATTGACCTGAAGCGACCCTCGTAGCCTTGGGCTAACTCAGATTCATTGGCCATGCCTTGGGCAGAGTGTCGTCCAGATTCCCTGGGATGTGGGGCTGTCACCAGCACAGACTGCCCTTTGCATGAAGTGTCCCAAAACAGTGACAAAGAAGACTTAAAAATGAGTTATAACGTCATGGATGTGAAAGGAGGCAGCCCTGTGCAGCGCGGTGACTATCTGGAAATGGGCATGTTTATTGTGTTCGTGAAGGTGTCCTGATCCCTGCCGTCTGACTCGGTGTTCGCCCCTTTGACCTGCCCTTCTGTGTTGCAGCATATTCAGGAGGCCCTACTACCTGTCTCACTTTCTCCCCGCCCTGCTCACACCTCGAGTGGTCAGTATGCGTCTTCGTGAACTTGGGACCGAGTTGGCAGAGACCAAGGATATTCCTGTCTGGCATCTCACTCGAATCTCGTCTCTCCTCTCAACAGCTCCCCAGAGTCCCTGATTCCCGAGCGGCTTTTATAGAGTCCCTGAAGAGGTACGAAGGACATCTCTCTTTCTAGTGGGGTTTCTGACAATGCAGTCAGTTGGGGAGAGACATGTGTAGAGAAATTTCTCTTTTGTAGAGAAATGTGTTTTATCACATGTATGTTTTATTTATAAAATACTGGCTCAAAATTAGTTAAGATTTTAAGAAGAAAATTTCTTTGATTCTGAATATCTTCACTTAGCATCATTCCTCAGTGAACTTCCAGGGTGATTGGTCTGGGAATTACAGTAGGTTTATTGGTGCATAATCATTGTGAAAGAAGGAGGATTTAAGCAAAGAAGGAGAAGAGAAGAGAGATGTGTGAAAGGCACACTGCAGAAGACTCGGAGCCTCCTGCATAGCGTGGGGCCCGCGAGGCCTCCAGGAGCAGAAAGCTGGTTGGTTTCCCAAAGGTCATCTTTCTTGGGAGAAATAGAAAACTGTAATCCTGTTTTCCAGTGAAACTCTTATAAAGTGATAGGACCTATAAGAAGATTGAAAACAGAAAGGCTAGAAAGTAAAAATATATTTTTTCATCTTATGATAAGACCATTCTCTGGGCTCCTTATTTTTATTTATTTTTGATACAAAATATTCCAAAAGTACAGAGACCAACTAAGAAAACACCCTTGTGCCCCACCCACATTAATATTTTACTATCTTTCTTTTTTGTTGTTCAAAATAGAGTAGTTCAGACCAGTTGAAGCCTCTCTTAGTCCAGCTCTCTGATCCCCTCCTCTTTTTTCTTCTCCAAGGAAGCCGTTATCCTGAAGTGGGTGTTTAATTTTTCCTGGTTTTTTACATGTATTTATAGTTATAAATTATGTATGTATACACATCACATAGTATGGTTTTGTGTTTTTAAAGTGGAGTCGATACAGTCTGTCATTTTGCGATTTGCGTCTTCACTCACCCTATGGTTCCAGTTTATTCACCTGCTGTGTAGGATTCTGCTGTGTGGCTATGGACTGCCATGTTGCACAGCCGGCTGCAGGTCACACAGACACAGAATGGACAGTAGGGCCGTGTGACTATGGGGACCGATTTACTCATCGCCCCTAACTGGGCTCTTAGGAGAATTCTAGTTTATGCTCTTTTAACTGTGCTTCAGTGAAGATCCTTGGTATATCGCCATGAAACTTAGAATTTGAATGGAATTTCATTGATTTTACACATTAATTTGAGGAAAGTTGATTCTGAGTTTTTCCTTCCATGAACATAGTATATCTTTATTCAAGTCTTTTCATAGTGTTTTATGATTTTTCTTTATAAAGATCTCATAAATTTTTTGTTAGGTTTATTACTAGGTACCTAGATTTTGTTGCTGTCGTGAACAGCATATTGTTTGCTGTTGAGTTTTCTCATTGATTATATACTCTCCTATCCAGTAACTGCCGGACTGACTTCTCATGGTTGGTCAGTAGATTTTCTATGTAGATAATCACGTTGTCACCAGAACGTAGTTTGTCTCTTCCTTCCAGTTTTCATACCTCTTAATTTTTGTCTGATTATATGGGATAGGACTTTTAGTACAATACAGAACTACAGGAGTACTAAACTGGCATCTTAGCTTGTTCCTGACTAAAATAGAAATGCTTCTAAAGTTTTACCATTAATTATATTTGCTGTTTATAAATATATGCTCGTTACCGTATTAAAAAAGTTCTCTCTATATGAATTTTCTAAAGACTTTGAGCATGAATGAATGCTTTTTCTGCATCTCTTAAGATGATCATGCTGTTTTCATGTGCTCTGTTATGTGATAGATTTTTTCCACCATCCTTGTATTCCTGGAGCATCCCCTACTCGGTAATGATTCTGTTTTATAAACTGCTGCATTTGGTTTACTGATATTTTATGTAGGATTTTTGCATTTGTGTCTCTGATTCTCTTCTACTTGTCTTGGCTGCTTTGGCTTCAGGGTTTCAGTCCTTCATGAAGTGAGCTGGGCAGCCTTCCCTCTTTCCTGTCCTTTGAAGCAGTTTGTGCAACTTGGGCATTCCGTGTTCCTGAAGGTTTGGTAAAACTTGGCTGTGAAATCACGTGTTCCTAGTGTCTTTTGTGGAGGCAGAGTTGGCTACTGACTCAGTTTCTTGAATGGTTATTGATTTAGTCTGGATTTTTATTCTTCTTGAGTAGTTACTCTATTTCTAGAACACTGTCCGTTTCATCTAAGTTTTCAAGTTTGTTGATATAGCATTATTCATCATATTCTGTTGTGACTTAAAAAAATCTCTCTACCTCATCTATACTTTTCATTCTTTTTTAAAAATTCCTGCTAGTGTTACTTTTACCTTATTTTTTATGGCTCACTTGATACAAGATTTGTATGTTTTATTAATTTTATTATATAACCCCTTTTTTATATTGTCATCTTCCTGGGGTTTTTTTAATCTCTATTTCATTAATTTTGGATTTTAACTTTATTATTTCCTTCTTTTTATTTGAGTTTGCTTTCTTTGCCTTTTTATAATTTCTTTTTTTTTTTGAGGCAGACTAGCCCTGAGCTAATATCTGCCGCCAATCCTCCTCTCTTTGCTGAGGAACATTGGCCCTGAGCTAACATCTGTGCCCATCTTCCTCTTTTTTTTTTTTAATGTGGGATGCCTGCCACAGCATGGCTGGATAAGCGGTGCATAGGTCTGCACCTGGGATCCAAACTGGCGAACCCTGGGCCGCCAAAGCAGAACGTGTGAACTTAACCACTGCACCACCAGGCTGGCTCCCTCTTCTTATAATTTCTTAAACTAGTTGTTTAACTTATGCCCTCGAGAAGTTTCGACATAAAGTTCTCACATCATCATTCTGTCCTACATATTCTATCATGTGTGTGATGATTTTCTCATAATTTGTAAGTTAGCTATCAGTGAATTTTAAAATTTTCCAAACATAGATGTTTGTCCTTGAGCTTTTATTGTTGATTCTAATTTAATGACGTTAAGAACATGATTTGCTTTTTATGGATTTTTTTGTATTTGGTCTGACTTCCCTTTAGTACATGCTCAGCGTTTGCAAGAATTCCAGGCATGCTTGAAGACAACGCCGATCCCTTAATTTGGGGTGTAGGGTCTGTCTGTCAACTGTGCGTGTTCTCAGGTTTTCTGTGTCCCAACCGCTTTCCGTCTCCGGTGCGTCCGTTTATCGTGGAGGATGCTGTGCCTTTGTCGGTCTCTCCTTGTAGGTCTGTCAGATTCGTCTTTACAGATTTTGAAGACTATCTTGTTAGTTGCAAACAAACTCATGATTGTCAAAATATAGCCTTCACAATATGGTCTTCTTGCTGGATATTTTTTTTATTCATCATTATATAATGTCTCTATTAGGCTTTTTACCTTAATTTCTGTTTTGTCTGATATTACTGCCGGCTTTTTTTTTTTTTGGTATTTGCATAGTATAGCTTCTTCATTTTTTGACATATTTATTTCTAGTCTTTAAAAATTTTTGTCAGAGTTAAATATGGATGTAGATTGAAGAGTCAGGTAGTTCCATAAAGTTTATTAAAAGAAACAGCCATCTCCCACCCCCTCCCTGCCACTTCTTTATCTCTGGAGGCAACCATTTTCAACTCTTTACTGATCTTTTTATGTTTCTCTCCAAATCTCTAAATAATATTCTTATTTTGCTAATTATCGCCTTTTCTGTTTTGGGCAATAGCAGCTGACTTTCCACCGTGGAGAATGAAGACCTAGCTTTCTTTCCTCCACCAACACATGTAGTTGTCCTTCATATAATAGTTTTTAAAAGCTCAACATGGCTGGGTTTTTTTAAGGCTATATAAACACTATTTGGAGCTGACCATTATGAATCTAACTGCTTTTCCTGCTCTTTTCTCTGGAGTTCATAATTATCTTTGTTTCATCTTAGTTTTCCTTGTACATATCATGATTCAACTGCAAATTCTGCCGGTCGTCTAAATGTCCTCTCACTCAGAGTCGTCGAGTATTCCAGCACTACATCTCAGAGAAGTCTCCTCTGAGCCTTCTAACCTGCTCTGACCTGAACTGTCAGCTTCTTATGCCTCTAAGCACAGATGTCATCCTGTGTCTTCCTTCCACATCTCAGAGAAGTCTCCTCTGAGCCTTCTAACCTGCTCTGACCTGAACTGTCAGCTTCTTATGCCTCTAAGCACAGCTGTCATCCTATGTCTTCCGTCCACATCACTTGGGAAGGTCTTTTGCTCTGGCTTGTGACAACTTTTCTCTCTTCTGTGTCCTAGATCTCCTCTTTCTTGATTTACTCCATTGTTTTGGTGGAGCACATCCTATTGAAACTTCCTAAGAAAGGATGGATGGAGGGTAAATTTTTTTTGACACCTTAATCAGCCCTCACATTTGATAGGTAGTTTGGCTGGGCATAGAAATCTACGTTGGAAATTATTTTACCTCAAATTTTTGAAAGTATTGCTCCATTGATTTCTAGCTTCCAGTGTTGATGTTAGAAACTGTTATGATTTCTGATTCTTTGCATGTGGCCTGTGGTTCTCTCTCTGGAGGCTTGAGTTGTCTTCTTTGTTCCTTGTGTTCTGACATTTTATAGCACTGTATTTTGGTGTGGGTCTAATGTCATTTCTTGGCTAGGCACATAGTGGGCCTTTTAATCTGGAAATTCATGTCCTTCAGTACTAAGAAATTTTCTCAGATCTTTTAAAACCCTTTGTTATGAAAAATCTAAGACAGAAATGTATGGAAAATTGTATCTAGTACCCAGCTTTAATAATTACCAAAAGTGGCCAGACTTGTTTCATCTGTAGCCCCAAATTCACCCACCCACCCATCTTTCCCCTATTCTGGATTATTTTGAAGCAAATCCCAGACACTGATTATTTCATCTTGACTTACGTCATTGCAGGTCTCTTTCCCACTAGGTTCTTTTTTTTTTCTTGGAACTCCTATATTTCAGATGTTAGAACCCCTGGATTGTCTTCTGTTTTTTCCTCCTCTTCTGTCATATTTTGCATATCTGGTTTTTATCTCCTTTCTGGAACATTTCTTCAAGTTTACCTGCCCATCCTTTTACTGAGTGTCACATTTCTGCCACAGATAGTCCTTTTTATGGCAGTCTATTCTTATTTCATAGCTACAGTGTTGTCTGACCCCTCTGAGGATGTTAATGATAGTGATGTCTCAAGTTTTCTTTTGTGTGAATTTCTCCATTTCTTTGAATTTGTTCTTTCTTTTTATTTGCATTGGTTTCTATTTCTTAAGCTAAAGGCTTTCCCATCCCCAGGGCAGTGGGTGGTAGTCCTCGATTCCTGGTCTCCAGGCTGGTTCCCTTCCTCGCTTCCGGTCCCTGCTGTGGTCCTCACTCTGGAGCACAGCTGGGTCTTGTTCTTCTGCTCGTGTCGTCATCACGGTCTGCAGCACCGTCGGGGGCCCTCCTGCCTCACTGCTCCCAGTCTCCCGCAGGCTGTGCCGCCGGCCACAGATCCTGTACCCAGGCTGCCACTCAGGGCTCCTGTTCCTCTGAAGGTGATGCCCTGGCTCTTGTCCTTGGACTTGTCACCGTGCTGTGAGAACGTGCCAGCTGGGGGTCTGTGCCCTGAGATGCCCCATGGCCTTATCACAAGGCTTGGTTCTATAATTCTGTCTATTTTTAATGACATTAATTGGGTATTTTTCTTAGTATTATTCATTAAAAGTAACATAAGTTCACTTTTAAAATTTGGAAATTACTAAAACTTGAATATCGGTTATAGTCTCACTACCTGGTGGAAAGCCCTGATGGTGTGTGTGTGTATATGACACACTGTGGAACTGAAAGGACCATTTCAACCCATATATATGTAATTTGGTAAAAACACAGGGTCATACTGTATGCCGTGTTGTATAATTTATTTAGATTTACTATGTCACGTATTTTTATTTTATGGTAGTTTTTGGAATTGTAAGTTTGGCAATTAATTTGATTCGTAGTTGATTTGATTTTCATGTTTTCTTCTGATCCAGAGCAGATAAAATCCCCTCGTCTCTGTACTCCACCTACCGCCACGCCTGCTCCACTGCCGAGAAGAACCCAGAAAGTACGGCTCCCAGGTCACTCGGTCACGAGACACACTCTCTTCCCTCCTCTGGTCACGAGATGTGCTGGTGACGCCTGCCAGTGCTGGTCGGGTCAGGTCGAGCTGGGTCCAGCCAGAGCTGTGGGTTCAGAGGCTGCCAGTCTTGGCACCAGGGGGGCCGGGTGTGGCGTCAGCTCACAGACACTTAGCTGGAGGCCTGAGCAGCCCCTGACAGAGCGCTTCCTTGAAGCACCACGTGCAATACAGATCTACTCTGCTGTTTGTTGTCTTCGTGTGCCCCGCTGAGGCCGTGATGCGATTCCTGTGTGCCTGTCCTGAGCTGGAGCTTTCAGTTCGGGTGGCCTCCCAGATTCAGTGGCCAGGCTCAAGGCCGCAGCGTCGGTTCTGAAGTGTGTGGTAGGGGAAGGTCTGTGGCAGTTTTCTGACGTTTGGACGGTTGAGTTCTTTTTTTTTTTTAAAGATTTTATTTTTTTCCTTTTTCTCCCCAAAGCCCCCCGGTACATAGTTGTATATTCTTAGTTGTGGCATGTGGGACGCTGCCTCAGCGTGGCTTGATGAGCAGTGCTATGTCCGCGCCCAGGATTCGAACCGACGAAACACTGGGCCGCCTGCAGCAGAGTGCATGAACTTAACCACTCGGCCACGGGGCCGGCCCCTTTTTTAAAGATTTTATTTTTTTCCTTTTTCTTCGGAGTTCTTTTGTAGTGGGTTCTGCTTATCGGGGACAGTGATGGGGACCTGGGTCGAGTCTGAGGAAGCCTGCATCAGTGAGGTGGCAGGGCTGGGAGCAGCTGCCCCCCATTCCCTCCACTAACAAGGCGGCAGGGAGAGGGCCTGGCTTCCCACAGTGTCTTGGGGAGCGTGCTGTTGGTGCAGTGCTCGTGTTTGCTGGTTTAAATCTTCTGACGTCTGCAGGGCCAGCTAGTCTGAATGAGGCTCTTCCAGCCAGCTGACTGCAGTTCCGTTTTCATGTCTGTCTGCCAGAACCCCTCCTGGCTATGAGCTTGGATAATTGCTAACGGTGATAGGGACCCAGAAAACTTGAGTGGGCAAAGCATGAAGGTCGAGCTCTCCCACTTGTCTTGACTGGTGCTGAAACAGCTCGCAGTTGTGCTGGGGTGCCGAGGTGGCCTCGCTCCTCCCTGCCCAACTCCACAGCCCTACTTCTGGGGGCTTCTGGAGTGTTTTCTGATACTTCATCTGAAAGGCCTCAGGTTCGATGGTTTCTGGTCTCACTTTGGGAGACTGCGAGCTTACTGCATACTCCTGGTGTCTCTGGCATGACACCAGGACTGGAACTTGTTTTGCTTTTAAAATGTGTGTTGTGTCTTCCTTTTTATAATGAAAATGATGTGTTTGAACAAATATCTTTCTTATGCAAATAGGTGATCATGTCTAGTCTTTTTTAGTGAGTCCGTTAAATGTTCGTTGAGAACTGGTAATTGTCTCTTGTACTAAGTCTCAGTCTTTTTTCTTTATGTTTTATTTTTTAACATCCTATCATAAAAAGCAATATGACAGTGTTACTTAAAAGTTTGAGAAACAGGGACTAAATCATCGTCGGTTCATAGTTCTGCCCTCCCCGCCCAGCCTCCCTCCATATGCTCTGGCCCTTTTTCATTACGTACATGATTTTCACGCTTGTGGTGATGGTGTGCATAGAACTGTGTTCTTTCTTAGGCTTGTTTATAATTGTGTAAATTTTTGATATGACAGTTAGCATCCAGCATTAGGGAGAGGATTTCCTTTCCCTCCTCATGGGGTCCTAGTGCCCGTCTTCCCTCTGCACAGAGAGACCATGGAGATGAGCAGTCCTGCATTCAGCCGTGCTTGTGTTTCCTGTCTGGCCTAATTGTTAAAACTAACCACTCATCTCAGATACAGCCCCGGGAATGAAGGTGGAACCCAACTGTGTGGATGAACCCTTGAAACTGCTCATGATTGCGCTGGGAGGACTCAGGGCAGCGATGACAGACCCCGCCCAGTATGACGGTGAGGACAGGGCTGTCTGCACTGGGTGTCTGTGGGCTGAGGAGGCGTGTCTGACTGTGGTCGGAGCTCCGTGGCTGGTCCATTCCCCCGTAGGGATAGTAGCCCGAGTGTATTCCCTGCGATTCAGGTCTGGTGGTTAAGCCTGAGCACTCATTTCAGGTGGGATGGGAGCTCAGAAACTCAGGCGGGCACGGACCCTTGGCAGAAGCTGAAGATTCTGCTCTTTGGCATTCCAGTGGGACAGGCATGGGGAGGAAGAAAGCTGAGTGATGTCACTAGGGTGTGGTTTCCTTTCTTACCCTAACTGCCTGAGTAGTGATGACACTCAGCATTGGGCCTCTGCTTCTGTGTGACTGCAAGATGGCAAGTCACAAGCGTTCGTTTGTGGAGTAAGAGCGTGAACAGTTCAGAGCGCGTAGGGGTGCAGAGTGGTCCATAAAAGACTAAGTTCCAGTACTCTCAGATTTTTGTTATGAAAAATTCAAAGGCTAAAATAAGCCACATTTTTACCTAGTATCTGTAATAGATTTTTATTTATTATGAATTCATTTCATTTAAACCAGGACAGAATGTCCCATGAGAGCTTCCCAGAGGGAATATTAAAACCACCTTAGTTCCACTGCTCACTGATGGGGCTGGAACACCTCAGCTGTGATGGTTCTGAGGGCTGAGTGTGTGGTCACGTGGGGAGCATGCCTTACAGAGGTGTGCTCCTATAGAGCGTGGTGTCTAGGGACCTTGAGGCCTGGGTGGAACCCCAGTACTTCAGCAAGACTGATGAAAGGTCAGGTCAGCGTTGTTTCTAAAAGCAGCAGAGATTCCGTTTCCAGGTTTTATGGTTGGCCCACTGGTTGCCCGACCCTGGCATCCAGAAGCCATGACTCTTTGCCAGTGGCAGACCCTACAGTGGCTGGGATGTGGAGCCTCCAGCAGATGTGACAGTGTGTGGGAGAGTTGATGTGGTTTCAGAGGGGAGTATGAATAAATGGTGGAGGTTTGTGATGGTGAAGGAATCCATCGGATAACATTCCCTCAGACATCTAGGAAGAAGCAAGGGACAGTATGTGGCTCTGTTCTGCCCGTGTCGCATGCACCCATGTTACATGCTTGTCAACTGTCTAATCTCTGCCACCTGCGTGATGGGAAAACTTGTTTTCAGTTCCTGGCTAGAGGACGTGAGCAGCCCCAGGGTCAGTGGAGTGTCGGACCTAAGAGTTGGCTGCCGTAGTGGTCAGGGCTGCTGCAGTGAGCCTGTGCACCCGGTGCCGGCCTCGTGCTCCTCCCACGGAGCATCTCCTGGGGGTGTGGGCAGGGTGGGCATTAGGTAGCTTCCCGCACCCCGTCAGTCCCTTGAAGCATCTCCTCCCATGTTTCCCTGCTGGTCTAACTGGGTTTCTCCACCTGCAGTTCTGTCTGCCCAGATTGCAGTGATTTCTGAGAGGCTCGGCCCCGCCTTGGGCGTCAGTGAGGACGATGGCAGCTGTGAGGCATCGAAGATCCAGCTCAGCGTCCTTGCCCCAGAACTGGAGCAGCAAGAACAGAAGGTGAGGGTAGGTGCACCTAGGAAAGACACAAGGTGTCGAGTGTTGCTGGGTTGTGCAGAAAGTACCAGATGCCTAGGCTCTGCTGTCACTTGTTTGCTAGGTAAACTGTGCAAGTGAAGCAGGACGTCCAGGAGCTGGGTGGTCCTCTGTCCCAGGATCAGCAGGCCCTGCCTGTTTGTGTACAAGCTCTTTTTACGTTTTTAAAGAAGAATGTGCAGCCAGAGACTGTTGTGGCCCTCTTGGCCCTTTATAGACAGGGGTGGCTGCCCTGCTGCCCGCTGTAAAGTTCCACGAGTAGAGGTCGCGAGAGGACACTCGGCCTGTGCTGTTTCCAGGAATGGGAGTGGGAATGCTTGTGCCAAAGTGCGTTGTGGTTTCCTCTCCAAGTGCAAGCCGGTTGTGCAGTCTGGTTAGCTCAGCTGTGGCCCTGCCCTACGTCAGCCTGTAAACAGTACCGCATCGGTACGGCGTTAGGCCTACATGTGCTGCCCTCTCTGGAATGCCACACCCTCAGTGACCTCTTCTCTCAGGTTGTGGATCTCCTGCTGACGTCTTTTTGTCAGAACCTGATGGCAGCCTCCAGCTTTGCTCCACCAGACAGGTAGAGTCTGGAAAGTTTCACTGGGTGGTCTGGACGTGGCCTGGGTGGCCTGGGTGCTCCGGGACGGCCTCCCTCTTGGAGCAGAGCTTCTCCCTGTGTCCACGATGAGGAGAGAGGTTGTGCCTGGTCCTGCCCTCTGACTTCCTGCTACTGGCTGAGGGCCAGCTGGGTGCAGGAGCAGTGCTGATTTTTACCAAGCAGAGAAGTTGCACACTGCCACAGGAGACCTCGCTGTTTGGGGAGCAGCCTGGTTCCTTCTTAGGCATACTGTCGTGACGGCTCATCCACCAGCCTCGGGGTAGGGCCGTTCAGGGTCAGAACTGGCCACTGTCCTCGTCTCTGGCTGTTTTTGTAGGCAGGGCCCCTGGGCTGCCCGCTTCACAATGACCATGTGTGGACACGCGCTCCTCCCTGCCGTGCTCACCAGGCTCTGCCAGCTGCTCCACCACCAGGTAGGGCTGTGGCCTCTCTAGCGGGAAGTGGGCTCTCACCCGTTCCCTCCTGCAGAACCACTTTCTTTTCTCATTTTAGGGCCCAAGCCTGAGTGCCTCACATGTGTTGGGGTTGGCTGCCTTGGCTGTCCACCTTGGCGAGTCCAGATCTGTGCTCCCGGAGGTGCATGTGGGCCCTCCTGCCCCTGCCAGGGATCTCTCCATCCCTGAGTTCTTCAACAGCCTCCTGACGTGCAGGACCGCAGAGTCCTCGTGCTTGTGCCTGAAGTGAGTTCTCCCCCTTGTCCCTCAGTCACCTCTCTTCTCTCTCTTGACGAAAGTAACACATTTGACAGAATTAGCAAAAATACTTGTGCTCCACAGATAATGACTCATTAATATTTGGGGATATGTCCTTCCAGAATCTTATTTTGTGTGTATTTATATGTGTGTGTTTCTCTGTTTGAAAAAAATGAGATCATCCTGCTTTACCAAACTGCCTTTGAAGACGCTAACAATAGACTGTAGACGCCCTTCCACGTCACTAAGCGTTCTTCCAGGTCGTGGTGGGAGCTGCTGCGTGTTGTACTGGGGCGCCTGGTGCTTGGTCGGACCCATCCCTCTGGTTAGGTTCCTGGATTTCCCTGTGGTGAGCAACCCTGGGCCACAGCTCTTTCTCTAGGATAAACTCCTGCACAGGGAACTGCCCTGCTCAAAGAGAAAGTCACCTTACAGGGTCTTGAGGCCCATTACCCTACAGGTCTGTGCCAGTGTACACGCCGCTGTCTGCTTACCGCATCAACCCCGCCCGTCTGTGTGGGGGCACCTGGTAAGTCGACAGCGAGCGTGGAGCATGATGCAAGGCGCCAGGTATTGGGAGAGGTGGGCAGGTGGGAGTGAGGGCAACTGCCTGCCGGGGAGAGCAGGGCTGTGTCCCAATGTGCTGAGTGGGTGGAGCCCTGGGAAGTCCCGGTGTGACTTGGGTCTGTAGGGCTTGCTATGGCTGCCAGGGTGAATAGACAGAGGGTCCCAACAGAAGCCAGGAGGCTCCGGTGGGAGTTCTTGGCTGGGACTGTGGTCACAGTTCATCGACAGAACTGACAAAAGGCATAAGGAGTGCAATGGAGCAGGGAAAGACGAGCACAGGAAAGCCTGCCCCATACCACCGCCCACCAGTTGTCCTCGCCATCCACAGTGGGAGGCAGAGTGGTCCAGCCCCTCCTGGGCTTGTGGCAGCACCTGACAGACCCCACCAGGAGTCAGTCGTGTAGGCGCTGTGGTCCCCCATTTCTTCCACGCCATCTTCCTGACTTTGGGCCCTGAGGTTGGTCTCTCTTCTCACTGGTCTCCTCTCCCACACTTCACAGCTGACCATGGTGGGCAAAGGCTGCCCCAGGCTTAGTTTAAAATTGAGCATGCTTCTCTCTGGTTCTGCAGACTTTTTTTAGGAAGGAAAAATGAATAATTTGCTAACACTTGCTAAAAAAAAAGCCCTTTTTACGTAATTACACGAGTAACACCCCCATCACGTCTCCAGACTCCATTCTGTTTGTTCTGGCTGTGGCTTTTCACAGGCAGTGGAAGCAAGCCCTTGTTTGCACAGAGTCTGAATGTTCACGTGTTGTCTGAGTCTCTGCCGTCAGTGTGGACGAGCTCAGACCAGATGGCCCATGCGGGCCATTCTCAAGTGCTCGGAGGGGCTGAGGCCGAGGACTGTCTGCAGGCCGGCTGCCGTAGAACGCACTCAGCTCACTCTTGAAATGCAGACTTTTCTTTCGTCCCTTATTTTGCACGGATCACATTTCTACAATTTCTATTTTCTATTTTCAGGTTTTGTACAGCGGCAATTTCTTATTCTTTGTGTAAGTTTTCTTCCCAGTCACGTGATATTTTGTACTGCTGTTTATCTCCAGGCCTTATAAAAAAGGTAGGTCTATTAGGTTTCCTTTTTCCATTCTCCTCTAAGTCTCCAGTTTTATGCAGGTTTCCAGCCCAAAGTCCACGGTCGCTGCTGGCTGAGAGTCCTTTCTCGGTGTGCAGCCCTGTGCTCTGTGATTCCCCAGGCCACCTCTTAGAGGCTGCCACAACTATCTGCGTGGGCCAAACACTGCTTTTTCCTTGTGTTCTGAGTTAAAATGAGGGGATGTAAGATGACAGCTACAAATGCCCCTCCCTTTTTTAGGAGAAACAGAAACTGGTATTTATAAAATAGGGATATAAGAAGATAAATATTCATTAAAAAATATCTTTCCATTTAAAGAAGAACTCTGAATTTCCTCTAAAGACGTGTCTCGTCCAGTGAATGCTTGTTACATTTCTTAGAAGACCAGAGGAATTTAACAGTGCATGTGAGAAACCGCAAATGCTGGAAGTGAAGTTACAATGTGAACAAGTGTTACTCCTTCTGGAGAGTTTTAGGGAACATCTCTTGTGAAGTTGAAACCTGGTTCTCAGTTCCAGGCTTCACATTAAAGTCACCTGAGCAGCTTTGGGAGGTAGCCTCGTGGGCTCTAACTGGCGAGGCAGTCAGCACTGGGAGCAGCCTGGTATCCTGGGCGCACCACTGCTCCCCACTTGTTTGCATCGAGGAGCTTAGTCCCAGATGCCCGAATTTTCAAGCAAGGAATGAAGATTAGGAGGAGTGATCTAGACAAGGAAGTCCCCCAGCCCACTCTCTAGTTCCGATCCAGCTGTGCCCTCCTCCGTGGTCCCCTTGATCAGCCTGCAGCTGGAAAGTGTTTTGCTTATGCAATTGGTAAGCTTTTTCGTGAAAAGACCAGTGCTGCAAAAGTCTGGGAGCACGGCTGTTCGCGGCTGCAGGGCTAGACCAGCTCCTCCCTGTGGAGGGCAGTCAGGCCCAGGGAGCCTGCTTCGGGGCAGTTCGCCCAAGGAGGCAGATGTGCCAGGGTTTACATACAGGCTGCTCCCTGAAATGCCATCTATAACGGTGGACACAGGGTGCCCAGGGCCCCACGAGGGCTTGGTGAGGCCGCTGCGGGGTCTCCACACTGCCGTGCTGTGCACAGCCAGGTCACTCACGTATTTTCAGTTTCAGTGTCTCTTTCAGTTTCAGTTCTTGGTGTTCAGATTGTTCTCCGAAGCCCGAGACCCTCTCTCTCAGGAGGACACAGCCGGCCTTGCCTGGAAGCCCTCGGGCCTGCCCTCCATGGACTGGCAGCGAGCTGCCCTCTGTCTGTGGAGACAGAGAACCTTCCAGGAGTTATTGAAGGAGAAGCAATTTCATGTAGGTCCCATTGTCCCTACTTCTCACCTCGTCTTAACGCCCAGGGGTTTGGGGTGTGGACTCGGGGCTCCCTGAGGACGTGATGGGCAGGCGGTGGGCCTGAGCTGGTGATGCCGAGCAGCACAGACGGGACTGATTGAAAGTGTTATTGGGATCAGTGTAGGTTCACACGCAGATGTAAGAAATGAGGCAGAAAGATCCCATCTGATCTTTGCCCAGTTCCTCTCAGTAGTAGCATTTTGCAGAAAATTTTAAGGGTGATAAAAACATATTTTAAACATATCTGCCAGGCTCCGATTTGGGCTGGGCTTTTCAGAGCGCAGTCCCTGGGAACCATGGCCCGCTCCAGCCAACATGCCTGTGTTGGTAGTCTCTGCTCCCTTTTCATAACTTTTCATTTATTTCTTGGATGTTTGCCTGCTTGTTTTGATCTTTAGATAAATTCTCAACTGTTCTATTATAATTTTTAAATTCTTTTATCGTTAACTATATTAATTATTAGTGGTTAAGATTGGCCATTCTCACTGCCAAGGCCCAGGTTCATTTCCCATTTGGAACCACACCACCCCTTTGTCGGTTGTCATACAGTGGTGGCTGCAGGTGGCTGTGGTGCTGAAATGTCTGCCACTGGTACTTCAAATACCAGCGGGGTCACCCATGATGGGCAGATTTCAGTGGAACTACCAGACTAAGACAGACTAGGAAGGAGGACCTGGCCACCCACTTCTGACAAAACTGGCCCTGAAAACCGTATGAGTGGCAGTGGGGCATCGTCTCATTGAGCGCCAGGAGGGGAGAGGACGGCGTGACAGGCGAGGCAGGGCTCTGCTCTGCTGTCCACAGGGCCCTGGGAGTCGGGATCCACTCCATGGAACTGATAACAAATGTCAGTTAATCAAGAGTTGCTCTGGGGGGCTGGCCTGGTGGCGCAGTGGTTAAGTTTGCACGTTGCACTTCTCAGCGGCCCAGGGTTCACCAGTTCAGATCCCAGGTGCAGACATGGCACCCCTTGGCAAGCCATGCTGTGATAGGTGTCCCACATATAAAGTAGAGGAAGATGGGCACAGATGTTAGCTCAGGGCCAGTCTTCCTCAGCAAAAAGAGGAGGATTGGCAGCAGATGTTAGCTCAGAGCTAATCTTCCTCAAAAAAAAAAACAAAGAGTTGCTCTGGGGCCAGCCCTGGTGGCCTAGCAGTTAAGTTCAGTGTGCTCTGCCTCAGCAGCCCAGGTTTGGTTCCTGGGCGCAGACTAACACCCCTCTGTTAGCGGCCATGCTGTGCTGGTGGCCCACATACCAAAAAATAGAGGAAGACTGGCACAGATATTAGCTCAGGGCGCATCTTCCTCAACAAAAAATTAATAATAAAAGAGTAGGTTGGACAGTCTGTGTTTCCCATGAAGAGTAAAGGTGCAGGAGCATTGTGCCCACCGGCTGCTCAGCAGGCACCTCACCTGCATCTCAGGGCCACTGTCCCATCTCTGGGTAACCCTGGCCTTGCTCCTCCTGCTTGGCCACACACGTGTGTCACCTGGCTCTGGCCTTTACACAATGGGAGCATGTTGCGTGTGTGTTCCTGTGATGTCCTTTTTCACATGCAAACGTGAGGTTTTGAGATTAGTCTTTGTGTTGATGTGTGGAATTTTTTTTTTTCTTCGAGGAAGATTAGCCCAGAGCTAACTGCTGCCAATCTTCCTCTTTTTGCTGAGGAAGATTGACCCTGGGCTAACATCCGTGCCCATCTTCCTCTGCTTTCTATGTGGGACGCCTCCCACAGCACGGCGTGCTAAGTGGTGCTGTGTCCACACCTGGGATCCGAACCGGTGAACCCCGGGCCGCCGAAGGGGAATGTGCGCACTTAACTGCTGCACCACCGGGCCAGCCCCGATGATGTGTGGAATTTAATGTTGATGTTCCAAGAATTTAAAAACAAGAAATATGCTACTGTGAATATTTGAAGCATGTTATTATATCAAGTTTATTCTTTGGTTATTTGCCTAACTCAAGTGAACTAGAAAGTGATTTCTTTGCTAGTGCTGCTGTACAGTAACTTGAGAGGTTTGTCGCGGGTTGTGGATGCCACAGGTTAACTATTCAAAACCAGGCAGTATGCTGGAGAATTCAGTTTAAAAGTACCAATTTGTGGGGGTCAGCCTGGTGGCATAGTGGTTAAGTTCACACATTCTGCTTTGGCAGCCCAGAGTTCATGGGTTCAGATCCCGGGCACAGACCTACACACCACTCGTCAAGGCCTGCTGTGGCGGTACCCCATGTGCAAAATAGAGGAAGCCTGGCACAGATGTTAGCTCAGGGCCAATCCTCCTCACCAGAAGGAAAAAGTACCAATTTGAGTGATTTTAGTTAGCTTCACATTCAGACTTAAATTAAGCAATATGTCAGTTCATCATCAGGGCTTGGTGCCCACATCTCAGTCTAACAGTGGGAAATGGTATGACGACAGAGATTCTTCTGACAGACACAAGCACGGTTCCCTTCCTCTGAGACTCTTTCAGCGGCAACGTTAGCATAACACAGTGCACGAGATGCAATGACACTTTTATAAACCCAACCTATGACTTCTGGTCCTTGTGAAATTCAGTTGGTCTTTTTCTCTCAGTTAACTTACAGAGACTGGTTACAGCTGGAACTGGAAATTCAACCTGAAGTTGATTCTCTTTCAGATACAGAAAGGTGAGTACTGGGGCTGGCCCGGTGGCATAGTGGTTAAGTTCACGTGTTCTGCATCAGCAGCACGGGGTTCGAAGGCTCGGATCCCAGGCGTGGACCTAGGACTGCTTATCACGCCATGCTGTGGTGGCATCCCACATACAAAATAGAGGAAGATTGGCATAGATGTTAGCTCAGGGACAATCTTCCTCACCAAAAAAAAAAAGAAAAAAGGAAAGGTAAGTATTTAAATGGATCTGCCCTTTAAAATGTTATAGTTTTCTACATTGTCTTAAAGTCAAAGTTTTGTCATTATATCCTCAATTTAATATTCAGTTTAACGTATAACCTGTGAGGACAATTTCATTCATTCATTCCTGTCTTCAACAAACTGAGTTCCTACTGTTTACCAGACATTTCTAGAATGTTGTAGAAGCTGAGGATGCAGACTGAATGAGACCAGCCTGCCCATATGGCACCTCTGTGCATATATAGGGTGCCGATGCCCACAGGGTCCCCACTTGCACTTCCACTCCTGACACCCTGACTGGGCCTTCTTGCCAAGAAATTGTACAGAACTGTACACCTGTACAGATAGAATGGATTAGAGGAAGGGACAAGCACCCTGAAGACACCAGACTGGGCTGTGAGAGGGGGTTCCTGGAGAGGGGTGGGGAAGCAGCCAACGCACGTACCCAAGGTGGGAGAGAAGCAGAGAAAGCTGCATGTAATGAGGGGCTGTGGTGGGATCCTGAGTCCTGCCAGGGAGCCTGAGAGTTCTCAGCTCTTGTCGGCCAGCCCGCTGCTGTCTCCCACACTTGGCCAGCTGGGGAGCCAGAGGACCGGACCAATGCCTCATGGAGCGCTGGCTTTGAAGTGGTGGCCCCGGGAGCAGGTGAAGCAAGGTCTGAGCCCATGTGGGTCCCAGGGCCCATTATGAGACCGTTGGGAGGTCAGACGTGCTGTTCTGGGCATGCAAGCAGGGTGCTGGCAGGGCTGTGGGTTTGAGCGGTGGAGGTCAGGGAGGGAAATGTGCTGTAGAGACCCCGGAGGGGCACAGAGACCCCAGGGGGGCAGCTGAGGGCAAGGGTCACATCAGCTGTCCTTGAGCCACTGTCCTTCATGTGTTCAGAGACCCTTCCCACACACGTGGAGTGCTGTGTCTCCCTGCGCTTGTATCATAGTGTCAGATTCTGGATGGAACAAATAGAAAAGCTGCTGTGATGAAAAGAACAATAAACTGCTTTTTCCAACAAAATAACTGTTTACTGTTCAGGTTTGCACCAAGCGGGCTTTGTGAGTGCTTCCTTCAAAGGGTCACCTGTCCTTGGGTCTCATTCCTCTTTCCCTTCCCCTCCTCTTTCCAGTAGGAAAATAAGAAATTTCTGCTGTGACCATTTCTTAACTTGCTCTCAGGTCACCATGTGTTCTGAGATTTCCTTTCTTTCCTTTTTTAATTGCACAAGGGACACTCAGGTGTGTTCTGTGCAAGTGCCCCATGGCGTGGAGGAAGCACCTGCCCTCTGTCCCCTCCGTCCCTTGCCCCCTTGTGGTGGTATGGGGACGTCTTAGTTGGGTTTGGCTCTTTCTACATAAAGAGACTGCAGTGTTGGTGGCTCTCTGTGCTGCAGTTCTCAATTACTATGTCCTTCAGACCTCCCATGGGCATCTGGGCCTAGTCCACATCTGGACACCTTTGCTAGTGGACCTAGGGGCAGTTCGCAGGCATCCTGGGATGATGACTCAGCCTGGACAGGGTGCAGGTGCCCACTCCACTCCCCAGCTCAGGAGCCATGTGTCTGCAGTCACCCAGCGGATGGCCCAAGTGGGCCTTGATTAGTGGTAGAAGGCCTTCCCACAGTCCCCGGCCCCTGATGCCACCCCTGCTGGTGCTGTGCCCCTTGCTGTGGGCTCACTTCCCAGGCACAGGAGCCCCTGCTTACAGCTTTCTTAGCGCAGACCTTGGTGTTTGCTGTTGCAGGCGGGACTTCCACCAGTGGGCGATCCACGAGCATTTCCTGCCCCAGCCGGCTGCTGCAGGGGGCTGCGATGGAGACCTGGAGACAGCGTGCACAGTTCTTGTCGATGTGCTGCTGGACTTCTGCCAAAGGTTAGCAATGCTAATGCCAAAAAGGGTCTGACTTTTGATTTTGGTCCTTCTGAGCTTGTGTTCTTGTTTCTCTCAGTCCAGTTTGTATTGTACGAGGCAGAACTGAACATGTCCTGATGGTAAGCCTGAGTCCAGAAGAAATAAAGACCAGTTTCCTGGGTCAGTTCAGTCTGAGTCCAGGAGAAATAAAGGTCAGCTTCCTGGATCACTTTTCTTCATGTGTATCTATTTGCCAGTGGCAACAGCTTTATCTTTCTCCTATGTCACCTGGTATTCAGGATCAGCAAAGGTGAAAAGTGGGACGAAAGGTCTGGCAAGTGGTGAGCACTGCCCAGTGTTACCATCCCAGGTGCGTGCAGACTGCCATGGACTGACTGCCACAACAGGCCGGGAGGCCGTAGCGTCTAGGCTGTGTTGGGTGTATTTCTGCTGAAGTATCTGTTTTCTCTCTTCATCCTCATGATTGCCGTGTCATGGTGGTGAGGTCATGAGAAATTCCATTTTCTACGTTTCAGGTGATACATTATTTTACTTCAATCATAGAAAATGAATCCTGTCATTACACTCTTAAGAAACGATGTCCAGGCAAATGGTTACTGAAGACACAACACAGACACCTTTGCTTCTCCCAGTGCCCTTCTGTTCTCCACAAGGATCAGTAAACGTGTAGTCCACTCGGCACAACTCTTACAAACTCATGTTACATTTCAGTAGCACCAAGCACTGGAGTTCCTCCTGCCACACTTAGTGGCCAGGAACAACACATGCCAAGCAAACTGAAGTTCGGGCCACTCCTCTTGTCCTTTGGTTTTCCCTAGGGCTCTTGAGAGCAGCTCAAGAGGGACAGACAAGTATGTGTGCCCAGGGCGAAATCAATGAGTGTCTGTGCATGCCCTCCAGCCCCTGGCAACCATGAATTTACTGTCTACAGATTTGTCAATTCTGGACATTTTGTATAAATGGAAGCATACAATATGTGGTTCTTTGTGTCAGGCTTACTCAGAATAATGTTTTCAGAGTTCATCCTTGTTGTAGCATGTATTGAACTTCATTCCTTTTTATGGCTGAATAATATTCCATGGAAGATATACCACATTTTGTTTATCCATTCATCAGTTGATGGACATTTGGGTTGTTTTCACTTTTTGGCTATGAATAATTCTGCAGTGAACATTTGTCTGCAGGTTTTTGTGTGGTCCTGTGTTTTCATTTTTCTTGGGCCTATGCCTAGGAATGGAATTGCTGGGTCTTACCCTACATTTGGCTTTTTGAGGAATGACCAGACTGTTTTCCAAAACTGCACCGTTTTACATTCTCCCCAGCAGTATAGGAGGGTCCCAATTTCTCCACATTATCACCAGCAATGTTATTGTTATCTGGTTTTTTGATAATGTCCATCCTAGTGATGTGCAATGTTATATTTCTTTATGGTTTTATTTGCTTTTTCCTGATGGCTAATGACATTGAGCATCTTTTCATTTGCTTGACTTTTGTGTATCTTCTTTGGAGAAGTGTCTATTCAGTTCCTTTGCCCATTTTAAAATTAGGTTATTTGTCTTAGTAAGTTCTGAGTTCTTTATATAGTCTAGATACCAGCTCCCTATCAGATGTATAAGTTGTAAATGTTTTTGTCTCATTCTATGAGTCATCTTTTCACTCCCTCACTGGAGTATGCTGAAATTTACTTATTGTGCTCATATTTTCCTTTATGTACTTCAGCATAGTTAGTACTTTGATGCATAAAAGTTTTAAATTTTGATTGTCTAATTCATCTGTTTTGGTTTTAGTTCTTATATTTAGGCTTTTGATGCATTTTGAGTTAATTTTTGTACATAGTGTAAGTTAGGGATCTAACTTCATAATTTTGCCTGTGGAGATCCAGTTGTCCCAGCACCTTTTGTTGAAGAGATAGTCCTTTCTCTGTTGAATGGTCTTGGTACCCCTGTGAAAAATCGATTAACCATACGTGTGAGGGTTTTTTCTGATTGTTTCAAGATTGGTTATTCTGTGTCCTTTGCGATTCCATATGAATTTTAGGATCAGCTTGTTAGTTTCTACAAAACCAGCTGGGATTCCGATAGGAAGTGCATTGTACCTGTAGATCAATTTGGGTAGGATTGCCATCTTAAACAGTACTGAATCTTCCTATCCATAAACATGGGATGTCTTTTCATTTATTTTTACTTAATTTTTTTTCAGTAATGTTTTTTAGTTTTTAGCATACAAATCATGTACTTCTGTGTTAAATTTTTAATGTATTTTTGTTCTTTTTAACATCATTCTAAATGGAATTATTGTCTTAATTTCATTTTTGGATTATTCCTTGCTAGTGTATAGAAATAAAACTGATTTCTGTATATTGATTTCATATCCTACAATTTTGCTGAACTCGCTTATTTGCTCTAATAGTTTTTTATTGTGGATTCTTTAGGATATTCTATATATAAGATTGTGGCGTCTGTGAATAGAAATGGTTTAATTTTTTTCTTTCCAATCTGGATACCCTTTATTTCTTTTTCTGGCTGAATTTTCCTGGTTAGAATTTCCAGTGCGGTATTGAATGGAAGTGGTAAGATAGGACATCTTTGTCTTGTTCATGATCTTAGGAGGAAGGTTTTCAGTCTTTGATCACTAAGTATGATGTTAGCTGCGGTTTTTTCATAGTTGCCCTTTATCAGGTTAAGGAAGTTCCCTTCTACTACTTTGTTGAGGGTTTTTATCATGAAAGTGTTGAATTTTGTCTCATGTTTTATCTGCATCTATTGTGATGATCACATATAGGGTTTTTAATTTTAATTTTTATTTTTGTGGGGAAGATTTGCCCTGAGCTAACATCTGTGCCAGTCTTCCTCTGTTTTGTATGTGGGATGCCACCCCAGCATGGCTGATGAGTGAAGTAGGTCTGCACCCAGGACCCAAACCTGTGAACCCGGACCACCAAAGCAGAGCACATGGAATTTTAACCACTCAGCCTCAGGGCCAGCCCCGATCATGTGGTTTTTTTATTCTATTGTACGTGTATTACAAATAATTGATTTTTGGATGTTGAACCAACCTTGCATTCTTGGGATAAATCCTACTTCGTCCTGATACATAATTGTTTTTATATGTTGCTGGATTTGGGTTGCTAGTATTTTGTTGTAGAAGGTTCTGTAGTTTGTTGTTGATTACTGTGAGTGTCACGAAGTCTCCAGGGACCTCTGGCTCTGGGACCAACACCATTGGAGGCAGGAGGAGAAGCGGAAACTCCAGGACAGATGGGAGGTACTTACGAGGCTTTTATTGTATTTTCATTTCAGTTCAAGGAGTCACAACCACTCAGAGAATTCTGATTTGGTTCTTGGTGGCTGCACAGGAAATCGAGATATTTTTTCCAGATTGCAGGTGAGTTAGAAGATGCAAAATTCAGTGTGTTCACTGCATATAAGCTATCTGCTATTAAGATATTTATTATGAATATCCTTAATGGGTCCTAAGGCAACCAAGCAGAATGAAAACACATCATGCACACAATGGCCCAGACCCAGAGTGACTGTGCTCTGTGAACTCACTTCACCAGAGAACATCACAGAGATACAGAAACAAAAGCTGTGCTGTTGAGACCATCTTTAGGCTTTGGGACATTTAAAATTTGAAAATAGAGGAAATTAAGAAAATACTAACTTTGATAGTAAAATGGTTGCAACTCCGCTATTTTCTGCTTTCTAACTCTTGGCTGCTCAATTTGGATGTCAGGCTCTGAGAAATGACATAAATAACCCTCCACTTGGCAGAGTCCAGAGGCCAGGAGACCCCTGTTCCATGGGCCATCCGGCACCTCCACAGGCCATCCCGTGCTTTTCACCGAGGCACGAGCGCTTCCGAGAGTGCGGAAGTGGTGCTCTCATTTGAAATTCCGCATTCTGCAGTTGACATGCCTGCTCTCCTCTGATCTTTTGAGGATGATAAACGTCACACCCTAAGAGTAAGCTCTGGGGTCCAAGTGCAGACAAGGCCCCTCTGCTTTCACATCCACTGTGTACACTGGGAACCTGGACCTTTGGAAATGTACGTGCGGTTCTGTTTTATAAGAGTCTCTGTGTGGATTTCATGCTTCTTGATGGTGTCTTGGCTGCCACCTTAAGGTGCCTGAATTTGGAAAATGTGGGAATGAAAGAGAAACCATGGAGGGTGTGGTCTGGAGCACTGGGAAAATTTACTAACAAATGAGTGAAACATCCCACAAAAAAGAGACCTGAATCCCCTGATCCCTCATCTTGACTCTTGTCCTCCATGTCTATCATAACTGGCTGTGGAAGGAAGAGTGAGCAGGGAGGGCAGACACAGCGCGAGTCGTGGGGTTTGGGGTCACATGTGATAAGAGGTGGGTGCTTGGCTTGTTCTAGCTCTGCGTCTGTCTGCAGGTGGGTAGTGTGCACATGCGTGTGTGTGCTTTCAGTCCACAGGCATTGATCAGGTGCCTGCTGTGTGTGCCCTGTGTATGTGATTTACCCCCAAATTGTGCACACACCTGTGCGTACAGGGAAAGAGCAAACGATACACATGGTGAGATGTTAGCCATAAGTGAATCGGGGTAAAGGTGTCCTTTGTACTGTTCTTATTTTATTTTGGCAAATTCGTGCAGTTTTTCAGTGATTTCCAGGTAAAAAGGCTTGTCCCACTCACTCCTCCTAGCCCCTGTGGAGACCTCTCCCCCAAACCCACCCAAGCCTGTTTCAGGGTCTCAGCTGGGGCTGAGCCCCAAGGACTTTCTGCCTTCACATTTGGGACCAGAGAACCACCTGGAAGCAGAGAGAAATGTATGTGAACATCTTGGCCTTCCTTTTTTCCAGGAGATGGCTGCTGACCTGGAGCAGGGCCCCGCGGCACCCTACAGCCACTCTTCCTCTCGGGGGCACTTCCTTTTCAGGGTTTTCCGCAGACGGCTCCAGGCTCTGGCAAGTGGGTGGGACGTGGCCGCCCGCCTTCGGAGACAGCAGGAGCTGCTCATGTACAAACGGTAACCTAGCACCACATCTCAGAGTCTGTCTCTACACTGAGTTTTCTCTCCATTGGTCATTCGTTTCTGTCCCCCGCCCCCTACCCTGTGCTGGCAGCATCTTCTTGGGGTTCCACAGAGAACAGGGTCTGGAGGTGTAAAAAGCATTTTGGATTAATACCTTCCTGCTCAGACTCGGGAATCCCTTTGTTGAAAGATGCAGCCTTAAAGAACGCATGTTAAAATAAGGAAACTGTGAATGCTCAGAGATAGTCACTGCAGCCATATTTATAATGAATGAAGAGTGTGAAATGATGGAATTTCCAGTTATTTGGAACCGCTTCAGTAGACCATGGTGCACCCTTTACTTGCTCATTATGCAACTTAAAAATTGGTTTTTGATGGGGCCAGCCTGGTGGCATGGCAGTTAAGTTTGCATGCTCAGCTTCAGCGGCCCGGGGTTTGCTGGTTCACATAACGGGTGCAGACCTACGCACTGCTTATCAAGCCATGCTGAGGTAGGCCTCCCACATATAACGTAGAGGAAGATGGGCACGGATGTTAGTTCATCATTGAGGAAGGGCTAACCTTCCTCAAAAAAGAAATTGGTTTTGGTAACACATTTTGAGTGTCTGCAGTGGGCCTAGCAGGGCCAGGCAGGGACAGTGGGGTTGCAGACCAGAGACTCTAGTTCCAAGAATGAGCAGAGAGGATCGTTGCAGCTCGCAGAGTCTGTGAGCTCTTGACAAGGAGTGAAGCTAGGCCGTGCCTTCACCACTGACATACCCCCTTCTTTCCAAGGGTCCTCCTCAGCCTGCCTCCGTTGGTGCTTGTCGGCAGCCCCCAGGTGGAACAGCCAGCCGCCCCTGGCTGTGACGAGTTCTTCCACTTGGTCAACTCTGAGCTGGTAGGTGTGGTGCAAGTGACCACAGGACACAGGGATGAGGGGGTGATCTGGTCACTGAGGGCTGGCTCTTGGAAGTTCAAGAGTGCGTCTTTGCTCCCTTGGAGCCAATTGCCTCAGTGCGTGTCCTGACCCATGGGTTTCCTGAGGAAAAGGAGGGCAAGTCCCGCTCAGGGAGACATGCACGAGCAGGAGCGGCTGGCTGCGAGTGCAGCCTTCACCACAGCCAGACACAGGCTGGCGCGACGCGGAGACCTGCCTCCGGAGCTGAAGTTCCTTCACAGAACTTTCCTCAAGCGGTAACATTTGGACCCATGGAATGCTGCAGATACTTCTGCTTGCCACACACTTGCGTTCATTTCTTTCTGATTCTGACACTTGTTGGGTGTACAAAAGCTGGGTGGTGTGTGACAACTGCCATCAGCAGCAGGCGGCCCCGTTCACTTTACATGTCACTCAGTGTCAGTCTTGCCAAGAAAGATGGGAGATGGTGTCCCTGGACCTGTGCCCAGTCAGGGTAGGTTGATGAGGTGACCACGAATAAGCGTGCTCCCTGCACACTTCAGGAGAGTAGCTTCTACTCCTGAAAGTGTTTTTCTAGTTTTCAAAAATGCACAAATACGACTGGAGATTGAACTAAGGTCCCATTCAGTCATGTAGAGCTTTAAAAGGTGACTCTGAATGCAGAGGAAGATTAGAGTTTCTTTAGGTTCTCACGGAGGCTGTTTTCGTTAAAGCTCTCCGAACGGCCTGTGAGATACGCAGGCCAGCGCCTCGTCAGCAAAGGGCAAAGAAAGCAGAGAGGAGGTAGGAAAGAGTGAGGCCGTGCCCGCAGCAAGGCCAGCAGGGAGCGCTCTCCCGCCTCCCCTGGGCACCCAGCCTGCCTGGAACCGCCTGTGTTTGGGCCAAGGCTGGCAGCCTGGGGGATCTGGAGACACACAGGAGCCGTGTGGAGAGGCAGTGAGCTGGAAGGTTCCGAACAGCATGTGGGTGGACATGAAGCCATTTAACCAAGGCCAGCCTCCATGGTCAGTAGTAGTGCTGTGATCGGGGCTCCTGTCTTCACAGTGTGTTTTCTTCCACAGCTAAACCTCAGCAGATGCCGTCCCTGTCCCTCCTCCCCCCTGGTTCCTTTCTCACTGGCCTGTACTGTTTTGCAGAGAAACTTCTGCTCCCAGGGAGGTGCCCTGAGCCACGACATCACCGTCCACTTCTTCAGGGTAATCCCCTTTCCCTCTGCGCCTGCTTGGGCTGTATCCTTGTGTCTGGTGGTGCTCTGAAGCCAGGGTGTCTTTCAGGGCCTGGGCTCAAGTGCAAACTGCTGAGCTTCTGGCATGTTCTCTTCTGTAGGGGCTTCTCAACGCCTGTTCACAAAGTAGAGACCCCTCCCTGACAGCTAACCTGACCCTGACCGCGTGCCAGACCGAGTGCCCCATAGTTCTGACCTCTGCTCTGGTAGGCCCAGCCGACTTTCGGGGGGTGTTCTGGATCTGGGGCTCAGTGCAGCTGAGCTCGTCCGTCAGCTGCCTGTGGCTTCTCGGCAGTGTGTTCTCCATTTCTGACCCCAACCTCACCCTAGTTATTATAATTTAAGACAAGATGCATTAGGAGAGATGGGGAATAAACAGAACATGTCAGAACATGGGTTCCCCTGCCTGCGCTCTCCCTGCACCTGTCTCAGGTGGCAAAGAAACTTCTAAGAGCTGGGAAGGAACAGGCTCTTCCTGTCCACACGTCTGGGTGTCCCTTCACTCACTCACTTGTTCTCTGTTGGCTGAAGTTGAACAGTAACTGCCACGCTCTCCCATGGGTATAATCTCGTGTTCGTTCCATCTGTTGTCTTGGCTGCTGTCTCAGACCAACCTGGCTTTTGTGTGACCTGACCTTTAGGATCGAGGATGTGGGGTTCCTTTCCATGCTTCTGCAGGCTTTCTTAGAGTCCTGACACCACACAGCTTTCTTGCTCCCGCCTCAGTTTTGCTAGGTCGCATCATGACCCTCAGTGCCCTGGGACTGGAGCTCATTTCCCTCAAAGCAGCACATTGCCTGCTGAGCTCGCTGAGCTGTTTTGGCATTTCACTAGTTAGCTCAGTGGGATGGAATTCACTGCCAGTGAGCTATTCCGTGTTTAAAGTACGAGCTCTCAGCAGGGATGTCCAAGGACTGGGCCCAGCTTTGGGACAGAGTGTGGCCAACTGCACAAACAGGGGGCCTCCTTAGGCAAGGCCCTCCCCTCTCCAAATTCCGTGTCCTCTGCAGATGAGGATGAGAATGCCTCCTGCACTTGCTTAGAGTCTTAAACAAAGTACGTGAGATACTGTGTCGAAGTTATGAAGCATTAGATGGACGTGAGCTGGGCTTAGAGGGGTGTCCGCTGGCGAGTGGCTCTCTCTCGCCTCAATCTCCAGTGGTCACTCGAGGTTTCCAGATCTTTTTGGCTGTGGGGACTGGAGACGTGTCCGAATACAGCCGCCTCCATCTGCTTACTGGTGTCTTCTCTTCTGTGAGTTGTGGTGGCCACGCCTGGAGCCTGAGCTTCACTGTCGGTGGAGAAGATGCTTCCAGGGCCCGCTGCCCCCGGAGCTGCAGAGGCTTCAAGAGGCCCAGCAGTTTGCCCAGAGGTAAGTGTTGGCAGCGAGACAAGGGGGAGAAGGCGTGGATGTGCCTTAGGATCTGCTCTGGGTAATCGCCACAGGCATCTTGCGGTGCTTGAGAGGGGCCTTATGGGCATGGAGCAAACAGAACCAAATTGACAGCTTTCTGAGTGAGGAGCTCAAGACTGTTTTAGGGAAAACTGATTTCAGAAGCTCCCTGCTTAGCTTTCCTGTCCACCTGCCTATCTCCTCTGACATCCACAGTGGGCCTGGGGAGTGGCAGGGTCAACATCACAGGGACGTCAAAGATGCAGTCCTGGGCCAGTGATCCGGGTTAATTGCCGCCTGGACTTGCCAAGCTGATGGTCGCTGGTATCCTGCTGGATTTGGGGAGTGCTGTGTTCTTAGAGGTCATCAGAAGGAACTGCTGGTCCCCATCCAGCCTCCTTACGTCTGACTCTGACAGGAGTTTTTTATCCCTGACCCATCCGTGTTCCGCTGCAGGGTCAGGAATGCTCCAAATCTCAGAAAACAAGGAAAGCAAGTCTCGCCCACCAACCCTACCTCTGCAGATAGAGCAGACTAGTCCCTTAATTTTCAGCACTTTTTAACTTGCTGGAGAACCTTTTTGAACATCATACTGCAGTCAGAGCAGGGACTAAGTAAGCGGGAGGGCCAGAGGCAGACCCGCGAGGGTCTGAGTAGCGGACTCCAGGCAACAGGCCTCAGTGTCCCATAACCTCCTTTCAAAGCTCAGAGGCCAGGACCAGGCGCACTGTCCACAGCACAGAGGCGTGCTAAGAGAACCAGAAACCGGACCCCAAACCCAGGACCAGGCCACGATACAGGCTTGGGCCTCCGCCCTCTGCTGCAGGTCACCATGCAGAGCAGGGCATTAGGGACACAGACCTCGTTTCTGCTGACTCAGAAGCTTCTCTGCTTGACCTAGAGGTGGGCAGGGCCAGTGTTGTGAAAGTTACGGGAACAAGGACCTTAGGTCCTTAGGTGACATGGTTGTGAGGTTCCTGTGTTGACACCTCTCTCTGCCTCCCAGTTTCCTCTCTCCCGACACAGCAGCCCCTGCCCCTGGCCCAGCCTGGGTCTCTGCTGCCGCGCTGCACTTCGTGATTCAACAAGCCGGGAAGGAAAGCGTTGAGAGCGCGCTGGAGAAGCTGGACTGCCAACGAGAGGAGGCAAGAAAGGAAATTCCTTCACTTATTTTTTTCTTTTCTAGTAAGCTCATTTTTAATCAGTGTTCTGATCAGCAGTATTTCTCAGGATTCACCCAATGAACTGTGCTTTTCCAAGGATGGACAGGAAGTTTGGAGTTCTTGTAGCTTTATTTGGAAGTAAAACTTACTGGGTTTATAGGTTTAGTGCTTCAGTTAAAAATCAGCTGGAACAGGACAGACTGTTGACTGAAAAAAGGCAAGCTGCAGAATAAACCTGGCCCTGCTTTCTGTACAGTCTGAATTTCATCAATGAAGGGGCAGGGGGGCCTAACACGCACAAGGCACAGTGAGGAGGCCAGCATGGCGGAGCAGTGGGTGGGGAGGGGATGCAAGTGGAGGCTGAGGTGGGGGCAGAGGTCTCAAGGCTGCTGGTAAAAAGAAAGCATTTCATTTTTGAGGTGCTTTCATTTAGCTTCCTGTTACCCTCACAACCCAGAGGAGCCATCAGCTGTCCGCTGGAACCTTCTGTGCTCCTGTTTCCATGGCCTTGCTTCCTGTGCACCCCCAGTTATAGGCACATGCCGAGGGACAGGGCAGGTGTGAGGAAAAGCAGGTGGAGAGAAGGCTGCTCTAAATTCCAGGCTGGCACCTTGAACCATCGTGGGACCAGTCTGGACCCTACTTGGTGCCTACCACACCCCCCAAGGCTTGGCAGCACAGCGCCCCTCCCCCAGAGATGAGGCGTGCCCCTGCCGTGTCTGTCCTCTGTGAGGAGGGGCGCCCCCATCTTCCTGAGGAGGAGGAGAACCAGCCATGTGGCGCTCCCTCCAGTCTCTCCCCAGCTAAACCACTGGCTCTGTGAATGTTGGGGTCCACCTGTCAGCTCAGGACACACACCTGCCTGACAACTAGATCAATTGCTGAGCCAAGGTTTTTTGGTAATTATAATTTAAAGTAAAAAACCTATAAGAAGATTCTTCCAAGTTTTTTGTTTTCAGGTTGTTGTTGGAAGGGATTTTGGTGGCTTCAGAGCCACCAGGCCTGAGTGCCAAGGGCACAGAGTGCAGAGATCCCACCCAGCCTGGGTGTGCACCAGGGGTCGGGAGAGGTGGGCCCCTGCCCCGAGTCAGGATGGAGCCTATGGGTTTATCTCCAGAGACTTTACAAGCCCACGTCTAGACGGAAAGCCAGGGGGCGAGGCTGGGCTGGTGGGAGCTCACTGCAGAGGTGAGGGGCCCCTGCAGCTCACCCCCAACGAGATGCTCAGCAACAGCCTCATTTCTCACCACTGTCACCTTTCCAAGCCATGATTAGAGGCAAGTATAAAATCACCCATTCAGTAATAATTTCTTCTCAATTAAATTTTCTTTAGAAAAGATTAGAGAGTTTTCTTTCTGAGAAGAGCCACTTAAAGGAAAGACTTACAGCCTCGATCTGTATTAAAGAGGAGTGTGCACCCTCCTCTAGAGCTCCTTTCGGGGCAGAGTCAGAGGTCACTGGATCTTGTCTCAGTGCCTGTTCTTCTTTGCAGCTGCTGGTTTGCCTGTTTTTCTTTTCCTTGATGGGCCTGCTCTCATCACACCTGACCCCGCACATACGTCAGACCTCATCAGCTAAGGTGGCGTCTCCCACCGCGGGTGGGGCAGCGAGCAGCCTGCACAGCCCCCCAGAGTGCTTTAAACTGTGGGTCCCCGGTTCCCCCCAGACCTCCTGAGTCAGGGTCTCTTGGGGGAGGGCCCTGGAACCTTCATTTCACATGGTTTCTCAGGAGAGTCCTTGTTCACTGAAGTGAGAACCCCTAGGCTATGGGCCTTTCTCTTGATGTCTTATTTCAGACCTTGGGCTCTGAGGGTCCCTGGCCACCACGTCCTACCTGAGCTGCCTCCATCCAGAGGCCCCAGGGTGACACCTTCTGTAGATCATGACCACTTATAGGAAGAAGAAGGAAAGGCCTCTTCTGTGCCGAGGTCGTCCCTCTTGCCCACGTGTGCACAGCTCTAAACATCAGCTCTGCAGCTCCCTGCTGAGTCTTTCTCCCTCTTCCCTGGGTCACAGGCAGGCGACTCCCTGAAGGCTTTGCACGTTTGTGGCGAGATCCTGGGGTTTTTACAAAAAAGGAAGATATCCTGGCTGGTGCTCTTTCAATTGACAGAGACAGGTAAGAAATCCACTGAGACTTGATAACCAATGGAGGGATGGCCGTCTGCTGGGAACACAGGTGACCTGGCAGGGTCAGACTGTGACCCGACTCTGGAGTCCTCTTCAGAAGTAACTTTCAAATGGTTAAGAATGAGCCCTCCTTAGGGCTTACTTTACAAACTAAGTTTTGAAAGTTTATCTTTTTGCTAAGTATATAAACCCCATTTTAGTCAGGACAAATGTAGTATAAACTCATTTGAACAACGAAAGACTTCAGTGGAGTTCTGAGGATCCCAGGGTGTTGCTGGGCTCTTGTGGGGGATCTGCCTGTCTGGCCCCCAGGTTCTGCTCTCCAGCATGAGGACATCACCCCTCCACAGCCAGGCATAGCCCTCCCAGGGGAACCCCACATCCCCAAAGACACTGGTGCTAGCCCCAGAGCTGACTCAGCGCCCACCATGGTGTTGCAGATGCTGGCCTGGGGCGCGTCCTCCTCCGCCTGGCCCCAGAGGAGCACATCAGGCTCCTGCCGTTCGCCTTCTACAGGTAACTGCACCTGCTCTCGGAGAAGGAGCCCACGCCCCTGGGGTCTTGTGTGGTCTGAGCAGGGGGCAGCATCCCCTGCCCCCTGCCCCATTTTCTTGGCACTACTAGGGGTCTCCCTCCACATGGGAAAGGCTGCCTGTAACTTTGTTCCTCAGCTGAGTAGCTGTTCTCTGTGCTGGCTGCTGCTGATTTCTGTAAGGTCTTGGAGTCATCTGATAGCTTATGTCTTTACCTTCAGCCTTCTCTCCTACTTTGACAAAGATGCCCTCATCAGGGAAAATGCATTCCTGCACGTCGCTGTCGACATGTACATGAAGCTGACCTGCCTCTTTGTGGCCGGGGAGACAAGTGCAGTCTCAACTCCAGCCAACAGGAGCCAGGAGCTCCAGAGCCAGGCAGGTGCAGGGGCCGGACTTGGGACCTTCTCCAGTCAGATGGCACATCCCACAAACGTGAGCAGCAAGCTCTCCAGGGCCTGAGGCTGGTGACGGCCTATCCTGGCAGAGTGAGTAGGTGTGGGCACCCTGACCCGTGGCTCTGCCTGTCTTCTCTCTAGGGTGACCCTGTAGGTCTGATAAGGAAAGCTCGTCTTTTTCTGCTGCAATCAATACCTCAGTGCCCGAAAAAGAGCTTCTCAAACATGGAAGAGGTAATAATACCCAGATGTTCGCTTGAGCATTTGGTTTTAAGTCTAAATCACTATTTAAATGTGAGGAAGAAGTTCCAACAGCTTAGGTAAACTGAGAACTTAGAGTGCCCGACACTTGGCATTGTGGCTGCCATGGCTACTTACCGGTCAGGCTGTGGTCACCAGCTTCCCTCTCTCTGTGCCCTTGGTGTTTGGGGTCTGTGGGGCTGCACTGGGCTGAGCATGGCTGTTTTCTTGCAGCTGCTGGCCACTAGTGGAGACTGGGACCCAGAAGTGAGCACTGCCCTCCTGAGCAGGCAGCAGGCTGTGTCCGACACTGACCTCTACCAGGAGCCTCATCTCTTCTGACTGGACTCTGCGCGGTGCACAGCCCAGGTTCTTTGTAAATAATTTATTTCAAGCAAAACATGGAGCTCTTGTTGTGCTAAAAAGTGGATTACAAATCTCCTTGATTGCTTTAGTGGGGAAGAGGAACCAATTATTTAAAATCTGCGTCGGCCCCGAGTCACTCAGTGTCTGTAGGAAAATAAACTGCTGGTCCCAGAGTGGAGGCCTGAAAGGCTCCATGAGCCACTCACTGAGCCCACCTCCACTTCCCAGCAGAGCAACGCCCTCCTGCCCTTCCAGCACACGAGTCGGGGGCAGTGTAGGGGCTCTTAGGGGAGTGGGCGAAGCTGTGCCAGCAGGTCTGGTGTGAGGAACTATTAAAACTCTTTAAACCCCATTTACCGCCTGGTGAGTCCAGGTGCTGGTGAGCCCTCAGGTGGGCTCAGGCTTCACGGCCTGACCCTCCGTGGTCCCGGGTGGGGGCTGCAGGGGCAGGGCCTTGTCCTGGGTCTGCGTCAGTGGGTGGACCATGGACATATGCACGTTGAGGTTGTGTGCCTTCTCGAAGCGCCGGCCACACTGGTCACAGGCGAAGTCCAGCTCGGTCTCAGCCTTGTGTTTGGTCATGTGGTACTTGAGGGACGCCCGCTGCCGGCACTGGAACCCACAGACTTCACACCTGGGGAACAGGGGCAGGTGAGCAAGGGCATGGGAGCCAGTGTGTCTGCGAGGAGGCACCTAGCCCACACTTACTGCAGAGGCTTGGCTCCTGAGTGGCGCATCTGGTGGACAAGAAGGTGCTTCCGCTGCTTGAAGGTCTGTCCACACTCGTCACAGATGTAGTTCCGCACCTCTAAGGACCAGAGATGGAATGAGCACAGGCACCAAAAATGCCCAACTTAAGCCCTTTCTTAGTAGAGGCCTCCAAATTGCTGGAAGATTTACCTGGCTGGGACTTCCTCTTCACCAATTGTGTACATATGAAGCCTGTTTTCTTAAAGATAAACTTTAGAAGACCTCCATTCTTAGAGGAAGCCAAATCAATAAGGTTTCATAGATTATGGATCACAGCTACTGCTGTCTAGAAACCATCCCCATATTGGGGGTACCTACAATGGGGTACCCCCTTTGGAAAGCAATTTCTTTCACTCTTGAAGGGAAAGCTGAACGATCAGACCCTGCACCACTGATTGTACGTCTGAATGGGCACCTGGGGCAGTGGCCACATGCCTCCCTGGTGTCACTGCACGCACCACCTGCTCCTCTACAGACACTGAAACACCAGGTCAGTCCACTCAGCGTATAATCGATCTTCGTTTGTGTTTTGGAAAACCTGCTAATGGCTGTGACGTTTGGTGTCTGGACTGAGATGCACAGTTTGAAGACCCAACCTAAGGGAAGCACTGTGTCAGGAGACACATACAAGAATACTCCGGGCAAAACAAAAGAAAACGATTTCACCCGGAAAGCCAGAAGTAAACGTGCTCCAAAAGTAAAATGAACGAATCTGAGTGAAAAAGGAAATCATAAGCCCTTCTATAGTAAAGCATTTTTACAAAGTTCAAAACAAGCAGAACTACTGCTTAGGGACAGATTTAGATGTAACAAATGTATCTTTGAAGTGGGAGAAATGCCAATGCAGGAGACCTGCCTTCTAGGCAGAAGCAGCAATGATGTGGATCAGGCATGGGTGTGGTTCTTGTTTTTCCTAGCATGTGTCCTATGGGTCATGTCATTAAAACTGGAGGGGGAGGGGGCTGGCCCCGTGGCCGAGTGGTTAAGTTCGCGCGCTCCGCTGCAGGCGGCCCAGTGTTTCGTTGGTTCGAATCCTGGGCGCGGACATGGCACTGCTCATGAAACCACGCTGAGGCAGCATCCCACATGCCACAACTAGAAGGACCCACAACGAAGAATATACACCTATGTACTGGGGGGCTTTGGGGAGAAAAAGGAAAAAAAAAAAAAAAAAAATCTTAAAAAAAAAAAAAAAAAACTGGAGGGGGAGGGGCTGGCCCGGGCCGTAGTAAAGTTTGCGCACTCCACTTCTGCCGCCTGGGGTTCACAGGTGCTGATCCCAGGCGCAGACCTAGCACCACCAGTCAAGCCATGCTGTAGAAGCATCCCACATAAAGTAGAGGAAGATGGGCACAGATGTTAGCTCAACAATCTTCATCAAGCAAGAAGAGGAAGATGGGCAACAGATGTTAGCTCAAGGCCAATCTTCCTCACCAAAAAAAAAAAAAAACAAACACGGAGAGGGAAATCATAAGCTTGTGATGAAAAGTAATGTGTATGCAGAGAAAAGTATCAGAGGAGGAAACCTGCAAGTGCTGATGCTGGCAGTGTATGAGGGCGCTTACTATCTGGGCTTTTCTTATTTTTCACAATTTCTACACAAAATGCACATGCATTTCTCTTATAATCCAAAAAGCATAAAAGAAATGTCATTTTGTTAAAGTAATGATAAAAACACCACAGTAAACTTGCAGAAAGGTACCAGGATTTTTTTGCTGCCAGTTCCATACCACTTATGCACGACCCACGAGGCCCCAAGATGCCTGGGCCTCCTGGAAGGGTGCCAGCCGCCGTGAGCCTCCTGGGGGCCTGTGTAGGTGAGAGCATGGGAGAACAGGGCACTCACCTGTGTGGATGAGCTTCACGTGGCGCTGCAGGTAGCGGTCAATCATGAACACCTTGTTGCAGCCAGGGTGGGGACAGGGCCTCTCTCGGACTTCCTCATGGTGCTCCTTTATGTGCTTCTGCAGAAGGGACAGCGAGACCCTGAGCGCCTCAGCCTGGACAGTGCCCCACCTCATCACCCAGCACGTGCCTCCTCCCACGGGATCCAACCATCCCTCCCTCAGCAAGAGACAGGTGTTTCCCCAAAAGCAAAGGGCTGAGGGAGCCTCCTGCCACGGACCACGCCGCTGACAATGGCTCTTCGAGTCTCCATCCACCCACTCACCCTGCCACGGGTCCATCACCCACACCCTGAAGATGACCCCGGGCCCACGGGATCACCTCACCTTCATGCCGTCAGCTCCTCGGTACACAGCCGTGCAGCCCTGATAAGGGCACTTGTAGATGGTGGGCAGCTCCTCCCTGCAAGGCAGAGCACAGGTGGAACCGCCGCCCCGCCAGGCAGTGCAGCCCCACACCCAGCCCCTCACCTTTCACAGCGCAGCTTTTTCTTCCATCCTGGTTTGGGTCCAGGTTTCTTTCGAATTTTTGGTTCTTCAGGCTTCTTAGCTTCTTTGCTTTCACTCTTCTTACCAGAGACTCTGAGGAAAAGAAACGATGTAGACTCAGTGATGTTTCTGATCTCCATTTGCATAAGTTTCTCGTTTTTCTCATGCTTCTCTACCTTCAAGTAGGAGAGGCTTCCGTGGCTAACCGGCCTCAGTCTCCATGCTAACTGGCTGCCCTTCCAACTGACCCTCAGCCGCCACAGCGAGAACTCGGGGCAGGGCAGAGACCTGAACTCCCAGCTGGGAAGGGCAGGGCACAGGGCCGTGGGCCACACTGGCTGTGGGAGTGGGTTTTCAGGACAGAAGCTTTACTCCCTGTTGCAAACATCAAAAGCACACACTTTTTGGAGATGTCATGGAAAAGGGAGGAGGGAAGCTTTAGGGGTCAGTCCCTCTGCCAAAACCACCACAAAGCTAGAAAGCCAGCACAATCAACTACTGGAACTCTGGCACCTGCTGGGAGACTCACAGCAACCAGGGAGGCCTGAAGGGAGAAGCGCCGTCTCCAGGAAGAGCTGCGTGCTCCACCAGCTGCCTGCACACTGGCACCAGGTGCGCAGTGGGGCCTCGTCCTCCAAAAATATGGGGTTGTGCATTTGAGTCCATCTGGCAGGTCTCGGAGGGACCAACCCAAACACAGCAACATCCCCCTTAGTGTCTATTGAAGATTTAAAGAGTCATGCACACTTGTTTCTTTTTTGGATCCAGACATTTAAGGAAATCTGTCAGGAACAGAAGGGAACTTCTAGGGCCATACATGACAAGCCCACAGCTAACATCATTCTCAATAGTGAAAGACCAAAAGTTTTTCCTCTCAGATCGTGAAGAAGACAAAGATGCCCATTCTCACCACTGTTACTCAACATAGTACCGGGAGTCCTAGCTAGAGCAAGTAAGCAGGAAAAAGAAATGAGAGGCATCAAATTAGCAAGGAGGGAAAACTACCTCTCCTCACAGATAACATAATCTTATATGTAGAAAATCCTAAAGAATCCACACACAAGAAAATAAAATTCAGCAAAGTTGCAGGGTACAAAATCAACACACAAAAACCAGTTCTTTTTCTAAACACTAACAATGAACAATCCAAAAAGGAACTTAAGAAAACAATTCCTTTGCAGTAGAATCAAAACAAATAAAATATTTAGGAATAAACTTAACCAAGAAGGTGAAAGACTTGTACACTGAGAACTATAAAACACTGCTGAGAGAGATGGAAGGAGACGTAAATGAGTGGGAGGACATCCCGTGTCTGCGGGGGCAAGACAATGTACGCTGGCGAAGCCTCCCCAAAGCATCTACGGACTCTCCCTAGCAAAATCTCAATGGTATTGTTTGCAGAAATAGAAAAAAATATCCTAAATTTCACATGGACTTTCAAGGGACACTGAATAGCCAAACAATTTTGAAAGACAACAAAGCTGGAAGATTCACACTTCCTGATTCCAAAATTTACTACAAAGCTACAGTAATCAGAACAGTGTGGTACTGGCATAAAGACAGACAGACAGACCAACTGAATAGAAATGAGAGACCAGAGATAAACCCTGACAAATACAATCAAGTGATTTTTGACACAAGGTGCCAACAGTCTCTTCAACAAAAGGTGCTGGGACAACAGGACATCCACATGCAAAAGAATGAAGTTGGATCTCTACCTAACACCATATACAAAAATTAACTCAAATGGACCAAAGACCTAAATCTAAGAGCCAAAACTATAAAACTTTTAGAAGCAAGCATAGGGGTAAATCTTCATAACCTGGATTTGGCAATGGTGTCTTAAATATGACACCAAAAGCATAGGCAACAAAAGTAAAAATAGGTAAACTGGACTTCAGAATTAAAAAATTTTGTGCACCTAAGGAGAGTATCAAGAGTGAAAAAGATAACCCATTGAGTGGGAGAAAATGTATCCTATAACTCCACAGCAAAAAGACAACCTAATTAAAAAACTGGCAAAGGACTTGAATAGACATTTCTCCAAAGAAGGTACAAGCGCATGAAAAGATGCGCAATATCGCTCATCGTTATGGAACTGCAAATCAAAATGACAGCGAGGATAGCACTTCACACCCGTTAGGATGACTATTTAAAAAAAAAAGGATAATGACAATGTTGATGAGAATGTGGAGAAATCAGAACCCTTGTGCACTACTGGTGGGAATGTAAAATGGTCCAGCTGCTGTGGAAAACTATATGGCAGTTCCTCAAAAAATTAAATATAGAATTACCATATGATCCAACGATTCTACTTCTGGTTTTATACCCAAAGAACTGAAAACGAGGACTCAAGCAGATACCTGTACATCAGTGTTCATAGCATCATTCACAATAGCCAAAAGGTGGAAAGAACCCAAAACGACAGATGAATGGATGAATGCATCAACAAATTGTGGTTTGTCCATACAATAAAATCTTATTCAGCCACAGAAAGAAATCAAGTTCTGATACATGCTACAACATGGATGAATCTCAAAAACATTAGGCTCAGTGAAAGAGGCCAGTCACACAAGGACAAACACTGCATAATCCCGTTTCTATGAGGTCCTCAGAATGGGCACCTAGATACGTGGTTGCCAGGGCCTGGGGGGAGGGACAGGTCATTGCTTAATGGGTACAGAGTTTCTGTTTGTAATAATGAAAAATTTGCAAATAGCGGTGAAGGTTGTGCAACACTGTGAATGTACTTAACGCCAATGAATTATACACTTCAAAAGGATACATTTTATATTTTACTACAATTAAAAAAACATTACAAATAATCATCTTCCTTCTTAAAGAGTACATTAAAAAGAACCTTTCTGCTGATGACAGTTTCTCCTCCTCCTCTCCTGTCTCTCTAATTGTTCTTCAAAACTTGGCCATGTGTCCCCTCGCCACCTCCACCCTCTCCTGGGGGGCGTGGGCACCCATCAGAGCCGCACTGTGACCAGTGATGTGCTGTTTCCCTCCCACACTAGACAGCAGGTCTCTTGAGAGCAGGAGCTTCAGAGAGCCCATGGGTTTAAGAGGTGAGTCCTTGAAGCGTGTGGGGCTGGGGTCCTTGTGCGTGGGAGGGCAGTGCTTGCAATGCCTGACTTTGCTGCTCGGCTTTCCTTTCCTTGCCCTCGGTCGCTCAGGCTCGTGGCGCTCACTTCTCGCTGGAGCCACGGTGCCCTAATTAATACATGACTAAGTCTCCTTGTTTGCGCCAGCTGAGGACCCAGACAGACACGTCTGCCAGAACAAAGTCACACGGGCCAGGGCTGCTCAGAGGCCCTGTCCTAGGTTCCCAGCTGTGACTCACACTGTAGCACCTGAGGAACCAAGTGGCTGCCAGGCTGGAGTGTCTCTGTTGGCACAGGGCTGAGCCCAGAGCCTCGGCCTGCCCGCTGCTGCCTGACCCCCGCCCTGCAAGGCCCAGCTTCCACTAAAATAACCTGTTTCACTACAGGCCTCAGGAAACTTCTCTGACATGTCCTCATCCCACCACATGGATCTGTGGGCACTCCTGGGGTCCTCATGGAGACACAGTGAGTGAAGCCCCGTGGGTGCTGTCCCCATCTCAGCAGTAGAGGCATGGGTGAGCAGACCCTCTTCCTCCTGAGCCTGTCTCTGTCCTCCCCGAAGACCAGTGGCCCCAGGCCTGCTGGGCAGTAAGCCATAAGGATGTGGACTCTGGGCCATGCCCTGGGATTCACGCTCAGCTCTGGAGTTCACCAAATGGGGAGCAGGGCCTTTCTGTGGCAGCCCTGGGCTGCACTCAAGCTGTGCTTCCTGAAAACAGACCTGGTCTCCCCAACCTGGCATGGAGGCGTGGAGGGCAGGACCCACCTGACACTCCCTCTTGGCCCTGGCCGGCTTTCTGTCCATTCTGAGACTGACAGGGTGGACACTGGAGTGGTGAGGCTCAGGGAAGGACTGGCAGAGGCAAGGCAAGGAGCTCCCAGAATGAGGCTGGGTCACGTCCACAGGGCTCCTGCCACCCTCACACAGCCATCTGCCGCCTCATGATGTGGCACTGAGGCCAGGTCCCAGTGCTGAACCGGCAAAGGCCTCTTGGCTCACTCAGAAGCCACACTGCCCTGGGCTTGGGAGGTCAGATCAAAGAGAAGCAAAAGGTGTGTGAGCCTCCATTTCCTGTCCCACTGCTTCTGCACGCAGACGGCACGCAGCAGATGCAGGTTCCAGGTTACCCATCGGATTCCCCGCCCAGAGCCCATGTGCTCGCAGCAGGACTGTCCCCTTACTTCTTTTCTGGGTACGGCTCAAAGGACTCATCCGAGGACGGGGTAGTTTGCTTCTTGTCATTTTCGTCTTCACTCAGGAAATCTCTAGGAAAGAAGAGAGAACTTTTAGCAAAGCCTTGGGGTGGGTGACAGATCAAATAAGACTTCCTGTCTAAAGACACCAAATGGATCCCCATATTTCATGGTTTAGTTCTCCTGAAAAGGTCTTAAGAAATCTAAAATCCCCAAATCTCTGACTGCATCTCCTAACGGAAGGGCGAGCCAGGGTCACGGAAGTCCAACAAGCTGACGATCCCTATAATCAGTCTCCTCACACCTGGACCTCAAACTCTAAGGGCCTCTCTACAGGGACCCCAGGCAGGATGTGAAGACCCTCACAGGAGGTGGGCTTCTCAGTAAGTGGACTTTTAGAATGTCACCTCCCCCCTGTAATTGTAAGCACCTGTCAAGCTAACAGGTCAGCTGCCAGCCATTTCAAAGGTCACAAAGGCCAGAAATAGCTCTGTGCATCTGTGACCTTCACCCTAAAATATGGAGCATTATTCAGTCTCTGGTGGACAGCAGAGAGAGCCAGGCTGGCACCTGTCCAGAAAGAGAAAGGCCTGAGGCTGGCTGGTGGCCTGCAGGACAGCCTTCGACCATTCCTGGTCCAGGGGTGTTTCTAACACACACACTTGGGCTCCCCCAGCACCTCGGTCATTCGTCATTGGCACTCCACTGGAGTTGCGCCAAAAAGCACGGTGTCCTTCTACTTGTTTGGACAAGGGTGCATCTGCGTTCCAGCCACAGCTCATGGGGTAGGGTGGAAAGGATGTGAAGGCCAGCTGGCGTGTGGCCACCACCCAAAGTGGTTCTCAGCTTAGAGGCAGGGGGTGGCCCCAGGAGCGAACACTCCCTGATGGTGCCCCTTCCGGTTTGTCCTCCTGCACAGAGCCTCTGCCCCAAGTCACACTTATGTCATGATAAAGCGCCAGAGGCTGGCTTCCTCTGTTCTACTAACATCTGGGGTTGACACAAAAATAAGGCCTTGAGGGAGGAGACAAGTCAGCAGCAGCAAAGGCCTGACCGCAGGACCGTCTTCACAGTCATTCCACACCACCCCAGCTGTCCTCCCCTTGTAGCTGCGTCAGGTCTGGGGTACCCTCTGGGACCCAGGAAGCCCCCAGTCAGGAACAAGAGGCCTAGAAGCACCCCTAGCCACTCCTCTCCTCCCAACCGAAAGAGCGAGGGAGGGTCCCGGACAGACATGGGCAGTGTGCCCCTAGGACGGTGGAGTTTGGTTTTCCAAGGAGAAATTTTAGGCTATTTAAACCCACTCTTCTCTCACCCCTCAGAAAGGTCACTGAACTCGTCTTTTACCCGATCATCCGAGGTTGAAGACGGAACCTGCTTCTCACCCAACTGCCCTGAGAAACAAAGAACAAGGCCCCTGTTACCAACACACAGCACAGGCAGTGAGACCCGGCAGGGAGGCGTGCGTCTGTCTGACATCCCTTACAGAGGAGCCTGCGGTCCTCCAGTCTCGAATCCCACACACTTCCTGGCCCCATCCCCCACAAGGTCCCTGCACAGCCAAGCTTGCTCAGCCACCCCCCTGTCCAGCACAGGCACAGGCAGCGCCAAGCATCAAAAACCCACAGTCACCATCACAAGCCCAGCCCCTCCCCAGAGATCAGACCTAGGCCTTGCAGGGTGGGATGACTCGTACTTTGGGGGTGTTTGGGGACATCTGAAGAAAAACCATGCTTATCAAAGTGTTGCATGCACACGGTTTAAAGAGCCAAGCAGTTCTAAGAATGCTGTGACACAATTCCTCTGTCCCCTCCGGGCATTTGTTCCTCTCTCTCTGAACCATGCGGGTAGCTGCACTCTGAAAGTACCACTGGGGACTTGCACAGAGGAGCAGCCGGCACCCACATGGAGACAGGTGCATACGTGGAGGCTGAGAGAAGCAGGTGGGAAGCCAGCCTGGCCCTCCTCACACGATGTCCATGAGCAGCTGCACCCAACTCACAGCACTGAGGGACTGGGCCCCAAACAAGGGCCCTTGTTTCCCTCAGCCAGTCAGCAGAGGAGCCCGTCCCCATTGGTTCCTCTGGGGTGTCACCAGGGTGCTGGCTGAGGCCCAGGGAATGACCTGCAGCTGGCCCAAAACAGCCTGAATTGCCAGCCATCCTCTCCCCCAACAACCCACAACAAGGGCCCCATTCTCTCTCCCTCGGCCCCTGGCCCCAGGCAGGCTTACAGGAAAGGCCGGAGAGCAGATGAGCCTGCCTTTACAGAAACTGCTGAAACAAGGTCCTCGGCCCCTCCCTGCTGTCAGACGCCCATGGGGAGGCGCTGAAGCCAGCTCCCCATCATTTCTCCCGGTGCCTCTGCACACGACACAACCACTGTCCACAACAGTGCAGACATCCACTTCCTGCTGAAGGCCCTGCCTGGCTCAGGATTAGGAATCCTGGTCCAACAGCCCAGAGGAGCCTACCTGGGGCCCCACTCACGGGGAGGCTTGGCTGAGGCGGGGGTCCTGGCCCAGGCCCCACAGGGTTGCCATCCAAAGGAGGCTGGGCTGTGTCCACGCTGGGCAGCGTCTCGGTCTCGGCCCCGGCCATGGTCACTCTGCCCTGGGAGCTCTGAGGGGCAGCCCCAGTGGGGTTGGACCCTCGATGCTGGGTGAGCCACGGGGCCGTCTCCTTGTCCCACGTCCACTTGACCGCCAATGCGCTGTCCAGCAAGAGGGCCCCGCAGCTGGTGTCGGTGTCCATGGTGTAGTCATGGCCTTGGTCACAGCCCCACACAGCCTGGATGATACCGCAGTACTCGGAGGACAGCGTCCTCTGGAGGCTGGGCAGGGCCCCACAGCTGGCTGCATGTCCATGCACCCACCCTACCAAGCCACGCAGGCCCTGGGGGCTCGAAGTGATCAGGTCCACTGAGGAAAAGCATAGAGACACCAGCCCCGTAGCTGGTCAGCACCCAGCCCACCGAGAGCCCCCCCACAAACCACACACTGGGGGCGCACTCACCCAGACACGCTCCCTCCTCTGCCCCTGCTGGGGGCTGGGCACCGACCCTGCAAAGGATTGGCATGGCCGTGAGTGGGGCCAGGCCGCCAGCAGGACCCCCAGGCTCACCACACTCCTTTCACAGGCCGCTTCTCCCACATGCGGGCAGACCCTTCTCTTATACTCAGAGCCCTTTGTGGCCCTCACCTCCCGGTCCATCTCCCTCACAACAGTCACACTGATGCTTACACACAGCTGCTGCACCGGACACAATGGTCTCCCCACTGCACAGATCCCCATCAGGCACTCTGTGCCTAGAAGAGCCCCAGGACACGGGTGCTTAGCCCCTGCACGCCCCAGAATCAAGGAGGGAGTGCCTACTTTGCATAAGGCTTCCGGTGGCCCGTCGGGGAGACGTTTACTCTCTGCAGGAAGGACTTGAGGAGGCCATGGCACTGGTAGAACTGAGCGTGGCAGTTCTTGCAGACAAACTGAGACAGAGCTGGATCCTGGTGGACTGCCACCCCTAGCAGGCGCTGGAAGTCCCTGATGAAAACACGCTCCCCTGGGGGTGGTCTCTCTGAGCTCTCCCCAGGTGCCCTGCCAGAGATGCTGCGGAGACTCCGTGAGGAGAACTTCCCGTGGCAGAGGCGACAGTGCCCCATGGCAAGGGCCCGGCCTGTTCCTGGGCAAGCACAGGAGATATTAAGTCAGTGGGGAGGCTGCTTGATGCACTGGGCATGCAAGACACAAGCTCTAGGAGGAGAGCAACGTGGCCCCAGGGGAGCTGAGGCCCACGCTTCACCAGCCTCCCAAGACACACTCCTTAAACACAAGCCCATGTCTGGGCCAAAGACAGGGTTTTGGCTCTGGGCTCCCAGCTGAACAGACAGCTTTTTGGAAGATGTGACCAACGGAGGGTCTTCTGGAATTCTAAATACCGCCACAACAAGGCCAGCATTACCCTGATACCAAAACTAGACAAGGACATTACAAGAACAGAAAAGTACACGCCAATATCCTTGACGAACACAGATGCAAAAATCCTCACAAAACATTAGCAAACCAAATTCAACAATACATTAAGAAGATCACATGCCACGATACAGTGGGATTAATTCCAGGGTTGCAAGGATGGTTCAACATCCGCAAATCAATCAACGTGATACACCAGATTAACAAAATGAAGGATAAAAGTCATTTGATCATCTCAATAGATGCAGAAAAGGTATCTGACAAAATTCAACATCCAGTCATGATAAAAACTGAACAAAGTGAATACAGACGGAATGGACCTCAGCATAACAAAAAGGCCATATGTGACAAGCCTACTGCTAACATTGTACTCAATAGTGAAAAGCTGAAAATTTGTCCTCTGAGATCAGAACAAGACAAGGATGCCCGCTCTTCCCACTTTTATTCAAAATAGCACTGGAAGTCCTACCCAGACCAATTAGGCAAGAAAAGGAAATAAAAAGCATCCAAATCAGAAAGAAAGGAGTCAAACTGTCTCTATTTGCAGATGACGTGACGTTACACAGTCTTGCATCACTTAACAACAGGGAAACGTTCTGAGAATTGCGTCGCTGGGCGATTTCAAATATTGTGTATCTAAGCAAATCTAAACACAGGAAAGGTACAATAAAAATACCATGTAAATGATAAGCCAGGGTACACCTGTACAGGGCACTTACCGTGCACGGAGCTTGCTGCACTGGAAGTCACTCTGGGTGAGTCAGTGAGTGGGTGGGGAGTGAATGTGAAGGCCCACGATGTTACGGGACACCACTGCACACTTTATAAACACTGTCCACTTGGGCTACACTACACTTATAAAAACACATTTTTCTTTCTTCAATAAGAAATTAGCCTGAGCGTACTGTAACTTTTTTACTTTATAAACTTTAATTTTTTTAACTTTTTGACTCTTTTGTAATAACACTTGGCTTAAAACACAAACACATTGTACAGCTATATAAAAATATTTTCCTTCTTTATACCCTTATTCTATAATCTTTTTCTATTAAAAATTTTTTTATTTTTACTTTTTAAACTTTTTTGTTAAAAACGAAGACACAACACACACGTTAGCCTAGGCCCACACAGGGTCTGGACCATCAATATCACTGTCATCCACTTCCACCTCTTGTCCCCCGGAAGGTCTTCAGGGCAGTAACGTGCCTGGAGCTGCCATCTCCTACGATAACAATGCCTTCTTCTGGAACCTCCTGCAGGACCTGCCTGGGCTCTTCTTGAGGAGGTTTCACTCTTTTCAGAAATACGTCCTTGGCGGTTTGCCTGGTTTGTTTCTTCTTTTCATTAAAGATTTGCTTGCAAGCAGGTAATGCACCATGAACGTTTCTCTCTATTAGAGAAAACCTTTTGGTATTGAAGTCCGTGTTTTCAAACTTTTTAAGGAGCTTGCTGAGGCCTACAAGAGCTTCTGCGAAAGCCTTCCCTGAGAATTTTCTTGGGGGTTCTTTTTGTTCTCCTGCAGTTTCCTTTTCTCTCGCCTCTTCTTCGGCTATGAGTTCCTGTTCCAGTCCCAACAACTCCTCATGAGTCACTTCCTCAGGAACCCCCTCTAGGAGCCCCTCAGTGTCGTCCTCATCCACACGCAGGGTAAAAGCTGTTTGCCACCTCAGCCACAGCCTTGTGGATTTCTGCAACCTCCTCATCCTCGGCAAACCCTTTGAAGTCATGGACGAACCTCTTGAGGGTCTTCTTCCAGATGCATTAGGCAATAGGAATTTTTCAGTTCTATTATAATCTTATGGGACCACCATCGTGTATGCGGTCTGTCATTGACCAAAGTGTCATTATGCAGTGCATCACTGTACATAGAAAACTCTAAAGACTCCACCAAAAAACTGTTAGAATAAACTAATTCAGTAAAGTTGCAGAATACAAAAATCAATACACAAAAACCTCTTGTGTTTCTATACACTTAAGAATTAAAAAACAATCCCATTTACAAGTGCATCAAAAAAATAGGGTCTGGCCCGGTAGTGCAGCAGTTAAGTTCGCACGTTCTGCTTCTCGGTGGCCCAGGGTTCGCCGGTTCAGATCCCGGTGCGGACACAGCACCGCTTGGCAAAAGCCATCCTGTGGCAGGCATCCCACGTATAAAGTAGATGAAGATAGGCACGGATGTTAGCTCAGGGCCAGGCTTTCTCAGCAAAAAGAGGAGGACTGGCAGTAGTTAGCTCAGGGCTAATCTTCCTCAAAAAAAAATAAATAAATAAAATAAAATAAGGGGTGGCCCCGTGGCTGAGTGGTTAAGTTTGAGCACTCCATTTCGGTGGCCTGGGGTTTCTCCAGTTCGGATCCTGGGCACAGACCTAGCAGCACTCATCAAGCCATGCTGAGGCAACATCCCACATAGCACAAGCAGAAGGACCCACAACTAGATTACACAACTATGTACTGGGGGGCTTTGGGGAAAAGAAGAAGAAGCAAAAAAGATTGGCAACAGATGTTAGCTCAGGTGCCAATCTTTAAAAAAGTAAAATAAAATAAAATAAAATACCTAGGAATTAACTTAACCAAGGAGGTGAAAGACTTGTACACTGAAAACTATAAGTCATTAGTAAAAGAAATTGAAGATACAAATAAATGGAAATATATTCTGTGCTCCTGGATTGGAAGAATTAATTAATATTCTTAAAATGTCCATACTACCTAAAATTACCTACAGATTCAATGCACTCTCTATCAAAATTCCAATGGCACTTTTCACAGAAATAGAACAATCTTAAAATTTATATGGAACTACAAAAGATGCCGAACACCCAAAACAATCTTGAGAAAGAAAAATAAAGTTGGAGGCATAACGCTTCCTGATTTTATACTATATTACGAAGTTATAGTAATCAAAACAGTATGGTACCGACATGAAAACAGACACATAGATCAATGGAACAGAATAGAGAGCCCAGAAATAAGCCCATGCAAATGTGGTCAATTAATTCATGACAAAGGAGCCAGGAATACACAATGGTGAAAGGACAGTCTCTTCAATAAACTGGCGTTGGGAAAACTGGACAGCCACATGCAAAAAAAGGAAACTGGACCACTATCTTACAGCATACACAAAAACCATCAAAAACAGATTAAAGACTTAAAAGACCTGAAACCATACAACTAGAAGAAAACAAAGGCAGTAAGCTCCTTGACGTTGGTCTTGCAATGATTTTTTGGATTTGACACCAAAAGTAAAGGCAACAAAAATAAATAAGTGGGACTACATCAAACTAAAAAGCTTCTGCACAGCAAAGGAAACCATCAACAAAACGAAAAGGCAACCTACTATATGGGAGAAAATATTTGAAGTCACATATCTGATAAGGGGTTAATACCCAAAATATATAAAGAAGTCATACAACTTAATAGCCAAAACGCAAACAATCTGATTAAAAAATTGGCAGAAGATCTGAATAGACATTTTTCCAGAGGAGAAATACAGATGGCCAACAGGTACATGAAAACATACTCAACTTCACTAATCATCAGGGAATCCAAACCACAATAAGCCATCACTTCACACTTGTCAGAATGGCTGTTATCAAAAAGACAAGAGATAAAGTGTTGGGGGCTGGCCGTGGCCGAGTGGTTAAATTTGTGGGCTCCGCTTCAGCGGCCCAGGGTTTCACTGGTTCAGATCCTGGATGCAGACATGGCACCACTCATCAGGCCGTGCTGAGGCGGCCTCCCACACAGCAGAGCCAGAAGGACCTACATCTAGAATATACAACTATGTACTGGGGGGCTTTGAGGAGAATAATAAAAAAGAAAACAAAAGATTGACAACAGATTCTAGCTCAGATGCCAATCTTAAAAAAAAGAAAAAATGATACAGTGTTGGTGATCTGGAGAAAAGGGAACCCTTGTGCACTGTTGGTGGGACTGTTACTTGGTGCAGCCACTATGAAAAACAGTATGGAGCCTCCTCAAAAAAAAAAACTAACAGGAGCCAGCCCCAAGTCGTAGTGGTTAAGTTTGTCACGCTCTGCTTGGGCAGCCTGGGTTCGCGGGTTTGGATACCAGGCACAGACCTTAACCATTTGTCAGCCATGCTGTGGCGGTGACCCACACGTAAAGTGGAGGAAGATTGGCATAGATGTCACCTCAGGGCTAATCTTCCTTAAGCCAAAAAAGAGGAAGATTGGCAACAGATCTTCACTCAGGGATAAGCTTCCTCAGCAAAAAAACCCACAGAACTACCATATAGTCCAGCAGTTCCATTTTGGGGAATATATCCAAAGGAAATGAAAACACCATGTCCAAAATATATCTGCAGTTCCATGTTCATTACAGCGTTATTTACAATGACCAAGACACGGCAACAACCTAAGTGTCTACTGATGGATAAAGGAAACGTACTATGTATATCTATGTACACACACAATGGAATATTATTCAGTCATAAAAAAGAAGGAAATCTTGCCTTTTGCGACAACATAGATGGACATTAACAGCATTGTGTTAAGTGAAATAAGTCATACAGAGAAAGACAAATCCTGTATGATCTCACTTATATGTGAAATCTAAAAAAATGAAAAACATGGAACTAATAGATACAAGGAATAAACTGGTGGTTACCAGAAGTGGGGGTAGGGGTGGGTGAAACGGGCAAAGGTGGTCAAAAGGTACAAATTTCCCACCATAAAATAAGTAAGTCCTGGGGACGTAACGTCCATGGTGACTACAGTCAATAACACCGTATTGGGTATTTGAAGTTGCCACGACAGTAGATCTTAAAAGTTCTCATCACAAGAAAACACTAGTCTGTAACTGGTGACGGATGTTAAGTAGGCTGGGGGACCGTGACACAACACATACAAATACCCCATCAAAATGCTGGACACCTGAAACTAACAGAACGTTACATGTCAACTAGATCTCAAAATTTTTTTTTCCGAAAGAAATACATCTAAAAGACATTCTTAAGTACACAGCTAACGCCTTCTACAGCTCTGGAAACTTTTCTTCCTCACCCCATCCTCCTAAGGCCAGAAGGGCCGCAGGGTGGCTCTGCCTCCCTGGGCCTCCCATGTGCCAGGTGCAGACAGTGCCCCTCCCTCTCCGCCCCAGGAGGAAGCCGGGGTGCAGGGCAAAGGCACCCAGGAAGGCAAGGTGCTCGTTCACCACCAGCACCGCCCAGCTGGGGACCGACCACTCTGACACTGAACCCACTTCGTTCTGTCTTAATGACAGGAGGCTGAGGCCCACAGAGGTTAGGCAGTTATCTCAAGGCTACAGAGCACAGGGCCTGCCCAACTGCAAAACTTGAGCACTAATTACTGAACGAGCCTGGAGTCGGCCGAAAGGGTCAGCCGTCTTGCCAAACAGCACAGCGCAGGCCGCCACGGATGCCAGGCAGCGGCCGCTCTCACCCGCTTCCGGCGGGAGGCCTGGTCTGCTTCCAGGGAACCTGAGGGTGCTGACGGCGAGAAGAGGCCCTGGGCACAGGGTCACTGGGGGAACCGGTGGTCATTAGTAGTCACCGGGGATGCAGTGGTCACCGGGGAATGTGGTGGTCACCAGGAAACGTGGTGGTCACTGGGGGACCTAGGGGACGCGGTGGTCACCGGGGACGCTGGTGGTCACTGGTGATTACCGGGGGAACTGGTTGTCACTTGCGGTCACTGGAGACGTGGTGGTCACCGGGGAATCTGGTGGTCACCAATAGACACGATGGTCAATGGGGGACCTGGGGGATGCGGTGGTCATTGTGGTCACCAGGGGACGCAGTGGTCACTCGTGATCACCGGGGGACGCGGTGGTCATCGGGCAACTGGTGGTCACCGGCGGGACTGGTGGTCACTGTGGTCCCCGTGGACGCGGCGCTCGCCGCCGCCGCCCCGCCCCGCCGGGGCCTCCCCGCCGGACCCACCTGCCTCGTCGGCGCCGTCCTCGCCCGCGTCCCTGCAGGCCCGCGCCGGGCCCCACCCCAGCCGCGCAGCCACCAAGGCCGCCGCCTCGTCCACGCTCGGCCCGCCGCGGGCGGGGCGGCCCCGGGCCCGGCCGCCGCCACCGCCCGAGCCCCCGCGCTGCCCCGCCGCCCCAGGCGACAGGAAGCGGCCGAGCCGGTCCCGCTTCATGGCGGCGGCCGCGGATACAGCCCGCCCCTGCGCTCCGCCCCGTTCGGCCTGGGTCGGCTCAGCTCGGCCCCGCTCGGCTCCACTCGGCCCTGCTCGGCCCCGCTTGACTCCTCTCAGCACGGCCCGCTTCGGCTCTGCTCGGCTCGGCCGGGCCCCGCTCGGTCCCACTCGACCCGGCTCGGCTCCGCTCGGCCCCGCTCGGCTCAGCTCGGTTACACTCGGCCTCGCTCGGCTCGCTGGGCCTGGCCACTCGGCCCAGCTAGGTCCTGCTCGGTCCAGAGCCTCTCGTCCGTTCCGCTGGACTGTGCTCGCTCATTTCCGCTCAGCTCCGCTGTTCGGCTCCGCTCGGCTCACTGGAATTGGAGCAGGGTGGAGCAAAGAGGGGCGGAGTGATGAGGGCGACGGGCGGAGCGACGAGGGCGAGAAGTTTGAGCGGGGGGGGGGGGACAGAGAGAGAGAGAGATGAGGGAACGAGCGGGGCGAATGGAGGGGCGGGGCGGCGTGAGGAAGGTGAAGGAAGGGGCGGGGCGTGAGGACAAGGGGCGGTGCCTACGTGGTTGGCGTGTCACAGACGCGGAGTGAGAGCGCCGCTTATTGCGCTCACACGCTCGTGGCAAGTGCGTGAGGAGGTTACTTGTGAGCTCAGCCATCCCCACCTCCTCCCCTTCGGCCCCAGGAACTGAGCGCTCAGGGCGGCCTGGGAGGGGCTGCCGGAAGTACGCCCTCGCCCGTCCCACCTGTTCCGGCGGTCCGCTGCTCCGGTGGCGCCCGCGCCCGCGCAAGCTGCGTTCCGGGCTCCGGGCCGCCCGCCCCGCCCCTCAGCCGCCGCCGCCGCCTCCGCCGCCCGGAGCCATGGCCGCTGCGGCCGGGGACGGCGCGGTGAAGCCGCTGCAGTGTGCCATGAAGCTGGCCAACGGGGCCATCGAGCTAGACACCGGCAACAGGCCCCGGGTGAGGCGAGGCGAGGCGAGGCGCGGCGCAGCTAGGCGGGGGCGGGGGTGGGGACGGGGGCCGCGGCGCAGACCCGGGGGCGGGGCGGGGCTGGGCGGGGCCGCGGGGTGGGCGCCGGCGGGACCCTCGCGCTGGGGGCGGCGGGCGGCGGACGGCGCGCGGGGCTCGGGGCCCTGGTGACCTTGGACAGCTCCCGCGGCTGCCGCCCTGCGCGCTCCGTCGGTCCGCCGGGGGGCGTCGGAGCTGAGGCTTCACCTGTAGGGGCTTCCAGGGGTGTGCGCGGCCCTTGGGACGTCTGGGGCCGGCGGCTCCCTGTGTCTGTGTGTTCTCTGGGCACACGCTGGAGAGTCCATCCGATCCAAAGGGGACGGGATCCAGGAAAGGTTCGCCGCGGCTTTCCAGGCGTCTGGAGAGCTTGTTTGGAAGGGAAGGCGCGCGGGGAGAGACGTGGCTCGTCCGAGAAGGGGTGTCGCCCAGGTGGAGAAGCGGGCTGAGCCCCCTCCGCTGCCCCGGAAGGAGGAGGTGCGAGGGCCCGGGAAAAGCACCGGTCCCGCCAGCCTCTGCTTTCCCCAAGTTGGTTTTCTAGAGCAGCAGGTGCCCAGTTGGAAATCCTTCCTGGCATCCGTTGTATCCGTATTTCTGAGGTGCAGACTTTAGTGGGTAATTTGAGAACTGGGATGCAAAAAACAAAAGACTAAACACTATGCTGTGCTTCCAAATGCCCCTAGCTCTGTCGGGGAGCTCTGAACAGGATGGTCACACCCTTGAAACTGTCAATATTCTAGTGTTCTGGACTCCTGCATGCCCAGGGAGTACGTATTCTGGGGTTCCCGAAAGGGATTTCCCAGAACCTAAGCCAGAACGTTCTTGTGAGAATTGTAACATCACTCCCTTTTTAACGTCCCAGGAAATATTTTTTTAAAGCCACTGAATGAATAGCTTCTGAGTTGTGCAAGAAGGAAACTTGTTGCATAGAGTGAAAACTGACAGCACTTGTCAAGGCTGCTTCCCCTGGCACACTGAATGAGAGTCTCAATTCCTTCCTGTGCTGGAGAGAAAGGCAGTGAGAGGATTGATGCCCAGCTGGGTATCTTTTCCTCCAAGTCTGGAGAAGAGAGAGACAATCTGTGCCCCAGGCAGAACATCACTGATTAGACCTGGAGGACTTACCAGCCAACTGCCTCAGGCTGGATGTCTCAAGTCTATCTCAGAGATAGTAGATGCACCATCCCTGTGTTTCCCACAAGGGACCAGGCAAGCGTAATGGAATAGTTTGCCTCCACTGACCTGACCTCTGCCGCTTCTCTCCCCCGTGCACAGGAGGCATATATGGAATACCTGAGGAGCATCCACTACATCTCCCAGGTGCTGCTGGAAGAAGTGGAAAGCACTAAAGGTACAGCTCTCAGCCTTGCCGCTCCTTCCATGTTGGGCAGGCTGTGGACAACTTAGCCCTTGGTGGGTGCCAGGCCTGCGGGTGTCCTGGGTTCTGCCTGCTTGGTCATTAGCAGAAGGTGAACGGGTGTGCACTCAGTGAGCACAAGCTGTCACAGTGTGACTCGGGAGCAGGAAGGGACAGGTGCTGTGAGTAAGGGGATGGGAATGCCGTGGAGAGACTGGACACTGAACCCCAGCCCATGGAGGAGTATGGGGGTAGCAGTCCCAGTGGAGAGATGCACAAAAGCTTGGGATGAGAGCAGGTACCGAGTACAAGGAAGGGTAGACACCCTGGAAAGAGGAAGGTGCAGTTGGGGCAGGCAGGGCCGTGGGTGGAACTGGGGTCGATCTGGGGTGAGGGGAAGCTCATGGAGGCTTTGTGAGGAGAGGCCGCATGGAAGCAGAGCCTCCAGGAGGCACCCACAGTGCGGCCAGCGGTGATGGGAGCACCTAGAGTTGCGGGAGTGAAGGACTTGGGGATGTTCTTTAAAGGTAGACCTCACCATACTTGGGGGTGGGGGGGAACAGTGAGCTTCTGCGGGGACAGTGAGGCATGGGGCAGGGTGCGCGGGGGTGGCAGGAGCAGACCTGTGAGGGAGGAATGGAGAGCTGCGTCATGAGCACATCCTGCTGGAGATGTCCAGCAGCCCAGTGAACACAGAAGCACAGTGGTCAGGGAGAGGTGGGAATCACCTGAACTGAGCTGTCCTAGGAAGCCAGGGAGCTTAGCAGAGCTCCACTCACTCCAAGATTGGAGAATGGGAGGAGGGTGCAGTGGGAGAGGCCCTGAGGGGGATGTCTTGGAGGAGAGAGACCCTGAGAGGCGGAGGATGCTCTCAGAGCAGAGCACAGTACGGGTGGGTGAGTGGGGGCGGTTTCAGTGGGAGTCAGGGGCTAAAATAGAGTATGGGGAGGGGCCAGCTGTACACGAAGCAGGAGGTGGGTCAGGAGCTGGGGCTGGTGGAGTCCAGGGTAGGGTTTGGGGTGGCAGCCCCTATAGCGTGTCTACTGATAAGGAGAGGTTTCCAGAGGAGGGAATGCAGAACAGAAGCTCCAGGGAAGCGTCAGGGGTGGGGGTGAGGACAGCCAGAGGGCGGGAGATGGGTGATGAAGCTGTCTGTGCAGTGGCCTGTGTCCACCATAAGTCCTACCTTGAGGAGGGGCTGTGGGTAGACACGAAGCCCTCGGTGAGGAGAAGAGGCCTAGTTAGGCAGGGAGAGGGCTCCACTGCTCCAGCCAAGATGGCAAGACAGTCAGTCACATGCTGGGCTGGCCAAGCTCAGAGCCCACACAGGGTCAGGAAGTAACCCCCGGCAAATGGTCAGAGACAAGGAGGGGGTGGGCTCACCCAGGGATCAGAGGTGAGGAAGGGGTGGGCTTGCCTCTGTTTTTATCTCAGCAAGAATCTGATGAGTGATAGACGTGATGGTGACCAGCCTTCTTGTCCCTTGCTTCCCAGAAGCTGGGGAAACTCTGCCCCCAGACACCTCGAAGATGCTGAAACTGGCCGAGCAGTGTCTGGAGAGGGCCCAGTCGACAGCTGCCAAGCTTGGTGGGTCTGCAGCAGAAGGTTTTCCTGGAGCATCCCCCCAATCTGCATCTCCTCTGTGGAATGTGGGGATCCTGTGCTGACTCTTGGCTACATATGTCTTGCAGGGAAAACACACGTGAAGCCAGCCATGCCTGTGGCTGCTCCTGTCCCCGCACCCACTACCCGACATCGCCGGGTGTACTCAGATGAGGGGGGGAAGCTCTCTCCGTTTCTGCCGCCAGAGATCTTCCAGAAGCTTCAGGTGGTAGAGTCACAAAGCTCTAAGAAGTAAGATGGGGCAAAATGGAAGGTGGGCTGAGCCTGGGTTTGAAGGCCAGACAAAGTGAGCTAACCATATGAATTTAGTGAGATGGGTCCCAGAGTGGAAGCACCCTTGTACCTAGCAGAAATGAATGTAAATCGTCTTTGGAGCAGAGCACCTTCAACTTTCATAAAATGAGTGGCAAACAAAGATGACCAAGCACAAAAAGGAAAGAGAAACTATGAAGGAATGATAGCAGAAACAGACCTACACAGTCTTAAAACATTTATCAGACACAGATTCTAAAACAGTCATGCACTCTGTATTTAGAAAAATAAAAAATAAGTTTGAAAATACCCACAGGAAACAAGAAACTATAAAACCTAACCCAGCAAACAAAGAACCAAGTAGAAGCAAAATGAAAAATATAATACCAAAGTTATTTTTAAAAACTAACTGGAACAATAACAACAAATTATATTGTGCAGTAAAAATCCACACATGTGCACAAAAGCAAGTGGACAAATTTACAAAAGCAGGATAGACATAGCTGAAGAGAGAATTAGTGAATTGGATGAAAGGCCAAAATATATCTAGAATGACTCACAGGAAATAAAAAAAATTTTTGAAAGAGACATGGAAAGTCTAACATAAGATTATTAGAGTTCCAGAGAAAGAGAAGAAAATGAAAGAGAGGCATTATTTGAAAATATAATGGCAGGTAATTTTCTAGAACTGATGAAAGACACCCAGACATAGATTCAAGAATCCTAAGGAGGGTAAACAAGGAGGACTGGGTCCTTCTTGCCCTGCTGTTGCCAGGCCTCAGGGGCCACTTCCATTCAGGGGTCCAAGGCACCTCGTTTCTGCACGTGGAGCTTTGGGGCAGGGCCAGGCACAAGACTTGCATCCCAGGACAAACCTTCCCTCCTCGGTCCTGTGTGCCCCACAGGTAACCCTCTCCCACCCATGGAAGCAGGAAGACAGGTGGGACTGAAAGGTTTCGTGGAGGGCTGACCGTTGGTAGCTGTTATGGAGTAGACATCGTTCTCCCTTTCATGGGTTGCAAACTGATCTAGCTGTTTGGTCCACATGGTGCCCTTGAGGAGTTTTGTGTTGTTGCCAAACACTATAACTGGTTTTCATGAAGTTCCGATGTCCAGCTTTTCTTGGAAAGCCAGAAGTCCTGGCAGTAGCAGGCCCACATTTCAGCAGGGCAAGTGTCTTCAGTCCTCTCCAGATCTCCTCCCCCTTTTATATTCCTTGCCTGCCCCATCACCACCTCCTCACCTTCTGGACTCAGGGCAGGGTCAGGAAGTGTCCTCAGGTCACCAGAGCATTCCTGGGCTTCCTGGGGCCTGGACAGCAGTTTATCACCATTTCCAGGGAGCTAACACCCTTGGAGGAGGCCTCCCTGCAGAACCAGAAGCTGAAGGCTGCGTATGAGGCCCGGATGGCCCGTCTGGACCCCAGCCAGGCCACGCAGAAGACATCCCTGGTGAGCAGCGCCCAAGGAGGGTCTGGGTTGGTGGGGGAGAGGAAGTAGGCGTTATTCCCTCCTTTCCTTCCTAGACCCTGTCCCTGCAGCGGCAGATGATGGAGAACCTGGTGATCGCCAAGGCCCGGGAGGAGACAGTATCCTTCCCATCCATCCTTGGTGTCCCAAGGAGGAAATTCAGAGTGTGACCTTGAGCTGAGGATCGGGGTGCAGGAACAGAATTCTTTCGGCTTTGGAGAGGCATGTCCTCAGGGGATGGTTACTGCCTAGCCGCCCTTCCTCTGCCCTCCAGACCTTTGCACAGGCCTTCCTGCCCCTCCCAGTGCCCACGGGCTCCTCTCCGTCCTTGCAGTCAGCTAGGACTTGCCTTCTTTCTCTGAGTGGGCACACATTCTCCAGCCCTGCTGCCTCCTCCCTCCTGTCCCGCTGGACCGTACCCGCTGTGTCCAGCACGGCGCTGGGGCCCCCCCCATCACACACAGCCTTGACTCTCCATCCCAGCTGCAGAGGAAGATGGAGGAGCGCCGGCTGCGACTCCAGGAGGCCGCCAACAGGTGTGTCTCCTCCCACTGCTCTCAGGGCAGCTGGGGGGACAGGTAGGGCCTCCCCCACCTGCCTGTCCAGCCCTGAGGCTGCCAGCCCCGTGCTTCCTCCCCAGGAGGTTCTGTAGTCAAGTCGCCCTGACCCCGGAGGAGCGGGAGCAGCGGGCCCTCTATGCCGCCGTCCTCGAGTATGAGCAGGACCACGTGAGTCCCACCGTGGGGGCGGGCTGTGGTCATGGGCAGCAGCTCCTCCTGGGGGCAGGGCAGGGGTCCCGCGGCTTGACTGTGGGGGTCTTCCCTGCACCCCAGGAAGGGTGTGGAGAAAGGCCTTGGCAGGGATGGAGGGGCGTCTCATCGTGGGGTCCCGCTGTGGTGCCAGAAGTCTCCTGTCCTGCAGGACTGGCCGAAGCACTGGAGGGCCAAGCTCAAGAGGAGCCCAGGAGACCTGTCGCTGGTCACCAGCCTGGTTTCCCACCTGCTCAGGTACCAGGGCCTGTAGCCCCTCCCCCCAAGGATTAGAAAGGGAGAAGACAGGCGAGTGAGGCTCCCACAGAGGCCCCAGGGCTGCCCCCTTGGCACCGAAGCTCGTTGGCTGGCCTCCTGCCATCTCAGAGGGGTGGGTCATACTTTCTTTGCAAGCTTCACCCGCAAGGAAGTAACACGTGAGCCACTTCTCTGCAGTCTCTGATGGCGGGGCCGCTTTGTAGACGGCGGCTGCCGAGAGAGGCCAGAGGCAGCCAGGGGCTGTGCCTGACAGGCGGCCAGCGCTGTGCCCTCGACGCCACCTCTCCCCTGCTCGCAGCGTCCCCGACCACCCCATCTCTCAGCTCCTGAAGAAGCTCCAGTGCGCGGTGTACCGCGCGCTATACCCGGTGGTGAGCCGGGCTGCCGTGGGCACCGCCTCGGCCCCGAGCTGCTGCGCCCTGCCCCCGGACGCTGACGGGCTGCTGGCCCCTGGAAGTCGGCGGCTCCGGCCCTCGCAGAGCCTCTACTGCATGCTCTCCCTGCCTGAGCCTGGCCCGACCCTGCGGCCTCCCAACGACCCCCCTGCCAGTCCTCCTGTACCCCCACTCCACCCCAGCCCCCCTGACAGAGGGACGGATAGCACCCCTGCAGGGCCGCCCTCACCCCTGGCAGACACCTCATCCCGCCTGCCACGCAAGGACAGCTCCTTCGAAGACCTAGAACTGTTTTTGGCTACTTCTGAGAGGTGGGGCCAGGGCCCTGGGGGGCGGCCCGAGCCCCAGACCCCAGGGGTGGAGGAGCCATTGCTGGAGCAGCTGAAGAGCACCGTCAAGGACATCCACAATGCCATCGGTGAGGGCCAGCGCCCCGCGGGACAGGTGGGCAGGTGGGAGGAGCTGCTCCAACTCTGAAGCCCACAGCCAGCAAAAAGCTTGTCACAGGCCAGAGACAGGCCCCGGAGGAGGGGCTTCCTCTGCACGGCAGCCAGGCTGGCCCTGATCTGTAGAGCTGGCCCCAGCCAGCCTCCCTGCCAGCCAAACACCCCGCTTAGCAGAGAAGGAGGCACCTGCCTCAGAGAGCAGCTGTAGCTGGCTGCGGGCTCAGCTTGCCCCTAGTGCCCGGCTGTCTTCTCACGGGGCTGCACGGGAGATGCAGTCTAGTCCATTCCAGTCTTCTGGAATGGGGAAGGGTCTGCCCTCAGATCCTCTGGCAGCCAGGCGGTCCTGGCTGTCCCATCGGGTCCAACTCACGTCTCTCCAAATCAAGGACTGTCGGGCTGTTGGGTGTGTGCAGCCTGGTGATGACGGAGGCTCATCCCTCAGCCTTTTCCATTTTGAGAATAGTGTGTGGGTTCCCTAAGGGTTGGGGCCTTGGGTGGCAGGTAACTTCCAAGACTTTTCCAAGGAGGAGAGTCTCAGTGGTTTTCTAAGAACCAGTGAGGGAGGCCTGACAGTCAGTGGCCTTCTAACTGTGGGGCCCACACTCTCTGATCGTCCCCCCTTGGCCCCAGGCAGGTCCCTCTTCCTCCCCAAGCAGGCTCCCCCATCTCCTGGCACAGGTCCCCCCTCCTCCCCAAGCAGGTCCTCCCTTCTCCTGGCACAGGTGCCCCCTCTCCCCAAGCGGGTCCCCCTCCTCCTCAAGTGGATCCTCTGTCTCCCTGGGTCTCACATTTCTTGTCTTTGTATAAGCTTTTAAAAGTCTTCCAGGTTGTCCATTTTGGGTACAAACCTTTTTCAGAAAGACAGTGTTTTCTGCCTTTTTTCCCAGGCCTGTGTCCTTGGCCCCTTACGGGAGCTGGGTATGACCCTGTGAGCCCCAGGGATGAGGGCCCAGATTCCCTGCTCCAGTCCCAGTCCACATGGACACAGGAGGGGATGGTGTGGAGGGAGGACCAGGCAGAGGCCCTTCCCCGCGGAGCTGGAATGCCAACGGTGGCTCTGCCCACACTTAGGCTGGCTCTGGGAGGGCACAAGGAGGTGACAGGTGAGGGGCCCATCTGGGCACCTAAGGCTGGCTGGGGGTGACCTCCAGGGGCTGCCAGCCTAGCCGGATGGCCCAGCTGTCCCCACAGCGCCGCTGTGCTGGCTCTGCTCCTGGCAGACAGGCTGCTCTCGCTGATGCTCCTGGCTTTTGAAGGCCTGAATACGGCCGCCTCCAAGGACCGCTGCCTGGCCTGTATCGAGGAGCCCTTCTTCTCCCCGCTTTGGCCCCTGCTGCTGGCCCTCTACAGGTACAGCCCTAGTGCCACTCCCCCACAGGGCCTTTCCCGTCCACTGTAGTGTCAGGTCCCTTCTCGAGTCCTGGGGCAAACTTCTGACTGTGCTTCCCGCTGGCACTTGACTCTGAGGCCATCCTGGGTGTTTCAGGTTTGCAGCTGGTGCCACACCTGCCTGTGACTCAGGGCATGGCCAGCTTTCCCCAGGCCTGCCTCTGTCACAGGGCGGGGTCCCCTGGGCAGCTGAGCCTGGCCTCTCTCTGTCCCAGGAGTGTGCACCGCCCCCGGGAGGCTGCCCTGAGCAGGAGCATGGAGCTCTACAGGAATGCACCCCCGGCAGCCGTGGGCATCCCCACCAAGCTCCTCCCTCGGGGCCCTGAGGCCCTGGAAGCTGGTGCCTACCCCTACTGCGCAGCAGCCCAGGAGCTGGGGCTCCTGGTTCTGGAGAGCTGCCCCCAGAAGAAGCTGGAATGCATTGGTGAGCAGCAGGGTGGTTTGGAAAAAGGAAGGGAGAACATAGTTGGATATGACAAATCCCCGTCCTAGAGGGTAACCTGGAGCCTGTGCCTCCCATCTCTAATGACCCACGAGACATCAGCGATGTGAGAGCAACATCCACGGGAGGGATCATCCTGGCCCTGCCCAGCCCTGCACGTGCTGCACGTGACGGGTATGAGGGCAGTGCCAGGGGTGCCCGGGAGCCGTTCTGGCTTCCAGGCCATCCTGGGACGGGCTTCCCCCGCCTCTTACCCAAAGCCCGGCTTCTGTGCTGCAGTGAGGGCCCTGCGAGTCATCTGCGCCTGTGCGGAGGATTACTACCGGGCCCAGGAGGCTGGACCCCAGCCCAGTGCTGCTGCCATGTGAGTCCTGGAAGGGCACATCCTGGGGTTCACTGGGCGCGTGAGGGGCTGCCTTCAGAGTCCTGTGGGAAGAGAGAAGCCCCACCCTGTTTGGGGCACCAAGACCATGGGCTTTTGCCCAGCGTCTGCCCACTTGGGCCCCAGCAGCCTTGTTCACCCATAAGCTTTGTAGAGCTCGTCATGGAGGAGAGCCCAGCCTATTTCTATCAAGAAGCCCAGCTCCAGCCCCTGTGGACGAAGCATTCCTGCTCCTCTGGGCAGGTCTTCCTAGGGGGTCACAGACCCCCTGGCTAGTCTGGTGAAAAGTAGAGTTGCCCGTCTCAGAAGCACGTGCTTGGCCCCTCAGTGGCACGTCTGGAGGAAGCTGTCCTGGCCCCAGTGAAGAGCTTGCTTCCTGCACTGAGCCCTCAGCTCTGGGGTTCCTGCATCAGCCCTGCCCCATCCTCCCAAGATGGGGCAGGGGTCTTCCCCACCTGGGCCCTGCAGCCTGGAGCGCTAATGCCTGGTCCTGCCTCAGTTTCACCTGGATGCACCTGCTGCCAGCAGCCTTCTGCCCTGGTGCCCACCTGGGGCTGGAGTCCCCTTAGCACCTGTAGGGGCTCTGCCCCCTGCCACCCTGCCCCAGGGACCAGGGTCATCCTGAAGGCACCTGTCATTGCAGCCTAGTGGGCGGGCTCTGGCATCCATGTACACCCAGGGGGCCTGCAGGTGAGGATGAGGTCAGCAGGGAGGAGTTCCACCCAAGAGGAGGGAGACAGATGCTCCCTCCACTGCCCCTAGGGCTGGGGTGCTGGGCCTCAGCTGCAGAGTCGGGGTAGCGGGGGCAGGCCCAGCATGGTTCCCACTTGCTGCCTTCCCCGGTTTGCCTTTTCGTTTCCAAGTAAGTCCCCGCAGATAAAAGAGGCCAGGACCGGAAGTGCGTCTGAGTCACAGCCGCAGCTTCACAGTGGCTCTTCCCGTGGGCATCTGAGGAGCCGGGGAGGGGCTGTCTGTATTCCCACAGGTGTGCGGTGTCCAGGGAGGTGAGGGCAGGGCCACCAGTAGGAACTCATGGTGTGTGAGGCCTCGCCAGTTATCAGACTAAGAGACAATCTTTGCCGCCATGCTGTTGCCAGAGACCACTGACCTGTGGGGCCCCTGGGCCAGGGTTCTGAGCGTCCTGCAGGCCTCACTTACTCCTTTCTCAGCTTACTTAGGCGGCTCTTGTGGAGGACCTGGTATGCCTGGGGGGCCGAGCTGAGTAACACTCAATGCCAAGAGCAAGCAGGCTGCCCGGGACCCAGGCTGACACTCTGTCACCCTGCTCCCAGGCTCGGGCAGCTAATGGGTCGGGCTTGTGAGGTTGCGGCTGCCCCGCTCCTCCACCATGGGGCCTCTCCGAGCTCAGCCCTGGGCCCTGCAGCGTGGGGTCCCTGTTTGGGGATGGCCTCACTGCTCCTTAATGGTCTCCTGTGCTGCGGACCCGAGTCCACCCCTGGCCCCCATGCAGACAGGTGGCACCAGTGCAGAGATCAACCATGAGCCTGAGACTGCTCCAGGGGTCAAGCCAGGGGCTGCGGGCTGGCAGGGATTGGGCAGCCCTGCTGGCCTCTGGAGCCAACCGGCTGGCTGTGCTTTTGCCTAACAGTGGTGCCGATGACCTGCTGCCCATCCTGTCCTTCGTGGCGCTGAGAAGTGGCCTCCCCCAGCTAGTGTCAGAGTGCGCAGCCCTGGAGGAGTTCATCCACGAGGGGTAGGCGTCCCCCGGCCAGGGCAGGGTCGGCATCGGCGGCCGGGCATGTACTCCCTGGCTGGGGGTTCACCTGTGCACACAGCCCACGGACCCCTCTCCTCAGCCTCTTCCCACCACCCCTTGCTTGGCACACTGCCTAGACAGGAGCTGGGGGGCTGTCCCCTGAGCAGCGTCTACCTGGGAGGTAGGCTGTGCCTCCAGCCCAGCCTCCCTGATAGCCCATGTGGGGCCCCAGCATCCAAGTCCTGCTTTGTAAAGGCAGACGCCCTTCCAGAGCACCCCTCCAGGTGACAGGTGTCCCCCGTGCACACCTCCACACAGGTACCTGATTGGAGAGGAGGGCTACTGCCTGACGTCACTGCAGAGCGCCCTGAGCTTCGTGGAGCTGCTGCCCCGGGGGGCTCTGGGCAAGTAGTGGAGCAGGACCCTCTAGGAGTCGCTGCCTGGGGGCAGTGGGCCAGCTGTGATGGGGCTCTGCAGCTCTCAAGCCGCCGGAACCCAACATCCGCCCCCAGGGGCTCAAGGAGGCCCCTTTGCTCCTGACAGTGTGGGCCTGAGCTGAGTCAGCTCCCAGGAAGCAGGCCTTCTCTCCCCTGACCCAGCCTCCGAGAGGCCCCATGCAGGGACACCAGAGCTGCGGACTTCCCTAGGCATGCTCACCCCTGACGGCTCAACCCACTGACGCCCCAACCCACTGATGCCCCGCAGGCCCGCCGACCCCAGGGCAGAGAGGGACCGCGGGCCTGGCCAAGGACAGGTCTGGTTTCTCTCCATTCCCGTCTCCTGAGAGGCAGTCACAGCTCCCTGAGCCAGTTTCTCGTCAGTCAAGAAGAGAGCCTGTCATCGCCCCCACCCCGCCCTGAGGCCTGGGGCCCAAGTGGTTTGAGACTGCTGTTTATTTATTGGGTATTGACCACTCCACTCTCCCTTGGATGCCCAGGTGTCCTCGGGCACCCCCTGTGTCTGGGGTCTCAGAGCCACACTCCTACCCTAGGCACTAGGCACTGGACATCCCAAGACCCCTGGCCAGTTCCCACCCCTGCACATCTCCTTCCAGGTGGGTGTGAACCTGAGAGTCAGCACGTGCCAGCAGCCCGCTACCCATACTGTTACCTGCCCCAGGAAGCTGCTGACCCAGCCAAAAATAAAGAGGTCACTGATGTCTCACTCTGTGTAGCTGGCTTGCTCCCCAGCCCACTGGTTGGGCGAGGCCAGGCAGCACAGCCACCCCCCGTCTGCTGACCGACCGAGAAGAGCCAGGCTGTCCCAGAGTTCACTGATGCCCACCAATAAACCAAGCCTGCCCCGCTAGGTCCTCTCTGCAGGAGGGGGATGCCCTTCGGGCTGCACCCTCTAGGACAGGATACATGCTGCAGGGCCTAGTGGGGTGGGCAGGATGGAGCCCAGAGTACTCAGCCTGAGGGCTCTCAGGAATCCTCTTCATTCTCCAGGTGGGGCACGCATGCAGGTGCCCTGAGTGGTGGTACGTGGGACCCCTGGGGAAGGAAAGCAGCCCAGCCCCAGCTATGGCAGCATCTGCCAGGGAGGGAGGGGACCCCCAGCAACCTGGGTCACCACAGAGGTGGGCAGCTGGGCCCAGCCACAGCAGAAGCTGGTCGTGGGAGCTGTGTTTGGGGTCCTCGGAGAAAGGCTCTAGCAGAACAGCAACAGTTGGTGTTTATCAGGTGCTCTGTGCCAGGTGGTCTACCAAGCTGATCTACTCCTCACAAGAACCCCATGAGGACACTGAGGCACAGGAGGTGAAGTGCCTTCTTCATGCCACATCTCATGGTGACAGAGCTGGGTCTGAGCCCAGCAGGTGGGCTCCAGAGGCCAGTGGGTACCTGGGGCTGTGACCCCAAGGGCAGGCGCTGGGCCTGGAGGGCTGGGGCAGCTGTCCTGTCAGGAGCCTTTGTGGGCTGGGGGCCCCTCCCTGCAGCATCCCAGGAACAGACAGGCCAGCGCCCACCCACTCACGTGCCCTGCCCTCAAAGCTTTGAGTTCTTGAGCCCCGTGCCCGCCCTTGTCTCCTCACCCTGCCTTCTCCAGAGGAAGCCCCGTGGCCCTGTCCTCAGCCTCCCTGGCATTCTGTTTGTGCTCTTGTGAGCGTGGAGTTCTGAGTCCCCCAGACCTGCTGTGAGTCCCCGCTAGCCCCAGAGCCTGGCGAGCAGGTGCATGTCCCTGTCCCAGGCCTGGCGCTGCCATCTCAAGGATGGGCTTTTAAAGCCCCCTTTCCTCGTGCGTGTGGAGGGTGGAGGTGTCTTGAGCCGAGCCTGAGAGTGGGAGCAGTTGCTGGCTCTGCACCAGGGGCCACATCGTGGGCTGAGCTCTCTGAGGGCTGACTCCTTGGCACCCTGCCCAGGGCACTGTGATCAGACAGGCTTGTCCTCAGGCTGCTTCTTGCTGTGTGGCTTTGGGCCAGTCGTTTAGCCTCTCCTCCACACAACAGGGATAAATAATTGATTCTTCACATTGATAGTCCTGCAAATCAAGAAAAAGGCAGGAGCCCCAATTAGAAAAAGGGCAAAGGGGCCGGCCTGGTGGCGCAGCAGTTAAGTGCACACGTTCTGCTTCGGTGGACCAGGGTTCACTGGTTCGGATCCCAGGTGTGGACAGGGCACTGCTTGTGAAGCCATGCTGTGGTAGGCGTCCCACATATAAAATAGAGGAAGATGGGCATGCATGTGAGCTCGGGGCCAGTCTTCCTCAGCAAAAAGAGGAGGATTGGCAGCAGATGTTAGCTCAGGGCTAATCTTACATTAAAAAAAAAAAAAAGGAAAAGAGCAAAGGCTATGAACAGACTATCTAGAGAAGAAGAAATTTAAAAAGCTAATCAGCGTAAGAAGAGGTGTTCAAAGTCACAAAAAAATCAAGAAATGCAAATTAAAACAATAACAAGGTGAGACTTCATAGGTGTCAGACTGGTGGAAACTAGAAAGCTGGACAATATGGAGCATGATGGTGTGTGGCAGATCGGAACCGCTTGCACAGTGTGGAGTAGACAGCAGTGGCTTCAGAGAGCCCGCTGCAGTCCTGGGCCAGCGTACGTGTCACTTGTTCCTCGGGCCCTGCGACTCTGCTCCCGGTTGTAGCCCGAGGTCATGGGAAGACGTATTCACAGATGGAGCTGAGGCAGTGTACATCTACCCCAGGAAAGGGGAGAGGAGGATGTGGGGAAAGCACTCGCTGTCTCCTGCTGAGTGACAGACCACCCTGTCTCACTGGACTAAACACCACACAGTCGCTCACTTTGCTCCTGAGTCTTCCATTTGGGCAGGTTCAGTGGGACCCGCTTGTCTCTGACCGCCTGGCATCAGCTAGGTCAGCTTCCAGGTTTGGGTGACCCCATGTCCAGGGGTCGATTTGTCCACAGGTCTGCAGTGGATGCTTGTCAGCTAGGAGCTCAGTCGGGGCTGTCAGAACAGCTTTATGAGGCCTGCGTTAGTTTCCTGTGGCTACTGTAACAAAATACCACAAATTAGGTGGCTTAAGATCATAGAAATTTACTCTCTCTCAAAAAAAAAAAAAAAAAAAGAAGGAAAGAAAGAAAAGAAATTTACTCTCTCAAAGTTCTACAGGCCAGAACTTTGAAATCAAGGTGTCAATAGGGCTGTGCTCCCTCAGAGTGCTGGAGCAGAAGCCTTTGTCTTCTGGTGGCGCCTGCAATCCTTGGCTTGTGGCCAAATCACTCAGTCTCTGCCTCTGTCATCATATGCCTTCTCACCTGTGTGTCTGTGTCTAAACTTCCCTCTTCTTGTAAGGACACTGTTCATGTTGGAGTTAGGGCCCATCCTAATCCAGTGTGACTTCATCTTAACTTGATTATATCTGCAGAGGCCCAGTTTATGAATAAGCTCATTCCCAGGTTCCAGGTGGACATGAATTCCAGGGACATTATTATAATCAGCCCAGTACAAAGCCTCTCCATGTGACTGCTGGCTTCCTAACAGTGTGGCAGCTAGGTTCCAAGAGTGAGCATCTCAAGACAAGTCTTGTTTTATTTTGTTTTGCTGAGGAAGATTTGCCCTGAGCTAACATCTATTGTCAATCTTCCTCTTTTTTCCTTTTTTAATGTGAGCCACTGCCACAGCATGGCCGCTAACAGACAAGTGTAGCACCCAGGTCCGCACCCAGGAACCGAACTCTGGCTGCTGAAGTGGAGCACACTGAACTTAACCACTAGGCCACCAGGCCTGGCTGAAGACAACAAGGCATTTTATGACTTACGTGTAGTGGAAGGTGCAAAGACCTGCCCAGGTTCAAGTGTCACACTGAAGGACAGCCACATTCCCTTGAGCAGCACACAGCAGTTAAGCGCAATTGCCTGGGGTCACACATAGCCACAGGGATGGATGTCAGACAGTGCTGAGTACAGAAGCAAAGAAGCAGAGTGAGGTGCCGAGCAGAACACCATCACGCAGGGCTGAAGATGAGCAGGCACCGGCCTGCACACTCCACCAGCACGTGCAGGAGGGTGACATCCACCACCTTGAGTGGAAGGGGCTGGAGCTGTGGACGAAGGCCATTTGACAAATTGGCAGAAGCCTGCCTCCACCCAAGACCACATTAAACTGAGTCAGGAACTGCAGAGAGGGCTTCTCTCAGCCCTTCACACAAGCAGGAGATGAGTAGAGTTGGAGGTGTAAGAGGCTAACTGTCCCCTTAGGGTTGGTGTGGCCCGGGTGATTTGCGTGAACAGTAATTGAAAGACTTCCACGTTCGGTGGTGGCTGGCAAGATGACTTGAGGAGATCCTGCTTGGCACCTTGGAAATTTATTAAAGAAACCTTAACTGAACTGGAGCCATGAAGGCCCTTAGAGGGAGGTCTCAGGCCCCATCACACATTGTGATCTGTGATTTACACCAAATTACACCAAACAGGAAGAGACAGGTGCTTGCATCTTGGAAGGTAAGTAAAACTGCTTTGCTACCGAAGGAGGATTTCTCTCCCCACCCAGCAACAGCTCAGCCAATCAGAAACGGCACAGCTCAGCCAATGAGAAGCCATTACCTCCCTGATCTGTTACTTTCCCCCAATGGACTTTTCTTTAGAACAGCTCCTCCTTCTCCCCATTTTCTGTATAAAAGCAGCTCCCCTCCTTTGTTTTCTGGATTTGCCTATGGTTTGCCATAGCACCCACATCCCGAATTACAATTCTTTCGGCTATTCCTGTGTGGCCCCGCCCCTCCAGGAGATGGCCCCGCCTTACCCCGCCCTCCCCAGATCCGGCCAATCCCCATTAGGTAACGTGGAGGGTGCGGCCCCCACTGAGGGTAGCCCCGCCCCTCCAGGAGGTGGCCCCGCCTTACCCCGCCCTCCCCAGATCTGACCAATCCCCATTAGGTAACGTGAAGGGTCCTGCCCCGACTGAGGGTAGCCCCGCCTCCCTAGGAGCTGGCCCCGCCCCCCGCTCAGCGGCGCAGGAGGACCCCAGCACGTGCTTCCCCGCGGCCTGACGTTCCCAGGGCACGGCTCGGGAGCTCACAGCTTGAGAGCTGGCGCGGCGGCTCCGAGCCTCCGTGGCTCCTCGCTGGGAGGAGCTGCTGGGACACAACCGTTTATTGAGCGCCCGCTGTGTGCGCTCAGTCCTCGCCCGACGGTTCGGCCGTGAACGACCCCCGCCCCGTGGGGACACGGCGACGCGGGAACAAGTGGCCGTCCAGGTGCGTCGCGCAGGTGCTCAACGGGGCGGGCCGCCGCGGTCCTCCCGGCCGTCGCCAGGCCCCGCCCCGCCCGCGGGAACGAGGGCAGCCACGCCCCCGGCACGCCCTGCCCAGCCCGAGTCAGCCGAGGGCGCGGTGCCCGAAGCAAGCCACGCCCCGAGCGTCAGGCCTCGGCCAATGCGCGGAGCCGGCTCCCGGCGGAAGCGCGCTGGGGCAGACGCCAGAGCGGAGCGGCGGGTGCTGGAGACCGCTGGGGACGGACAGGTAGTGCGGTCGCCCGCGGGGCCGTCAGTACGATCTGGTGGGCGAGGGGGGGTCTCTGGTCGGGAGGGGAGACTCAGAGGGCTGAGAGGAGCCTCAGGGAAGAGGGGTACTCAGCTCGCGAGGATAGGTCGCCCCCCTGGAAGGGGACCTGTGGATGCTGGGTGAGGGGTGCACAAGCTACTGGGGACAGGGTCGCCAGGCTGGAGGAGGACCTGTGGATGTCGGATAGGGGGCTCACAGTTTCCAGGGATAGGGTCGCCACGCTGGAGGGGGGATTTGTGGATACTGGGTGGAGGCTCGCAGCGGGGGGGTGGCACACAGCTGCTGGGGACAGGGTCGCCATGCTGGAGGAGAACCTCTGGATGCTGGGTAGGAGGCTCACAGTTGCCGGGGACAGGGTCGCCAGGCTGAAGGGGGATCTCTGGATGCTGGGTGGGCGCTTTGGGGGCGCAAAGCTGGCGGGAGGGGTATCTGATTCCTGATAGCCTACCCCCGCCCGCCAGGATGGGCAGCAGCTCGCTGTCCGAGGACTACCGCCTGTGCTTGGAGCGCGAGCTTCAACGTGGCCGCGCAGGCGTGTGCGGGGACCCGTCGTTGCGCGCCGTGCTCTGGCAGATCCTGGTGGAAGACTTCGACCTGCACGGGGTGCTGCAGGACGACGCGCTGGCGCTGCTCACCGACGGCCTGTGGGGCCGCGCTGACCTGGCCCCTGCCCTGCGCAGCCTGGCCCGCGCCTTCGAGCTGCTGGAGCTGGCCGCTGTGCACCTGTACCTGCTGCCCTGGAGGAAGGAGTTCACCACCATCAAGGTAGGGCGGCGGGCGTAGTGGGGCTCCCCTGCCTGGGCTGCTGGGGTCTGGCTACCGTTGGGAGGACAGCTACAGTCAAGGACTAGGGATTTCAGGTGTCCTCAGAACCTGGTGGGTTTCACAGTGCTCAGAACATGCTGAGGGGTCCTGGGAGTGTTGGGGCAGAGCTCTGGCCGAGGTCCCTCCAGCACTCCAAGAGCTGAGAACATGGGGTGGGTGGAGCCCACCTGCCCTGGGTGCCTGCCTCCCAGGGGGTAGTCGGTCCCCTAAAGCTTGTATCACTGCCCTCCCCAAAGTCCACGCAGCCACGGTGCCATAGAAATTCTAGGACAGGTGCACAGGAGAGACTTGAGAGTCCATGGTCACCCTAATCCCTCCAGGACGTGAGCTAATCCCATTTATACAGGAGGACTGTGGGTGGGTGTATCCCCTATGAAGCAGGCAGGGGCTATATGCCCTTGCACGCCTGGGGGTGGGCTGGGCTGGGCTGGAACTTAGTTCACCCCTTGGCTCGGGTATGGAGGTTGTGCCCAGGGCTGGCATGGCTCCTCTAGGTGAGCTGCCAGCCAGCAGAAGGGAGCAGGCCGCTGGTGCTCTGAGCTAATTCAGAAGAGTAGGAAGGTGATGACGTCACCAGGCACGTGGGCGAGTCCGCCTCCGCTGGTTGCCATGACAGCAGCAGCCCGTCTAGGGAGGTGAGCTCTGGAGCCCATGGCTCTGCGGGGACACCTGCTGGTCTGAGGTTCTAGGACTTTCATTCATCCCTTCACACTGGAAGGCAGGAGGTACCCGCCAGGGCCAGCCCATGGGGCGCCAAAAGCAGAATAGTCAAGCCTGCCCTCGAGGTGCTCACAGCTTCAGTGTTGGGCAGACCTGGATGGGGTCTGGTTCTGCCTCCTCCTGCCTGTGTGGCTTTGGGCAAGTTACCTAATCTCTCTGAACTATTTCCTCCTCTGTCTAATAGACACAAGAATAGTCCAGTTTGTGGTTTGCTGTGAGGGGTGAATGCAAAGCTCTCAGTGCACTGCTTGCACTCGGTGGTGCTCAATACGAGTGAGGCAGTGTCCTGAGCCGGGAACCGAAGAATGCTCACGCGCTCCCAGAGTTGGGGAGCTTTAGTTGGGAGAGACACTGGATCACTATCCTAATAATCCTTTTAGTTCCTCACATAACTTTGCAGTCTAGAAAGCACTTTGCCATCTGTCAGCTGCACATTAGAGCCTCCAAAACATACAGCTATTTCATCCATGTGGTGGAATGCTACCCGACGAGAAACAACGGATGGCAAAGCCTGTCCTGATGGGGAGAACTCACTAAGACAGTCCCTGGAAAAGCAGCGTCCAGAGGACTGCGTTCAGGAGGCTCCCTGGTCAAGGAGATAAGCACCTCTATGGTGTTAGCACAGTCGAGCACTCAGCAGGGACACGGGCACCTGACTGGAGCCGAAAAGCCCCAGGGTGGGAGGAGGTGGAGGGGCCTGGGGGGTGGGCAGAGATTTCTCACCGTAGGGACTCTACTCTCCTGATTATGAGCCTGCCTCAGCCCATGAGACAGGCTTTGGGAGTGGGCTGGTCTGGAGGGAGTTCAGCACAACCCGGAACTGCCCAGTCACTTGGCACCATGCTGCCCTCTGGGGTGAGAGTGGGGGCCCCTGAGGCTGGCCAAGGCCGGTGTACAGCCAAGGAGGGGTCGGGTCTGCGGGAGGGCAGGCTGCTGCTGACCGCGCCCCTCCCTTGCAGACCTTCTCTGGGGGCTACGTGCACGTGCTGAAGGGCGTGCTCTCAGAAGACCTCCTGATCCAGAGCTTCCGGAAGATGGGCTATGTGCGCAGGGACGACCACCGCCTCATGGTGGCCACCCCGCCCCCTGCCTCCCAGTTACTGCGCGTGGCCCTGGGCTGCTTTGCCCTCCGGCTGGAATGCGAGATCCTGGGAGAGGTGCTGGAGCGGCTGGGCACCAGCGTGCTGCCTGCTGACGAGCTGCTGAGGGCACGGCGGGCCAGCGCGGACGTGGCCTCCTGCGTGGCCTGGCTGCAGCAGCGGCTGGCCCGGGAAGAGGAGCCGCCACCCCTGCCCCCACGGGGCTCCCCAGCTATGTACCGGGCCCCGCTGGACCTGTACCGGGACCTGCAGGAGGACGAGGGCTCGGAGGAGGCCAGCCTGTATGGAGGGCCCTCACCAGGCCCAGACTCGCCCCCCTCAGAGCTGGCCTACCGGCCTCCACTCTGGGAGCAGAGTGCCAAATTGTGGGGTTCTGGGGGCAGGGCCTGGGAGCCGCCAGCAGAGGCCGAGGTACCACAGCAGGCCAGCAGCCCACCTTACGAGGCCTCGGAGGAGGAGCTGGAGCCGGAGCCCTCGGCCTTCTCCTTTCTCTCGCTGCGGCGGGAGCTGCTGAGTCGGCCTGGGGACGCAGCCGCTCCCAGAGCCCCAGGGAGCCCCGGATGGGCCAGCCCCCAGCATGTGCATGGGCCCAATCCCGAGACCCCCGGCTACCAGGCGCATAGCTGCCTGGCCTCTGGCGCCCTGCCCACGCTCTGTTGCGACACGTGTCGCCAGCTACACGCTGCCCACTGTGCTGCCCTGCCTGTCTGCCATCAGGGCCACGTGCAGCACACCCTGCTCAGCGACACCCAGCGGCGCCTGTGGCTGCAGCGTGCACAGGTGGACAGTCTGCTCTATGACAGCCCTGGGGCCCGGCCATAGGCCCTGCCAGGCCCTGGGTCAGCGCTTTCTGGAGTTACCTCGGTGCTTCTCTGGCCTCATCCCTCCTTGGGCCTGGGCCACTGGCCACCTGCCCCTCCTCCCCTCGAGGAGCCCTGGGCACAACAGAAGGGGCAGGGAGAGTCCAGGCCCCACAGAGCAGGGGGTGGGGGCTTACCTGCCATCGCCAGCTCCTGCCTCCAGCTGTCCTGTCCCTGTCCTCAGCACCCAGATTCACGCCCGGACGTGCTGGGTAGAGGGACACAGCACCCGAACCTGTCCCCATGAAGGACCCTCACCCTCCTCTCACCCCTTCCCCCACCCCACGGCAGGGGCCCAGCTATCGGCGTAGCTCCACTCCCTGCAGGCGGTGGCTCAGGACACGGTGCTTCCCTCTGCATGTCCAGGGGGACTCGCCACATGGGCGTGTCCTTGGGGGCCTGCAGGTGACAGCCCCTAAGCTGACTCAGCCCCTCTGTGGGTGTCACAAGCCACACTGAATGACTCCATGTGCCCTAGTCACAGCTGGGCAGGGAAGCTGGGGGCAAAGACAGAGACATGATCTGGTTTGAAACCAGAGCAAGGAGGTGCCTGCAAACTCTCAAGAAAGCGCAGCAGGAGGTAGACAGTGACACAGCCGGACGAGCCTGAGTCACTCCACTCCAGGTGGAGTGTAGGGGCGTCTGAGCAACCAGCACCCCGGCGGCTGTCCTGCTGTGTTGGCTGTGGAAGGCGGGGTGGGAGGTCTCCCAGGCCCCCCAAGTCCAGTGGTAAAGACGCAGCAGGCCCCCTGAGGCAGACCCCCAAGGCCAAGGAAGGAGGGCCATGCAACCCCTTGTCCCTTGGGCGGGCAAGTGTCCCAGGAGCCACCGGCTCACAGACTGGAGGGGGCAGGTCTGCCTGCCTCAGCCCTTGGGGCAGGTGCCTGTCTTCTGTGCTGGTCCCTCCACACCGGGTGCCCACCCAGCCTGTCTGTTCCAACTCCCGGCCTTCCCAGCACTGGGAGAAGCTGTCAGTCACGAATCAGAACCTCCGAGTACATTAAATCACTGAGCCGCTCAGGACAGTCAGTAGAGCTTTTATCTCTGTGCCCCATGCCAGCCATGCCCCTTCCCCGGGGCCTCAGTGTGGGAGCAGGACGGGACTCGATTGGGCTCAGAGCGTCCAGGCCCAGGGCCCAGCCCACTAGGCTGGCTCACCCCACACCAATCCTTCCTTCCCACCCCAAGGTCCTGCCAGCCCCACCTGGGGGTCACCACAGCCACTGCCTGCCCCGGGCAGCTTCTGGTGACCAAGAGGGAACACAACTGGCCATAGAGGATCTGCTGGTCCCAAACCAGTGACACCCACGGAGATGGGCCAGTGGGAGTTTCTTGCTGGGAAGTGAGCTTGGCAAGTGGTAGGACCCAGCATGGCCAGCAGGTGGCGCCACCACAGCCTGGGTGGGGCTGCCTCAAGGTGTCCTGGCCCTTGGGGTGTACCCACTCTCACCCCACGTCGACACTCGCTCTTCTGGGGCAGTGGCAGGAAGCGGGGCAGCTGGCTGGAGCAGCTGGTGGGTCCTGGCACGGACATGCTGGAAAGGAGCACGGCTGACCTGGACTGCAGGCCTTGCAGACGCCAGCCGTCAGGGCTTGCTGCGCTTGCTCTGGCCCGAGGCTGCGGCTGGGGCCCGCTTGTTGCGGTGGTGGGGGAAGGTGGGCATGAGCTCCGGCTCACAGGCTGCAGGGAGGGGGCTGCTCAGCACTGGGTTGGGGAGGGCCTCCCAGGGCACGGGAGAGCCTCAGGCTGGGAGCGCTTCGGGTCTGAACAGCACCCCCCTGCTCCCCTCCTCTGATCCCACAGACAGTCTGTGCGGCCCCAGCACCCCCACCAGCCTCAGTGCACAGCCCCTGCCTGCCCAGGGCCCACACCCTCCCCGAGGGGTGTGCATGGGAGCCCGCCACACCGCCTGCAGGGGCTTGAGCAGCTACGCAAGGCCAGACCCCAACATAACCACCTGGGACAGAAGGGGCCGCCAGCCCTGTGCCCCACAGAGCAGAGCCTGGGGGGTCTGGAGGACTCACGCAGGGGCTTCTCCTTGAAGTAGGAGCTCTCCAGGCAGTCCCCCGCCGTCGCCCTGGAAGCAGCCGTGCTGTTAGCAGGACCCTGGGCCTCACTGAGGCTCATCCCCCTCACACCATGCCCAGCCCAGCAGTGTCTGGTTCAAGTTTGCCGACAAGTGAAAGGGGGGTGGCAGGTAGGGGTCTGTGGCCCAGAAACCCTTGGGAACCGCAGAGTGGGCTCCATGACCTGGGTGGGCAGACCGCCCAGACTGGGCACCTGACCCGCCATGTGTGTCCTGGGAGGCGGCGTCCGGGTGGCTGCACGTCCTGTGTTCTGAGAAACCTTTCGAAAGGGCTCAGGCTCAAGGTGCCGCCGCCCCCACCTGCAGGCTGGTCCGCACCTTTTCCTAGGGTCGTACATGAAGAGGAGATTGAGCAGGCGCAGGCCAGCCTCTGAGAGCCACGGGAACCTGTGCTTGAGGTTGTTGTAGGGCTGCTTCCGCAGGCTGTACTGGCTCACGAGGGGCAGCTTGGAGAAGCCCTGCAGGAAGCAGGAGCTGATGCCACACGGGCCAGCCTGGCCGAGGGCGAGTGAGGGGAGAGGCCAGGCACTCACCGGCCAGATGTTCTCACTAGGTGTCCCCAGCAGCTGGACGATCAGGTCCACCTGGTGGATCTCGGAAGTGCCAGGGAGCAGGGGCTTGTGGGCCAGCAGCTCAGCCAGGATGCAGCCCACGGCCCTGCAGAGGAGCGCAGGCCGCGCCTGACTCAGCTGCTCGCTCCGCCACACACCTGTGCTGAGCACCACTGCAGTGTGACCACGGAGGGCGAGCGCTGCCCACACGTCTCCATGGGCTGGGGGCAGAACCCGGGAGGAGTCATGATGGAACAGGTGAGTGACTACTCGGGCCCCCCCTGGGCCATGTCACCTGGTCCCTGCAGGCCTCTCAGGGTGGCCACAAGGGCAGGCCTGTCGTCTGTGGACCTCGGGGCCCCTTCTCACACCTGCTCTCGGGATCCGAGGCTTGGGCCCACCCTCCTGGGGCTGAGAGGCTGACAAAGGCCCCAGCTGCACTCCTGTCCCTTCAGTTCTGATATGACCGACTCCGGCCCTTCCCCGACGCCCTAGGAGCGGCATCTGCTTCTCACCACATGTCGATGCTGGTGGTCTGCGTGGTGGTTCCCAGCAGCAGTTCAGGGGCTCGGTACCTGCAAACAGAAGCCTCTACCTCACATCGGGTAGCACCTTTCCTCTAGCCTGGGCTTCCACGGGCACAGCCTCTGTGCTAGCCCACCCACCGGCCACCAGCCTCCTTGAGACAGCCTAGACGACCGGACTGCTAGGCCCAGCTCGGACCACCCCATCCTCAGAAGCCCTGTGGCTGCTGGACAGCTCCTCTGTGGAGTGGTGTCCCGTGTATTACAAAGACACAGACTCCTGCCAGCCCGTCTCACAGATGGGGGCTGCATGACACGGGGCAGAAAGCATCTGACTTCAATATCCTACCCTTGGCCAGGACCCTGTCCTGCCTCTTAAAGGTGTAAGTGAGAAATAACAACACAAAGCTGTGTACACCGCCATCCTTCAGTCGGGCACCAGCTCCCCTTCTCGAGCTGGCTCCGACCAGGCTGGGGGCCTGGCGGCCTCAGGCCAGGGCAGCGCCCCATCCAAGGAGGCAGCTTCTGCAGTACCACCAAGTCTGCTTCTCCAGTGACAGCCCTGCTGTCTTGGGAAGCTGTCCTAGATCCAGCCTCTGAGTGTGCATAGAACCCTACAGCTTAAAGACCCACAAGATCCTTTTGCAACTTCACGGTGTCCTCCCCAGACTCCCCTCCTCCAGGCAGACGTGGTCTGAGGCACTCACCAAAGAGTGACCACCTTGGGGGTCATTGGCTTCACTGGAACGCCATAGGCCCGGGCCAGGCCAAAATCCGCTGTGACAGAGGCAGATATAGGAGGGAGGGTGTGTCACCAGGTAAGAGCTAACAAGTTGCCACCTGGGGCCACGAAGACAAAGGAGCCAGCTCCAGCTCTTAGCCTAATGAGCCTCAGTGCTTATGAGGTCTGACCTCCTCCCAGGGGGAGGGGGAGACAGGGAGAGGTGAGCAGGGGTGCATGGAGCACACGGGGGCTGCCCACCTAATCTCGGGCAGGGAAGGCCCTGTGGGGGGTGACAGCCGAGCTGAGACAGAACATCAGGCAGAGTCACCAGATGGGAGGGAGAGGAGAGACAGAGGGGCCAACTGTACAGGGCTGGGCGCTGAGGCCCAGAGCCAGGGGGCCAGGATGAGCTGGAGAAGGAGAGGCGAGGCCAGCAGGCCCGGCTGGAGCCCCAGTAGCACGCATGGAGAGATGCCCCACCCCACCAAGCCAGCGCCCTGGCCCACCTGTCTTCACACAGCCCTTGTCGGTCATGAGCAGGTTGGAGACCTTCAGGTCCCTGCGGTGGAAAGAGCATCAGTGGCTCCGGAAGCAAGCTCCCGGGTGGCCAGGTCCGCTCAGGAAGCTTTCTCACAAGCCTCCTATCGGAACTTCCTAAAAACGAGCAGGGCAGGCAGCACAGGGCCACTCGAGAGTTGGGACATTGGAGCTCCCGCTAACATTCTGAGGCAGTGGCAGAGCTGGCCTCAAGCCCAGGTCTAACTGCCAGGCCCACCCCGCTCCCCAGCCGGGCCACATGAGCTGCCCAGAGCACAGAAGCTGCTGCCTACACAGTCCTGCTCCAACCGGGAAGGCCCCCACTCCACCCCTCCAGGCTCAGCCCTTCCTGCTGTGCATCACAAGACTCCAGGAAGGCTCTCTCCACTGCAGGACTTCTCAGAGCCTTGACTACACTCATACCATTGGCCCCTCGGGGATTATCTTCTCCTAGACCCTTCCCCAAGCAGCAGTTAGAGAAGCCCACTGCACTGAGGCCATGTCTGCTCCTCTCCTGCGTTCTGGGCAACGAGGCACTGGCACTGGAAGCCAGGGATCAGTACTGGCAGTCACCTTTCCCCAGTGTCACAAATCAGCACCCACTTGGACAAATGTCCCCTGAGGCCCCATCCCATCCAGACCCCTCCCATCAGCCCAAAACCTGCCCCTTGGACCCGCCCTCCCCAGGCCCCGCCCACCTGTGGATGATGAAGTTCTGGTGCAGGTACTGGAGGCCCCTGAGCACCTGAAGCACAATGCACTTGACCTACGCAGAGGGCCAGGACTGCCAGTCAGGACCAGCCGTGTTTGGCACAGATGTGCCCGACAAGGACCCATGCCGGCCCCCCTCCCAGCACCCCTAGCCTTGCACCTGGGCCTCAGAGAAGGGTGTTGGCATGTTTTCCAGAAGGCTGGCCAAGTCTTGCTCACAGTAACCCATCACCAGGAAGATGCTGCAAGAAAAAAGGGGAAGACACACACCACCTCCCACCTCCTCCCGGGTGGGCCAAGGGACCTGCCCAGGGCTGCGGGAAGGGCAACTGTGGTCTCGGGGGAACACAAGGAGGGGGCTGGGCAGGGTGGGCTCAGCAGGGCCTAATGCGGAGAGGCAGCAGACTGCTCACCTCTCCAGGTGGTTCCCCACAACCACCTCCTTCAGCTCCACGATATTTGGATGGCGAAGGCGAAGGAGCAGTGTAATCTCTCGAAGGCTGCTGATGGGGACCCCTGCAACCAGACACAGCCTTAGCAAGCCCCACCCCTACAGAGGGGGACCCCTGAAACCAGAGATTCAGCAGGCCCCACCCCTGCAGACAGGGACCCCTGCAACCGGACGTAGCCTCAGCGGGCCCCACTCCTGCAGACGGGGACGCCTGCAACCAGACACAGTCTCAGCGGGCCCCACCCCTACAGACGGGCACCCGTGCAGCTAGCCACCTCAGTGAGCCCCACCCTGGTCCATGTCAGTCCTCAGTGACCCAGACCCCTAAGTCTTTCACGGCTCTGCCCATCACCTCAGGGAGAATCAAGGCCATCCCAACCCCCCTTCCTTCATCAAAAGCAAGGCACCAGCTCTCTGCACTGACCACTGTGTATGGCAGGGGTCTCCACAGTGAGCAAAGCAGAGCCCTGCCCACAGGCAGCCAGGGAAGGGGTGGGGGGTGGTGAGCAGGGGTGCATGGAGCACATGGGGGCTGCTCGCCCAGTCTCGGGCGGGGAAGGCCCTGTGGAAGGGTGACAGCCGAGCTGAGACAGAACATCAGGCAGTCACCAGATGGGAGGGAGAGGAGAGACAGAGGGGTCAACTGCACAGGGCCGGGCGCTGAGGCCCAGAGCGGGGGGCGGGATGAGCTGGAGAAGGAAGGGCAAGGCCAGCAGGCCCGGCTGGAGCCCCCGAGACCAGCCCCCTTTAACGATCAGGCCAATGCTCTTGGGAGGCAGGCTCGCCCTCAGTCCCAGTAAGACCCTCTACCGTTCCCCTCCAGTACCCGCTTCCCACTCACCATCCTTCTCCTTGTCCATCCGCACCTTTTTCAGGGCGACAATCTCATCCGTCTGGGTATCCCGGGCCCGATCTGGAAATTCATCCATGATGGACTCTGATCTGATGCCCCCTGACATCCTCATGCCATATGGGGCCTCCTCCTGAACTCTGGGGGGTTCCTTCTCTCTTCCTCGATACTGGATGCCCAGTGACACTCAGTCCTCACTCTGTGCAAGCAACACCCCCAGCCCCACTCGCCGTGCCCCCTGGGGGTCCTCCTGTCTGAGCTGGGGACAGGGGCCTGGGTATAACACGGTCCCTCTAAGTCTTCCTTCTTATAGTCAGCACACAGATCACTGCTTTGTGTTCTGTTGTTACCATGTTCTAACAGCAAATAATGTACTTTATCTAGAAAAAAGAACACTTATTTTGGGGAGCAAAGATGGCTCCCCAAATTAGCACAAAAAGATGTGCTAACTTGCGCAGCTTCCAAACCCTGAGCAGTACGATCCACACCAGCACCTCAGCGGCTACGAGCTGAGCTCTGGCCGCTTCTGGAAGTGCTACGTTTTATTGCTGTAACAGGTCCACTCACGGTTATGCATAAGCAAGCTGAGACGGACATTTATTCGGACACGGTGTGAAATTTATGGCAGTCATACCAGGGATCAGAGTTCACTTGTACAAGTTGTTGCTGGCTGTGGAGCAAGGGCTGTCAACCTCCTTCTAGCCCGAACACAGCTCCTGCTTGGATAGTCCCCTGGAGCCCAGGCCTCCCATCTCAGCCACTCACACACAATGCCGTAGGTGCCTTCCCCGATGCGGTTCAGCTTCTCAAACTCCTTCACGCTCCGGCACCGTCCCAGCTGAAAGAGACGGAGGCTGGCAGTGTGGGGACTTTCAATAAGGAAAGGAGAACAATGACACTAGGCCAGAGGCTTTGAATCGAATATCAAAGACAGCTCACCCACTCTCGTCTAATCCCACATCCAGACATACTCTGTCCAAGCACAGTAACCACCAGCCACATATGGCTACCACTAATTAAAATAAAAGTTCATTTCCTCAGCTTGGACAAGCCACGTGTGAAGTGCTCAACGGCCCCCTGTGGCTCATGGTGACTGTACTCGATGACTCATCATCAGAGAAAGCCTGCTGGGCAGCACTCACTAAATCATGCTCTGGAGATGGAAAAAGCTTGAAGACTTTCACAAACTATCTACCAAACACAGCAGAAACATTTCTGTGGCATGGGAACTGCCCCCAACATCCACACAGGACTTCTTCCTTTGAGTTACGAAACACTGCACCGTAGCACGTGGCCATCCAGCTGGGGGTCATATTTCCCAGCCTCCCTTGCAGCTAGGTATGAGCATGTAACTGAATTCTGGCCAATAGGACATGAGCAAAAAGGACAACTGTGACTTCCTGATCAAGGGAAGCTGACTGCCGCTCACTCCTTTTTACCCTTTGAGGCAGGCTGGGATTCAGAAAAGGTACAGGTGGAGCAACAAGACAGTCTGAGTGCCTGCACCTTCTGGAATGTTAGGGGAGAGAGAAATAGTCTTGTACTTCAACCACTGTATTTTGGGGTTTCTCTGTCTGTACCCTAATACACCTTCACAAGGTGGTGCGTTCGAAGGTGGACTGAAGGAGCACTTCCCCCTGGGCCTCAGCAGCACATGCAGCGAGGTTCGATTCTAACAGCTCCTCTCCGGCCTTGCTGCCTCTATTCTCTTAGCCACCCTGCCCTCCATTGCATTCCTTCCTAATACCTGGGGATCCGAGTCAGAACCTTCTGGTCTGGATTGAAGCCCTTCTGTGATCTCGCCTCAACCTCCCTTTCCCACCGAATTCCCTCTCTCACAGTCTCTGTCTCCAGGCTCAACTCCTGTGCTTCCTATTCACACTCTGTATTCCCCTTCTCCGGGACTTCGCTCCTACTGCTCCTTAAGTCTGGCATGCCACGCCTCCTCCCCTCTGCGCGTCCAAATCCTAGCGACACTTCCTGGCCCAGCAGAAAACAATTTTTCTTATGACATCCTCTGATACTCTCATGTCTTGAAGCACCTACTACCGTGCTCTCTGCACTGTGCTGATCTGGTCCTCTTCACGCTCCTGTGAGAGCACCCCTGCGCGTCAGAGCAATGCACCGCGGCCAGTGGGTGGCTCCACAGTGGCCCCGGCGCTCGCTCAGCCAGCCGGTCAGTGGTCCTCACCGGACACGTGACTGGGCCTCGCGCACCAGCAGCAGTTAACACCGCCAGGATCAGACCCGCCCAGCACGGGCCGCCAACGGTGCCCGGAAAGGGTCACTAGCGGACTGGGTGACAGTAACACGCAGAGCTCCGCACAGACCGAGGCACAGAGGCCGCCGGGTCCCGGGTGGGCCCGGCCCATCACAGCCCGGGAGACCACGCCTCCCACTCCTCCCACGGGCAAACGCTCCGGCCTGCGCGCAACGCTCAGAAACCCCGCGTCGGGCCCGGAGCCTGCCCTTCCGGAGGAGGCCAGCAGCACAGAACCTGCCCGTCCCTTTCGCCCGGGAGCTACCCGCCCCGGGTTCCGCCCTCCTCGCCTGGAGCGGGGCGGGGCTACCGCCGCCGCCGGGTTCTGGGCCTGCCGCGGGGGATTCTGGGACTGTCGTTTCCCCCAGTGCCGGCAAGCTCGGCGCTTTAGCGCGACACTGAGGGCCCCCGCGCGTTTCGGCCCCGCCCCCCGCCGGCGAGGGCAGCGCTTCCCCGAGCACCCCCCGTCGCACCCTGTGTTCTGGAGGCACCGTGAAGAAGCCTTCCTTACGGATACATTTCAGACGGATCTGCTCCGACTCCGGCTCCGGATCCCCCATGCCGAGCCCAACCCACCGCTTCCCTTGCGCGCAGGCGCAGACGGGGTTCCTCGGCGCAGGCGCGTGGTCTACTTCCGGGGCGTCCGCTCCTTAGCAACGGTTACCCTGGGAACTTCTTGAGGACCCCGAGCGCCTGCGTTTCTGCTCTCCGTCGGCTCAGACCCCCGACGTTCGGGCCCCATTTCAGTTTTCAGCGCGGGCACCTGCTCCGGCTGGGGCGCTGGGTCACCGCCGCCGGAGGAGGAGGCCGAAGTCTGAGGGGCTGGGGCCCCGGGGGCTGCTGGGCGCTCCAGCCCCGCGGCGGGGCCGTGGCGGCAGCTCTCCCTGCAGCACCGAGGCCGCCCTGGAGCCGTGGGGACGGAGAGCCGCGAGGAAGCGCCGGGCGGTGGGGCACAGGGTCCCCGCCACGTGCTGGCCCTGCAGGCTCTGCCCTGCGGACCTTCCGTCCTGGCTGCAGGCGGGCCACCGCGGGAAGGAAGACGGATGCGGGAGAGTGAGGCGGGGCAGCGAAGGGGACGTGTCGGAAGACGGAGCCAGGGCCGGCTTCCCGCGAAGGGGACTGTAATGTAAATGCTACGGTAACGTCAGTATAAGTTAAGGACGTTTGATAATTATGAAATTAATCATAATGAGTCGAGTCATTTAATTTAAACTAATTGTCATATTCAGTTCTTTCTAGTCCTTTTTAAATTCATTCATAAGCTGAACTTCTAGTTAATAATGAGATTAGAATTAGTGCCGTGGTAAGTATAATTTTTAGATTGTTTGAGATATTCAGGGCAAGGGTAGGAGAAGAGCAATTTCTAGGCCAAATAATAGAAATGTAATGGCCACTACAAATTTTATGGAAAAGGGTAGGCGTGCTGACCCTATGGGGTCAAATTCACATTTGTATGGGTTTGATTTTTCCGTATAAATACTTAGTTGTGGCAGTCAGAATGCATTAATAAATGTATTGAATAAATACTAGTGATGCTATTAATGTGTTAGTAAACAACGTCAATATGAAATGTACTGTTCTTTCTGAAGTTATACCAAAACTAATTGATTGGAAATCAGCTGCACTATTTAATACTAAAAGAAAGGATCCTCATCAATAGATAGAAACATGGAGACCATGTGTAAAGCCTGCTGTGCATTCTAGAACTAAGGAGCTAACACATACTGTCACCAGCCTAGACGTATGAGACCAGACAGGGCAGGGCATCCTCTCCAGCCACCCCAGAAGAGAGTGGAGCCTGACCTGAGGGCTGCTGGTGAGGGTGAAACAGCCAGGGTGGGGGTCCCCTGAATGTCCCCTCACCAGTGGAAGCCCTCATCCACAGCCAGAAAAACAGGAAGGTGTCAGTTCAGCTCTCCTTCCAGGGCAGCTCTGACAAGGCCACTTCCACAGTTCAAGGTGCCATGGCTGCCCCCACTCCACATTCTTCTTCTGGATCCTTTAATACCCTGGATCAGGTTACAGTCACACGAGGAGCCCTTGGGCCCTCCAAGGCAACTACACTCTTGCCTGTTCTGGGATGTGACACCGTAAAGTTTAGTCCTCAGAGTCCAACCTTTTTTCCAAGTGTGGGGGACACTGCATTCACTGTAACCACCAAGTACTTACACCACGCTCCCTCAGAAGCGGAAGGGAAGGATTCTAACTGCCACGAGAGTCCGAGCAAGAGATGCCACCTGCCATCTGTTGATCACTGTGCACAACCAGCCAGGTCCAACAGGTGTATACGGATTTATCCATTTATTACCACAAAGTCCACTCTGAGCCAGAGTCACTCTTGCCCTCTGCCAAACTGCCAGCTGCTCTGGGGAGGTGTGACCAAAGTGGTCACTGAGGGGAACCTCGTATACTGAAGGGGCACCTGCAGCTTCCCACAGGGCAGGGTGACCCTTCTGCCATCATCGCTGAGACTCAGCATAGTGACTCACGACAGCGATTTGGGGCGCCTGTTTCTTCTTTGATCTGTGGACCGTAGGCATCTACTGTACTGGGGTTCCTGTGTCGGTGGTAGGGGCCCCAGTCTGCCCGCTCCTGGATAGTTGTCTGCTCTTCACTTCTGATGGAACTGTAGCTGATGAGAGTCTCTTTTGAGGCTCTGGTGATGACAATCTGTGGAACGGCAACCTGCTTCCTGCTCGACTTCACATCAGGTGTCTCTAGAAGGAAGAAAACATCCAAGTATTTAATAAGTCTGTGGAAAAGTTCTTCCATAAAGCAGACAATTTCTGTGTGAGGGCCGGAGCAAAGGAATTAGATTCATGGTTCAGGAAAAGAAACAGGTGAGGTTGAAGGCAGCCACAACCGTGTGTGAGCATGAGCATTCCAGAGCTTAAACAAGCTGACCACTCAGCTACGAGAGTGGAGGCCCTAGAGGTCCTCTTTCAAGGAAGAAAACAGAAGAGACACTTCCACCATCCACCAGGGAGAGACTGAGCTGCCAGCTCAGGTGACAGATGTTGGAAGGAGAGAGGAATGCAGGAGACAGAAGGCAAAATGGCAGGGCCTGCCCCAGAGGCGAAGGTTCCCACGTAGTTTCCAAAGGATCCTAACCTGGTAAAAGCTCTCTGTACAGAACTTTATCCATTGGAATCCTGTAGAAAATGACATTTCTGAGGTTGGCCACAACATTTTCTTAAACTCGTTAAGGTTACAAAGAATGCACAGGACTTGTGAAACGCTGAGTTTGTCAAACATTACACAACACAAAGGCAGAAGCTCCTCCGCGGCCTCATCTCCCAGCCTGCTGCCCAGGCTGACAAGCTTGAAGCACACCCTCTCAGCCTCTGGTTAAAGCACTACAAAGAGAGGGCGCGCTCTCTGCACATGTGTACGTAAACAGAGTTGGAATACTCCTGTCATCACATACTTGTTAGAAAAACACGATTACGCTGGTCCTATTGCAGCATGCTTTGTTCCCCACTTCATATCTCATGAACCTGGCCACATGGGGGGACGAATAGTAGTTGCCTGTTCTGTGCCAGATGTTGTTCTGAGCTAGAATAGTGACAGTAACAACCCACAACAGCTTCTGAAGTCTGTCCTCTTACGACCTGCGTTTGACCTGCGTTTTACAGACAAAAGAACTGAGGCACAGAGAGGTTAAGTCACCTGCCGAAGGCTGGGGGCAGAGGGAGATGCTGGGGTCCAGAGCCCCCCTCAACCTTCAGTGCTGCATCCACAGCCTCAATTGCCAAATGACCTATGGCCAGCACTGGGCACTGAGAGTATTCTTTTTTTGTCATTAAGCCAAAAACTGCTTTTTATCATATTATGCATTTAATATAAATTGGGGCGTTCGGTTTTTTCACATTGATTTATACAAGCTTTTTATATATTAAGACTACTTAAAATGTTATGAATATTAATTAAAAAATAATACATGATTAAAAATTGCATACGGAGTGATTTTCTTCTTCCAGACATGTCACGTGTGCACGCACACACCATCGGATGCACTTGGCTTCACTCTGTGGAAGGCTGTCTTGCAGCTGACCACGTGGCTTCGCTGAGCCTCACGTCTGCACACAGGTGCCGCCCCTCCTCTTCCATGGCAGCCTGTGTGCCACTGTCTGGGGGCCCACTGATTACGTACCCACCTCCCTTTGAGGAACATAATTTAGGTTATTTCCAGTTTTTATCTCCTTCAAACAATGCTGCAATGAACATTCTTGCATTTATGTATTTACACACTTTTGAGGGTTTACCTATTGGGTAAGTTACTAGAAGGAAAATTTTGGTAAATATTGTCAAATTATTTTCCATAAAGATATCAACTTATATTTCCACTAAGAGCCTATAAGCATGTTTCTCCACACCCTCCCCTGGTTCTTGTCAATTTTCTGAATCTTTTCCCATGCCATAGTGAACATGGGAGAGCTGACCCCGCCCCCGCACGGGTCACCGTCGACTCCTCTGAAGCTTTGCCCTCAGCACGGGCAGGGTGAGCACCTTGTCCCTCATTCATGGGCCAGCGATATTTATTGCTGTGGATGCATGTCACACTCTTTCCTCATTTTCTACTTTCACCTTTGTATGTGTGTGAGAGCGCTTTTTGTATATTTAGGAGATTCACACTTAGTGATTTGTGTTGCAAATAGTCCCCTGGCTTTTTAGCTTCCCTTTGTTGCTTTTTGCAGCAGTCAGATTCATCAGTCCTTTCCTCATGGCTTTTTTAAAAAAATTTTATTTATTTCTTTTTGAGGAAGATTAGCCCTGAGCTAACATCTGCTGCCAATCCTCCTCTTTTTGCTGAGGAAGACTGGCCCTGAGCTAACATCCATGCCCATCTTCCTCTGCTTTATACGTGGGATGCCTGCCACAGCATGGTGCCAAGTGGTGCCATGTCCACACCCGGGATCTGAACAGGCAAACCCTGGGCCACCGAGAATCGGAACGTGCAAACTTAACCGCTGCGCCACCAGGCCAGCCCCCCTCATGGCTTTCAGAGTTTCTCAGACTAAAAAAAGGCATTCCCTACCCCAGACTTATAAAAACATTTATTCATTCTCATTCACATTTTCTGTTTAGCCTTTTGACTCGTAGAATTTTTTGAGAAGTGACTGAGGTAAAAATAATGAAGCCCTGTGTTTTCTCGATCGTCTAGTGCATTGTCCCAGGCCAGTGAGCGCTCTCTCCATCTCTCCCCGTCTTTGACACCACAGCTTTACATGAATCCCACGTGAACAGGAGGCACTCTGGATGACACGCCTCACGTCAGAGAACTCAATCCCTCCCACACCTCTGCTCTTGCAGGTGCTTCCTGCAATTCTTACATTTTTATTCTCCTGGGTGAACTTTAGAATAATTTGGTCCTGTTCCCAAAAAGACCTGCGGTGTTTTAATAGGGGTCACGGTTATTTTAAAGATAAAGGGACGATGAACATCTTTACATTATTGAGGCTTTCTAGTCCAAAACAGGACTTCTTTTATCTTCCTCAGAGTTTTAAAGCTTCTTCGTTTAGAAACATGAATCTTTGTAGGGTTCTTGGTACGCCCTACTTTTACTGGTGTTCAATTACTGCCTAACAAATTGCCACACGTTTAGCGGCTAACTTAAAACAGCGCATAACATTTATCATCTCAGCTCCCACAGGTCCTGAGTCCTGGCCAGAACCCAGCTGTCCGCGGGGCTGCAGCCCCATCTGGACCTGGGGGCTTCCAAACTCTCCAGTTATAGGGAGAATTCAGTTCTTCGTGGGTCAAGGCCGGGAGCCCCCCTTTTCTTGCTGGCTGTCACGGGGGGTCTCTTGCGGCTCCTCTCACAACATGGTACTTTACTTTTTAAAAAATTTTTGAGATATAAGTGACATGGTAGCTTACTTCTTCATAGCCACCCCTCTGACACTTCTACCTTTTTTAAAAGGATTCTTTGATTAGGTCAGGTTCAGCCAGGATAATCCCCATTTTGATTAAGTCAAAACCAGAGGATGAATGGCCTGATAACAGAAACGACGTCCATCTGGCTCACGGCTCCGCCCGCCCTCACGGGGAGGGGATTGCACAGGGCCTGCTCTCTGGGACAGATGGGGCCTCAGATCCTGCCTCCCACATTACCCGACCGCCTTCAAGAAGGAGTCTGACCTCCACTAACGACGTGTCAGAGCGTGATCTATCTCTCATTGGCCTCTCATGTGTGTTGCAAATATATTTTGAGCTTATCATTTGTTTTACATTTGTTTATAGAGGACTTGGAGAAATATTTTACATTTTAGTGTCATCAAATCCTTCACTATTTCTTTGTAATGTCTTTGCTTTGAGGCTTAGAAAGATGTTCCTCATTGAAGAATCAGATTAAAATTTACATCTTATTTTCTGTAGTCGATTTTTGCATTCAGACTTATCCATCTGGAATTTATCTGAGCACACAGGAGGTTACAGTCCAACTTATGTTTTTCATTAAAATGTTAAGTAATTTTCCTAGCATGATTTATTGTATAATCCTTCCTTTTCCACTTACTTTTGGTGCCAATTTTATCATGCACTAAAATAAATATATACACAGACACACACATACATACATAGTAGGGACTTATTCTGTCCATATTTCCTATTTCACTGATCAGCTACTCTTTTACTGGAACTACATTATTTTAATTATAATTTTTTATATAGTTTTCAACTTTTTATTTTGAAATTATAAATTCTCAGGAATTTGCAAAAGTAGTACAGGGTGGTCCCATGTACCCTTCACCCAGTTCCCCCAGTGGTAACATCTCACATAACTACAGTAAAATAGCAAAACCACGACACTGGCTTTGGTACAGTGTGTTTTCTGTGCCATTTTATCACATGTAACCACCACCAAGATCAAGCTCCAGAACTGTTCCATGCCCACAAGGCCTCTGTGCTGCCCCTGGCTAGTCAGCCCCTTCCCCACAGCCACGCTCCGCCACCCTAAGCTCTGGCAGCCACTAGTCTCTTCTCCATCTCTCTAATTTTGTCATTTTGAGAACATCATGTAAATGGAATCACACAATATGTGGCCTTTTGAAATTGGCTCTTTTCCCTCAGCATATTTTTTAATAGCTGTTAAATGTTCCTTAAGTTTTTCTTCTTTTTCAAACATTTCTTGCAATTATGCATACTCTACCTTCAAAAAAAAACTTACAGAAATATTTCACACATATGAAAATAGAATAATGAGTACCCACAGGTGCATCACCTAATTTCTATTTTGTCACCTTGTTTTATCTTTTTTTACTGAGGTTTTTTTTTCCTGGGTATTTTCCAGCAAATCCCAGATATATAATTTTACCCATCAATAATGCAGTATATCTCTATCAGTAAGGATTTTTTTTGGCATAACCACAATAGCACTGTCACTTGGATGAAAATTATCATTGATTCTTTATTACCATCTCATACCCAGTTTGATCATCTCCAGAACGACTTAGCCCAGGTCCAACACTGCATTTGGTTCACGGGTCTCAAGTCTCCTATGACAGTCCTCTCTGCGATGGACTGTTTGTGTCCCCTCAAATTCACCTGTTGAGGGCCTAGTCCCCAGTGTGATGGTATTTGGAGGTGGGGCTTTTGAGAAGTAGGTTTAGATGGGGTCATGAAGGGGGAGACCTCACGATGGGATTCTTGTGCTCTTGTAAGAGGAGGAGACCAGAGCTCTCGTTCTCTGGCCATGTGGGGACACAGCAACGAGACGCCTATCTGCAGGCCAGGAAGGGGTCCTTACAGGAACCAGGTCAGCGGCACTCAGATCATGGGACTCCCAGCCTCCAGAATCATGAGAAACGTCTGTTGTTTAAGCCTCCCAATCTGCGGTATTTTGTTATAGCCGTCCAAACAGACTGAGGCGCCCTTCTTTTTTTCATGTCATTTATTTGTAGAAAAATCGGGGTCATTTTTTCAGTAGAATTTCCAGCATTTTGGAATTGGCTGATTGCAAGTTTGTGGTGTGTTAATCTCTATAATGTGTGTATGTTTGTGGATTTTGTAGTGCAAAATTTTAAGCATATCCAGAAGCAGTGAGAATAGTACACTATACCCCAACACACAGCTGCCACAGTTCTAAACTCGCAAACTTCGCCCTGCCCCAGCACCCCTGGTCACTCCTACCAGGTAGCAGCTCACTCCAAACCTCAGCAGCTGAAAGCGACCACTGCATCTCCTCACGGTTTCACAGGTCAGGAATTCAGCACAGGTTCTATGGGCAGCTCCCATCTGTGGACCCCAGGTGGCTGCCGTCATCTGAAGGCTCAACGGGGCTGGACATGCACGACGGCCACTCATAGGGCTGGGGAGTGATGCTGGCTGCTACACGCTGGGTGCTGGCTCAGCCGGGAAGACTCAAAGGTAGGGGCTGGAGTCACCCAAAGGCTTGTTCACTCACAAGTCTGGCCAGGGCAGGAAGGGCCCAGAGACCAGGACTGCTGACTGCAGCGCCCCACAGCATGGTGGCCTAGGGGTCCAAGCACCAGCCAGCATTCCAGTGAGCAAGGCAAGACTGCAGCACCTTTCATGGCCCAGCCTCAGAAGTCACTCCTGCCACATTCTATTGCTTACAAGAGAATGTCAAGCTTGCAGAGATTTAAGGAGAGGGAACACCCCCCCCCAAGTGGGAGGAGCATCAAGGTCACACCATAGAACACGTGGGAGAGAGGAGTTGTGGCCATCTTTGGAAAACACCGTCATCCACGTGTACACTCCTTCACTTTGCATCAAATCCCAGACACGGTCTCCATTCACCACATCCATTTGTACTTAAATATTTTGGGTGCAGCTCAAAGAGACAAGGACTCGTGTATATTCCATGTTTTTAGAGGCATAATTCACACAAGGTAAAATACACAGTTTTTAAGAGTTCAGCTAGATGAGTTTCCACAACTGTACATATCTATGTAATCACCCAAACAAGATGCAGAACTCTCCATCACCCTACAAGGTCCCCACAGGCCCCTTTCCAGTCGGCGAGCCTCCCCTACCCCAGCAATCACTTTCTGATTTCTATCCCACAAGAGTAAAACCAACTTTTAATAATTTTATAATACACAGTATTTTTGGCTTGTTTGGAACTCTCCACTTCTCCAAGGCTTTTATGGTATTAGGTTAATTTAAAGAAACTTTGACTTCCAAAAGTTCTAACTTTTCCAAATCTAATAGGGAAATTCCTCAGCTTTAAAACATGACTGAGAGAGAAGATGCGCTTCCCTGGTTGAGATGTTCTTCCGGGCAGGCCACATGTGCGTCTGCTCTTCTGAGCCCTGCATGCTGCTCTCTGGAAGGCCACCCGGCCCAGCTGCTCGCCTCCGCCACCGAGTCGCCCCTGCTTTACCCATCTCCCTGCAGCACTCAACACTGAGGACCAGTGCTCTTCCTTTCTTTTTTAGCAGCTTTATTGCTGTTACATACCATAAAATTCGCCTGTTTAAAGCATACAATTCAATGACTTTTGGTAAACTTTCAGAGTTGGACAACCATGGATCCACTTTTAAGAACATTTCCATCACCCTCAAAAGACCCCTTTGCCCATTTGCTGCCAATCCCCACTCCTAGCCTTAGGCTTCCCTCTCTATGAACCTGCCTTTTCTGGACACTTCATACAAACGGGATAATAATACATGTGGTCTCACATCTGGCTTCTTTCCCTCTATCGTGCTTTGGAGAATCCTTCAGTGTGCAGCAGGTGTCACTGGCTTGTTCCTTGTTATTGCTGAGATGTCTCATTACACAGAGAAACCACACTCTTCACTTCCTTTCTGGACACTCCATCCTCACTCTTGTTCTCTGGCCTGTCCCCTCCATATGCATCTTCTCTCGCCCCCTGAAATGAGGGTGTAACAGGCAGTTCCCTGCCCAGCCTTCCCTTGGTGGCAGAGGCCCAGCCCTGGAAGTTGCACGGTTGAGCTCATCCTGGAGAGGCTGGGCAGGTGAGGCCCACCGGGGGAAGGTTCTCTTTGCTGACATGAAGCACAGACTAGGCGCAGTTCTGTCTGGAGTGACCTAGAGCCGTCCAGCTCTCTGGGGACCGTGGATACTGCGAGTGGCAAAGTGCAGACACACAGTCCTTGATGTCGCTGCCGTGCTGCTGAGCAAACCACCGAGCGCCCTGCCTCTGACCCTTCTTTCCTTTGGCAGACAGTGAACATGTGGCAGTACAGCCGCGTCTGGGTGGCTTTTTGTGACTGGCCAAGCCTCCTGACAGACTGGTAGTATTCTCCAAACCTCCTCCCTGGGACTCCGGCCCTTCTTATGGTCTTCCACCCTCAAGTGAGGGTTCCTACATCAGGATTTGAAGTTCAGGCCTTGCCCCAAAGCCCAACACCCTCATTTCAAACTGCTTCCTGCCCTTGATGACCCCACAGGTGCCTCAGTCTGAACCTGGCAGGCCCAGCTCCTCTCTCCCTGCGGGCCAGCATTCCTCCTGTCCTCCTTCCTTGTGTGACCCACCAACCATTCATTCTCATGGTCCCTAAAGCCCACCTTCTTGGCTCCTCCCACTTCCCCCCACACCTCATAGACAGCAGGTTCTGCTGGTCTACCTCCTGGATCCTTTTGGAATTCCTATTTCCACTGCCTCATTAGTTCCCACTCAGTGACTGCAATGGGCCTCTGACAAGTCTCCTCACTGCCCAGATGGCATCTATTCTGGTGACAGAGAGACTTTTCCGAGGCACAAACCCCATCACACCTCATTTTAATTATTTAACAGTTCCATTTCCACAACCCACATGACAAAACTAATAAAAGACTTCATACTCTGGCTGCTTCTGTGGCCTCATCCCCTCCACCCACACGCGAAGGTCTGGCCTCACTGGGTGGTTATGAAGTGAATAAATGTGCCAAACTGTTTCACCCTCCTCCCACGAACGTTCTATTCCTGCCTCCACCCCTGCACCCAGGCAGAGAGCTCCCACAGCCCTTCTTACACATGACGACACTCCAGACAGGAGCAGACTCCCAAGGTTCCATTCCAGTCTGTGGAATGTTGAAGGAACCACAGTGGTGCCAAGAAACACCCAGTGCTCTGGGGTAACGTGGGTATGCCTTGTGTCCGGACACTGCCAAGCCCCTCTGGACCATCTGTTATCCATCTATTCCTTGGGAACTGACCTAAACCTTTACTGAACGTGTATTTCCCACCTAGAATCCTGGATACTCACCTGCTACATAAAGGTCCTAAAACCCGGTCCCTCGTAGGGCACGCCCCTGCTATTAGTGTCCCATCACTCAGGCTCCTGTTTCCCCCTTTCCCAAACTCCTGGAAGGTCCACTTCTCGGTTTCGCTCCTTCTGGGCGTGTCCTACCTTCGACTCCAGATGCAGAAGGCCGCTGCTGCTTGGCCGCCTCTTCCTCCTGATGGAAGCTCTCCACAGGCTGAGTGTCTGGAGGCTTCGCAGGCTCTCGGGAAGGCCTGTCCGTAGACCTGCCCCTAGCCTTTGGGACTGAATAGGTGCACCCCTTCTTTTGTTCCTCACCTGCAACGTAGGATAACTAATCAGACCCGTAATTTACCGAATTTAGGGCAATGGATCCCACCATCCTTCGGTCGCCTGCTTTGGTCCAGACTGAGATAAGACAGCCTGCAAGACTTGGGTCGCTCCGTCTCCCTAAACACGGCTATTTCCGTGGAGGAAGATTCGAGAGGCACGGTCATCAGGAAGGACCCAGGCGCAGGGGGGGATGGCGGGGTGGGGCGCCCAAGAGACAGGCCCCTCGGGGCGGACCCGCTGGCCCTTGGACGCACTCCCAGCCCCGCGCCCGCCGCGGCCACCGGGCCTCGCCCCGGGCGGGGCCGCGCCAGGGAGACGGGGGGCGGCGGCCCTTTACCTTTCCCGGGTTTACGTTTGCTTTTGGAAAGGCCCATAGGCGAGCCACCCCGCCCTGCGGGCGCGGCCGATTGACTCACAGACGGCCGCTGACGCGCGGGTCTCCACGGCAACGCCTCGCCCGCGGGACAGCTGTCCTCTCGCGAGAGGGCAGGAGCCGGAAGTGAGGGGCGACCCCGGAAGTTCCCGCCCCGCAGAGCTGGTCGGGGCGATCGACGCCGCGGGGAGATCGCGTTCCTCCGTTTCTCCGTGGGCCGCCGCTGCCGGACTGGCCATGGACGGTGAGAGCAGCTGCCCTCCGGGGCCACGCGGGGCGAGGCCGCTTCTCCCGCGGGCGGGGCTCCAGGCCCGACCCCGGACGCCGATCCCCGACCCCAGACCTGGACTCCGGTCCCCAGACCCTGACCTCCTTCCCCAACCCCCACCCCCAACTCCGGTACTCGCAAGGGACATTGGCCTTTGAGGCCCTGAGATGTCAGGTCAGAGGGCACCGGAAAAGGAGACAGTTGGCACCACTGTCCCCGGAACACCACTAAGAGCAGTGGGAAGAGCTCAGGCAGAAAGCACTCACTACGTGCCAGGCACGGTTTGAGATGGAGCTTTATGCCCCCTGCTGCAGATGGGGTCACAGAGGGGCAGAGGAAGCCTGTGCAGGACACGCCCCGGGCGGTCTGGCTCCTGGTCCTGGCTCCCGCTGCCTGCAGCACCTCCTCGGGGCCCACTCTGCCGGCTCTGTGCTCAGGGATGCCAAAGAACAGGAAGAATCAGTGATAGAGTGAAGCCACGTACGCTTGCTAGGCTGTTAAGGGCTGGTGTGATGGAGACGTGGTGAAAATCACTGAGTCGTGGAAAGCTGCACAGCCATGTCATTGTCATGAGGGGAATTCTATACAAACCACCTCAGAGAGGTGAGCAGCATCGCTTCCTCCGTCACCCCCACACAAATGTTGGTTTTTGCTCCACAATCCACTCAGCTTTCAAGGGCATTTCTTCTGCCCATGTCACTTTTCTCCAGGGTTAGTTTTGCCTTGGCAAACCCTGCTCTTCAGATCCTGTTCCTACCACTCACATCTAGATGAGAAAGCAGTGAGGGGGGTGGGGGGTAGAGGGCGACTCAGGTCACACACTGAGTGCAAGGGCCCGGCCACACCCAGGCCAGCCTTGTTTTCCCTGCAGTCGGCACCCTGCCTGCCACCTGTGTCAGGTTAGCTCTGTTTTCCGGAGTCATGGCTGGCAACTTCGCCTTCACGGTGCCTGCAGTGGTCGATGGTGGAGGCGCGGAGCTTATCTGAAGAGTGGGCTGGGCTCTGAGCCCGGAGCCTTGATTTGCGTTTGTCAACACCCAGCACCCCATTCTGGTTACAGGATTTGTTTCTCATTCTGGGCTAGGGTGGTAAACCCTGTCAGGAATCATTCTCCAAATTTAGAAATCGAATGAATTGAGATAGTTTTGAGATGCACCTGAATCTGCCCAGCTCTTGCTTGTGGTGAGTAGTAAGCTCGATGTCAGAGGAATTAGCCACTGGTACACTCAGGTCTCTTTGGTTCCTCGCGTGTGGATAGGGAGGCGCCTGAGCCTGATTCAGTGGCTCAGAAGTGGCAGCTGGGTGGGTCATTTCTGTCTGTGGGCCACCTTTTGACAGTGTAAGAGTCATCACTCTGCTATTTATATCCGTTTACTTTTGGAGAGAAAGAGTATGTGAAAAATAGCCTGTCAAGTACTGAGCCTCATTAAATTGGGAAGGACTCCCAATGGTCCTTCCTAAAGTTGCCTTAATTACAAACTGCCATCTTGTGTTTTCCCCGTGGGCCGTGCACTGCATCCCAGACCTCATTTGCCCGCACACTAATCCTTGAGGTCTGCTCATGCTGTCCTGGTGTTGCCTGTGAGGGATCAGAGGTGCAGGAGCTCTGTGTTTGCCCAAGCCCTGTGGCTCACAGGAGCAGAGCTGGTGCACTGGTCCTGTGTGGAGGGGGCTTCCAGGCAGGCCCCAGTCAGTGCCATCCGTGCTTGCATTCTGTCCAGCTCTTCATGTCTAGGGGAGTCTTAGTGACCCCATCTGCTTGTTAGAAGTGCATTTCTTTAAATCCTCAAACCATCTCCTCTCTTTGCAGATACCCTGTTCCAGTTGAAGGTATGTATCACGTGACCGGTCACCCCAACCCTGTCTTGCTGGTTAGCGAATGGGGACACATGGTGTAAGTCACACTCAGAGGGACAAATTATAAATTGGGTGGTCTCTGCACAGTGCTCAGCCTGACTGACGACAAAAGGGGGTTATTAAGTTGGCTTGATGGCGTATTAACTCTTTCCTTGTCTCGGGCTGAGTGGAAGCAGGTTGCTTGGGCTCTTCCATGCCAGAGGGAGGGTGTTATCTTTAAGAAACACAGCGGGGCTGGCCCCATGGGGTAGTGGTAAGGTCGCACACTCTGCTTCAGCGACCCAAGTTTGATTCCCAGGTGCAGACCTACACTGCTCGTGGGCAGCCATGCTATCGGTGGCAACCCACATAGAAAATAGAGGAAGACTGGTACAGACATTAGCTCAGTGACAGTCTTCTTCAGCAAAAAAAAAGAAAGAAAGAAAGAAAAAAGAAAAGGAAGATTGACAATGGATGTTAGCTCAGGGTGAATCTTCCTCAGCAAAAGAAAAAAAAGAACACAGTTTGGGTATTGGGTGCACCCTTCGATGCTCCACTAGGCATTTAAACCTGTGGCTCAGAGCCTCTGTAAGCACACTGCAGGAGTGTTCCGGGCAGCTGAGCGTTCCTCCTGTCTGGAGTGGCGTGTGCACTTCTGATTAATCCAGGGTAGGCTTCTGCCACGTTTCCCTTAAATGCCCTCACCCATGGTTAGTTCTGAAAGTCTGGGCAGGAGTGATACACGCAGGCCACCACTGTAGCTCGTCACACTGGCTTTGCCACAGACGGGAGGGCAGGGAACACTGAGGCCTCGGGCGCTCTGTTCAGCAGACTCGCGTGGAAGGGGCTATGTTGGGTGCTCAGAGTCAGAAAATCTAGATGTTCCTTCCATGAACGTAGGAGTGTGAGGGAGGCAGACAGGAAACCCTTTCTCTAGAACAGAGTCCCACGTGCCTGGGGGAAGCCGGGGCTGTGGAGGGGCCGAGGGGCGGCACGTCCTCCCAGGTGGTGGGTGTTGCAGGCTGAGGGGACGCCGCCAGTGGGGCCAGAGTTCGGAAGCCAGGTGGGCCTCCGGAGGTTGCTCCTTCCCTCGGCTCCTCGGAGCATTCTGCCCACCAGCCTCCTGGTCAAGTGAGGTCTGTTTTAGGGGCTCTTGTGGTCCACTCTGGCCAGGGCTGGGCTGGGCTGGGCCCTCCAGGAGGGAGAAACTCTGTGAACCATGCTGTCGAGGTAGGAGGTTGGGTGTTCGGGGGTCCCTGCTGCTGCTGGCAGGTGGATCCTGGGGCATCTGCTGAGGAGTGGGCTTCGTTTAAAGGCAGTGGGAGCTGCTGGAAGCTTCTGTGTGAAGGGGGAAGGTGGCCAGATGTGTCCTTTAGGCCCTCTGTGGGCCGTGGAGGGAGGGCCAAGACTAGGAACAGGTAGGCCTGTGAGAGTCCAGCAGGCAGGGAGTGAGGCGAGGGTGGACGTGGCATGAGTCAGAAGGACAGAGCGGGCCACTGAGCGTCAGGAGAAAGGGGCAGGGCTGGGGGTGGAGGACGGGGAGAAAGCCTGGGCTTCCGCCTGGGTGGACGGGGTGCCTGCTGAACGTCCTGTGTGGGTGGGGGGCCCTGGTTCTGCAGCGCAACCAGGATTTGGGCTGCAGACACACAGAGCTGCGGGGGGGCATGCTGAACGCTGTAGCCAGGAGTGTGGTCGCTGGGTGCTGCCCCATCACAGCCGCATCCAGCATTTGGAGCATGGGTAGTACGACTAAGGAACTGAATTTTTATTTTTAATTAATTTGGGGTAATTTAAATAGCCACATGTGGTGAGTGGCTACTGCACTGGACCGTGCGGGTTTAAAGAGGTGGAAGGAGGGAAGAACGTCAGCATCAGGGGCAGCGGACGCTGATGTGAGCTGCCTGAGGAGCAAGGCTGACGTTTAGGAGCTGATGGCAGCCTCTGGTCCGGCTGCCTTCTTGTTGTCTGCGCATTTCAGGGCTGAAGGGCAGAGGCAGGCGAGAAGGAGGGGGTCAAGGCCGTGGGGTTGCATGATGCTCCTGACACCTGTGGTGGTTTCTCCTCTGCTCCCAGCTGCTGACCAGGGGGCAGAGAAGCTGGTGCAGGACGATTCAAGGTCGGTGGAAGGAGGGCTTCCAGGGGGCTGAGGCCCCCAGGAGCTTGGGCAAGGGGCCGAGGCCCGGGCTGTGCGGAAGGAAGGCGGGTCGGGGGCAGAGCTGCGAAGATGGGATAGTGGTGGTGGGAAGAGAATTCTCTCTAAAGAGGGCCACCCTCAGGGTATGGCGATGTCCGCCCTTCTGACAGACTTACAGGCTGAGGTGTGTTTCACATAAACCTCGGGCTAACTCACCTAGGTGACCCAGTCTGTGATGTTGCTGGGACAGAAGTGACCAGTGGGAAGACGCCCACGAGATGGCAGTATGTGTGAGAGGGGCTCAGGGCCAGGCAGCCCACTCTCAACCCACTCCATCCAGGTGGTGGGGGCCTGCGCCAAGCCCTCACGCAGCCGACCCGTCATCCTGGTCCTGGACTTGGACCAGGGCTGCAGAGGCCCGGGGAAACAAGATGTGGTTTCCTGTAGGGTCAACAGTTGGGTGTCAGGAAGCTGCCTGCGTGGCCTGGCAGCTCCTCACGAGCACAGATAACACTCGGAGGTGTATTTCCATCTGGAATTCTGTATTATTCCTCTGGGTAGCCTGAAGCAGGTTCTGTTGGGTTTTTTCCCTGAGTTGGAAATCCATCCGTGAACAGAAGTAGGGATTGTAGGAGTTGCCTTTTTAACTTTCTGCTCTGGGGGAGGGTTGGATTAGGATACTCTGGGAGAGGACAGACGTCTCAGAAAACCCTTCACAGCCTCTTCCCTGACAGCCTCCGAGAGCCTGCTGAGTTTTCCCTGGGCTCCTCTGCCTGGGGGCCAGGGCCTGGCAGAGTGTGGGGAGCAGGGAGCGGAGGCCGGGGGCTGGCTTCAAGTGTCTGACCCGCGTCCTATTTCTACTCAGTTCACGGCGAAGCAGCTGGAGAAGCTGGCCAAAAAAGCGGAGAAGGACGCCAAGGCGGAGCAGGCCAAAGTGAAGAAGGTGGGCCTGCGCTGGGCTCTCCCTCTCTGCCCGCCCTCTGCCAGTTCTGTCTCCCTGGGGTGT